GTGTGCAGTTCTGGTAGTGTGTGCCGTTTGCCAGGGAGATTGGTTGATACCTGTCCAGTGCGCGGGTCATCAGGTTTAATTTTTCTAGGGTTTTTTTGTTAATGATTGTGGCTTGGGAGCCGTTGTTTATCAGTGCATGTACTGTAGTGCCAAGCACAGTGGTGCAAGTGATGAGTTGGGGTGCCGGCGAGGTTTTAGGAGCAGCAGCTTTATTGTAGAGTGAGGGGTCGACTGCTAGCCCGGAAATAGTTAGAACTGGAGACTCGCTGTCCTTCAGTTCCTGGTCACATTTGGGCGGTTCTTGGGACAGTGACGGAGAATGTGGTCCTGGCCACAGGCAAGGCATACGTTAGCCTTTGCACGTTCATTGTACTCGTCTAGTGTACAGAATTTGCTTATGCGGCTGTATGGTGGCAGTCCAGGGCGGCGGGGGGTGTTTAGTGCATCGACCTCCATAGCTATTCCAATATTCTTGTATACATGGAAAAAGCTCTGTGCCCAGGTCACAAGATCCACAAACTTCACTGTGTCCTTGGGTGCAAGGTTGGCCACCAGTTTATCCATGACATCCAAGGGGAGCTTGTCTGAGAAGAAGAGTGCTGTATATTCATCCTCCAGCTTCATCCCAAGGAGGATGACATATGTCTTGAATTGGTCGACGTACTGGTCAAGTTCAGCAAGGTTTGTTGGTGCTTTGAGTGCGCGGAAACGGTGCCAGACATCTAGTCGAGTGGCAGCGCTAACATATGACTCCAGCAGGAAGTCACGCAGGGCATCTATGTCCTCATTTCTTTGGCCATTCTTGGTTGCCCATTCCTTGAACTCGACACGTTTTTCTATGGGGATCTTGTGGCAGGCAATGCGGACCCACAGTTTGGTCTCCACCTGTTCATCTGTCAGGATAGACTTTATGTTGTCTACCCACTGGCCCACCTTGAATTGGGCGTTTTGGTCATCCCTGTCATTAGGGAGAAGCATTGGGAGCATGTCACCAATGTTCCTCTCCATGCTCATCTCCTCATTGCAGAGGCGCATGGCCCTGAAGGCCTGTTCAGTATCAGTCTTGGTGTCAGTCATGTCAGTCTGGTCTGTTTGGTAGTTGGGTGAGGAAGTGCTCAGAGTTAAAAATTCGAAATATGGAGGTGCTACCAAATGTAATAAACTTATTTGTACTAACTAATTTTTATTAAAAATCCACTATAAGGGAGCTTAAAGAGCTCTGCTTATCTATTCGAAACTATCGCCCGTGAAAATAGAAATCGTGATCGTAAACAATCACAATTTCAAACAATCGCAAATTCCCAATTGCAATTGTCACGTGACATTGCAATAATTGATGTCACAACAATCATGATTTCTATTTTTACTGTCGATAGTTTTGAATAGATAAGTGGAGCTCTTTAAACTCCCTTATAGTGGATTTTTAATAAAATCAGTTAGTACGAATAAGTTTTATTACAATAGTGGCCATCTTGATATTTGAAAAAAAAGATAGTGGCTTGAAATGTGTGTTGGGCACCACATATGTATCCATTTTTATTTTAAGCACTGTGGGTCGGCAAATTGCGCAGGCTGTCGAGGTTTCTTTTTCCAGACTTTGGGTTAAACTGAGTATATTGTTAGAAACTAGTTTTACAGCATTGTAGTTGACTTTCCCTGTAATACCCAATCCCTAACTGGTCTATTAGCCATTAAGGTCCCTTCATGGATACTTTAAATTGCCTTTGTTGCATGTGCGTTTTGCTAGTTTTAAAGCTTCATGGCATGAAATACCCTATTGTCGTCTGATTAGTGGGCCTTTGTGAACAAGGTAGCTGCTATCATTGGTTTTGTTGCATGTTCCAGAGCATTTCACCTATTGACCCCATTCAGGCTTAATAACGGTCATCCAAATTATTATTTGTGCGCTTTGAAACAAAACATTGTTTAATATCTTATCCAACGCTTATCTTGCTGTTTGTGCGGCCTTGGCTTGTTTTTACCTTGTATGTGATACAAGAAATTGCGGCTTGTCTCCGGTGATTGATTAATGAATCAATCGCTAGTTAATTCCTTGGATATATGGGAATTAATACACACGCATAAATACCAATGGATATGAACTGTGGAGGCTGTTCATCCTTTAGCTTTCTTTTAGTTTATTTTAGTTCAATATATATATATTTATGACATAACACTCTGTGTCGCCTGCATTTGTCATTAAAAACTCGGGGGCTACAGACTACTTGTTGACATGCAGCAGATGAACGCAGAAATTAGGGATTATTCATGGCCGCTGCCTAATATTGGCACTCTACTGAGTTTGTGACATCAATTATTACAATGTCATGTGACAATTGCAGTTGTGAGATTGCGATTATTTGAAATTATGATTATTTACAATCGCGATTTCCATTTAATCTGTTGATAGCTTTGAATAGATAAACAGAACTCTTGAAGCTCCCTTTTGGTGGATTTTAAATCATAAATATATTACAGATAAACTATTCTTATTACAACAATAGTCATTAGTTCAGCTATCTTTTCTTAGTTAAGATATATATATTCTATTCAAGACACTAATCAATTGTTTAACACACATGGCTTACCAGCACCATACTCCAATAGTGCGCCTAGGCGCTGGTGCCAGAGACAAAAATCGCCAAAACATGCCACAAGTTCTCTAGCTGCATGACCTTCGCCAGCACAGCCAGTGCTACAGTTGCATCCTGCAATGTGCACAGACACCAGAGCGAGCGCAGAATCAGTTGGTCGGTGTATGCATACTTGGTTGTCACCAGCCTGCAACACGGCCAATGCACCAACCCAGGATTTGCTGTCAGATGTGCCTTGCCAAGGCTTCGCGACACAAACTCATGCAGAAACCCAATGCCCCATGGGGGCATGCCCTGGTCATCCTTGCAGACACACGCGGGGATGACATCGACAGTGCCCAGCTCCAGCAGCTGCACCATCTGTGGATTTGCCATCTCCATTGCATTTTCTTCTGCTGCTGCCAGCCGATATGCTGTGAGAAAAGTACACAGCCACACGAGACTCTCCACTGGCATGCGCAAAATCTCAAGCTCAGGCACTGACTGGCGTGCGACACTGAGCAATGCAGAAAGAAATACCAGGTCGATTATCCGCCGGTGGTACTCGGTACGCAGCGCAAACTGCTTTACCATGGCTGCACATACCAACACAATCACAGAGTCTGACTGCTGCCTCTGCTTGCTGCTGCCTCAAGCTGAGCTGTTGTCTGACTGCATAAGTGTTTCGCTGAGCACCTCAAGCAGCCTGCCGTCAGCTTCCTGCTGCATGTGCCGTCAGCCCAAACTACCTTGCCATCCCACTGCAGTGTCATTAGCAGCACATGCAGCAACACAACTGTCCTCAACCAGTCCCCCCTCTGCTGCTGAATTGCCCTAATCCTGCACAACTATCAGCTGCAGCACCTCTCACCGCATAGCCGTATCGAGCAGCAGCTCAGACACAGTATCCAGCAGCTTAAAGTTTTCTGAATTCAGCGCCAATTATCCCAAGGAATTAACCATTTCGGGCATCTGAATGTCCAATTCTGCCTCATTGTCCGCACTCCCTTTTGGGATTATTGGTCCTGGAATATCAGGCGTGTCGCTGTTGCTGTCTTTGGCTGTGTGCAGCAGAAATCTAACTCATACTGTGATTGGTCTAAAAGATGCGAAAGTACCCGGTATGTGCCGAGTGCTGCTCCGACGCCAATTGCAAGGTGGTACCAGCTATCGTCTATGCTAGCAAAAGAATATTGAAAGGGTGTAAAAAAGAACAGTAATTTGTTAATTACGAAATGTGAATTGGAAAGGAAAGGAAAGGAAAAATAAAGAAAGAATAACGTTAAATTGAAATCATTTGGCAAAATAGCAAAAATCGAAAATTATGGATGAAATCAACCATGTTCAAGTAAAATTGGCCAATGTGCGAGTTTAAAAGTATGTTGTTTACAGTTAAAGTGATCGGCGAAAGGTGATCGGTGGGTTGGTGAATCTGTAAATAAAAGAGGGACAGACAAGAGTTTTAATCTCTATTAAACGTGAAGAAAAAATGAATAAAATGTAAATATTTTATCTTTTGCAGTTAATTTTTTGGGTCGTAAAAAGATTTATTAAAAACAAAAAAACCTAAAGTGCTAGCTTCTTGAATGACCCAGCATTGATCTCGTCCTCAGCTGGTCGCTTAAGCTGGCCATTATCCTCTCGAGGAGCTCAATCGCCTTGGGTGCATATACTCGGAGCAGCGTCCCAGTTATCTGTCGAACAAATGTGCTGTCTGACCAGAGCCGATGGCTATAACCTTGTTTCCTGGTTCAAACAGAACCGGCGCATTGCACAAATGAGATTTTTGAGCCTAGCGCTAAACCATCAACACTGAACCCTTCAGCAAGACAGCATCCTCTTGGATCAAACCCCACCTTGTGATGGCGAGGGATGGAGAGTCCAGGAATTTGAAGCCCTGAACGTCATCCCTCTTAGTGCGCTGAGCGCACTGCATCCATAACGACATAGAAAACACTCTCCATGTCATCAAGGATTCCCCGGATGGGGCTGCTGCTGAGCATGGGAATACCCATGAAAAGCGGCGTCCCTGTAAATGGGTCCTTGGCCACCTCCACTTGTCCCACTGTTGTTGCATTGAACCCCCACTGTTCGGCAACCTCAATATGTTTAAGTTGAGTTGGGTCAGTGTCCCTGGCAGCATCCTCAGCAGTGCCCCAGCCAATGACCTTGGCACAGCCCCAGTCAATGACATACACCTTGTCGTTTTTGACGCACACATTCCCTGCCGAGATATCCCTGTGCAGGACACCAGTGTCATTTGCCTGGGCAAGACACAGGGTCAGCTGCTTGACAAAGCCAGGAACCAGCTCAGCCTTCTGATTGTCAGTCTTGACTTTCAGTACTCGGCCATTGACTGGCCGCAGTACTCCATGAGCACAAACTCCAGCCGGTATCCATTGAGGTTGCTGATGAGCAGGCCCTTCGAAAAGATCTCAGGAATACCTTCGACTGGTCTCTTGTTGAGGATGGCGTATGCGGCACCCTCGGGCAAACGATTGACTGGGGTCCAGGAAAGCTTCAGCACAGCATCACGACCTTTGCAAGTCCCCCTGAATAAATGGACATGGCGCCCAATCATGTATGAATAACGTGCTATTGTCTCCTTGATACAAAACAGAGCAGCACCATTCTTGACATCCTTGACATCCTTGACATGCTTGGAAGCTGAGTATAAGACTTCGATCTTCGAATCGCCCTTGCTCTCCACATTGACTTTCTGCGAAAAAAAGAAAGAGTCAGATTCCTCTGAGACATCGCAGAAATGCCCGAAAATGTCTGACTTAAGAGTCAGTAGGAACCAGAACCGCATGAGGCATGTCTGGATTTCTCAGCTCCATCAGATGTCGGCTATCGTATCAAAGCATAGCTGGCCAAGCTGACGATGTACAGTTTATCACGATAATATGCATAAGCGTCAGGAGATGCCCATGGAGGTAGAAGACAGGCGCAAACGTGCGTGTTGCCTGCTGATCATTAAGCAAATGACCGTAATCTGCGAGCTGGCCGCGAGTATCCTCTATGGTCCGCTGAGATCTGGATCCATCTTAGCCTCGAGTATAGCATGGATGGAATGAGCATTCTCCTCTGTGTAGTCTGTAGTAAAACGCGATGTCTGGCTTGTGCGGAGTCTTTGTATAACCTTGCTGATGGTCCTTCAGCTAAGCTTGCAGTCTGGGATTAGAGTTCCGCCTGCTGGAATATCTTATTTGCGTCAGAACCACATCGACCATCTCGTTAAAGAGGAGATAAAATATTTGACCAACGAGCTTCCTTAGTCAACCCATCAATTTCGAGTTGATTTGAAAACGTCAGTAAGAGCAAATCTGAGTCTATTCGAACGACGTGTATTGGCTACGATGCATTTGCCATCAGCCACTGGAGACCCCTAGCTATGTCGAGGAAGAGATTGGGCCAATCCTTGATGAACCGTTCATACCGCTCCTTCACACCCAGAGATTCAACAAAGGCATTGAACAGATAGTTGTGTTCTATGTTATCGCCAAGGCATTTCAGCAGCCGCTGACGGCGCTTATCGCGTACTTCGGGGGGCTCCGATTCCCCGGGTGGCAGTTCCTCCTTTTTTGATTTTTGAGGGCGTTTGGATAGTGCCCCTGTCTTGCTGTTCTAATAAAAAATAATACAAAATGTTTTAAATGTGACCGAATTAGTTTTATATGCACGCAAAATAAACAACAAACAATTCATCAATATCATAATAATCGTTTATATTCAAGTACTTACGCCTATTTGACTCGGTGGAGTCTTCTTCAGAGGAGCTAGCTCAGACATCATTGAGAGAAAGGAAAGGGAAATAGAAAGAGAGGGAGAGGGAGAGAGAGAGAGGAGTGTGTGTGTGTGTGTGTGTGATAAGCACTGAGGTATGGTAAAAGTAATAAAAAGTGAAGAAAAACAAATTGAACGAAATGGTGCGAATTGGAAAAAAGCAAATTTCAAAAGTAAAGTAAAGGTGGAAAGTTGCAAAGGTGAAAATTTGTTGGAATAGATTGCGACCAAAAAAAAAAACAAATTTTTTAATATAAACAAAAAACTTTGAGCTTCTCGCTGTGCTCGCATTTGGTTGGCTGAAATATGGAAACAAGAAATAATTATATTTACGGATTAATTTCCAATCGGCATTGTTCTTTTTCCTTGCCATTGATTTTTAGCTTTATTGTTTCTTTTGGGAGTATGGTGGCCCTGCCATTACTGCTGTAAAAATATGCTTCCCTAACGATACACTGAACCAGAGATGCGTCTATGCTTCCATGCCTGGCTGTCAGACCAATTGAGACACAGAGCCACATTTCATGTGTCCACGACGGAGCATAAAATTATGAATGCAGAGAACTTTCACTTGGGATCTTTAAGATCCAGCCGCAGATCTTGTGATGAACGATCAACAGACTCCAGGTGTATCGCACCGATAGATAATATATTGAAGAAACTCAAGAAGCATGTGGACGCCCACTACCAGGACAAAAAAGTTAGAACTTGGATATGAGACGCGGCTGGAAGGAGCTGACAGAGAACGTTTGGCATTTTATCAAACAATATAATTTAAAGCTTCTAGTATAACTGGTTCCTTCACAAGGGGCATTGTTTGATACGCGTTTAGTTTTTTCTAATTATATTATTTACTTTATTCTAAAATAATATGCAATATTTATCATATAACATATCTTTTAACACTATTTAAGTAGTGCTTAACAAAATCATTACAGTGCATATTAGTATACAAGCAATTATAATTTGTAAACAAATGTTTATTGACTAGAGCTAAATGAGCATGTTAGGAGCATGATACATGTCTGATGTCATGTGTGGTTGGATTGAATGCAAATGCAGAAGAGCCCAGTAACTTATTACATATGGAGCATGTCTGCGAATAATCCAAAGAAATTGGTCTATGGTTGTGAATAGCGTGGCCCCATTCTGCTTTAGATTCAAACAGCCTAGCCTGGTGCAAGCAACGTTGCACATGTAATGACTGTTCGAATGCAGCCAGACGCTGTAGGCCACGACATACAAATGGTTCTGTGATATTGTATGGCCAGTGACCAGGGATGTCAGCCAAAACATGCATGCCCAGAGAGTCAGGATATCGGGACAGTAGGTCGGCTACCAAACGGGCGGCCATGTCCTCATCACCATTGGGATCAGTCCCAACTGCCAGGTACTTGTAAAATAATATGGATACGCTGTTGTTTTCGGGGCTGGCACCATTTGGTGACTGGCTGTTGGAAGCTGCCTGCGGAAATACACGTGCAAGCGAAGGCTGGGCAAGAGGCATCAGCAGCAGCAACTCAGCCTCGGCGTAATCACCAGCGTCGTCGACCAGTGCGTTGACAGCCTCCTGTTGTTTGCCGAGCGCGGTCAACAGCACAGCTCGTTCGGTGTGCAGCAGCAGCGGAGCCTCTTTTTCAACGCACTCAAGCACCAGGGCTGGGTTGTAGCGAGCGGGACGCGCGGTCAGTACGTTGAGCAAGTTAGACCGCATTCTAGCGCCATCATCTGTAGCGCCGACCCGCGCAAGGTGCGAACGGATAGTCAGTCGCAAATCATCTGCTTGTGCGCGCCTAAATCCAGAGTCCAACTCAAGGCTGCGGATGCCGGCCTCGGGAGTGTCTGGCAAATAATAGTCGCGGATCTGACGCACATATACGCAGACCAGATATGTCATGTAGTGGGTAGCCCGTGAGTGGTTGGCTGCGACTAGGCGCTCAATGAAGGCACGCAGCGGCTCATCGCCATGCGGCTCAATAGCGGCAAACGCAGCGTCGGCATCAATGCGGCTGACAAAGGCATCGGACAAGTGGCGCAGAATCTGCAGCGGCGCGCTGACCTCGACATCGACGGCGACTGACCAGCGGAACTCGGCAGCCATTGTGGGCTGGCTGTCTGTCAGCTCGACATAATGCAGGTACTCGGCCAGGCCGCCAAACAGCGGGTCTGACAGCTCGCACAGCAACAGACGGTGCCAGATGTCAAGCACGCGGCGCGTATCGCCCTGGGCCTTGTACACCAGGCTGCGGTAGTAGTGTTGCTGTGTCGAAGCAAAGTAATCGGCAGCCAGGTCGCCGACAAGGCTGCTGGCAGGGTCCTGTATAAGCGCACATAGCTTTTCGTGGCGCGAGTTGATGGCGTACAGCCGCACCAGTGCAGTGTCAATGACGGGCACAGCATCGGGTGCAAATCGCTGCACGCCATCGTCGGCGGCTCCCTCTCCCTCGGCCGGCTGCCCTTGCATCTGCGCGCGGCAAAACTCCAAGTAGCGCTCGAGCACCTCCAGTGCGTTGGCTGCCAGCGCGTCGGCCAGCGCGGCAATCTGCGCGTCGTCGTTACTGTCAGCCAAAAGCTGCTTGGCGCCCGCACGCACGAGCGTGCCAATGTCGCCAATGTCGCAGAATAGCGCGCGCACGTCAGCGGCCAGCGGAATGCGCGCAAAGGGCACGAGCAGCGAGCCCAGGTAGCGCACAAAGGCAGGAAACAGGTGCAGCAGCGCGCGTGGATCCATCATGCCACGCCTAAAGTACTGCAGCGCGTCGTCCAGCAGCATGCGCTTGAGGCATACCATGGCCGCCAGCTGCACGCAGAACTGTGTCTCGACGGCGCCGGGCTGCGCCGCCTCGTCGATAGCCAAAACGGCCTCGTCGACGCACTGCGCACTGAGCAGCCGCATTACCCGCATCACCGGCGGCTCGCGAGCCACAATGTACAGCGCGTCGGCGGCCACGGCAACGATGCCCGGCCGTGACACGCTGCTCAGCGGCTTCCAGCTGCAATCCTGGCTGCGCCCTCGCCGAGCGGCTCGTGCCGCAGCTCGCCGGGCGGCCCAGCTTTGAGCGTCAAAATGTCCGCAGCCAGCGTGTCGATCACCTCGAGCAGCGGCGCGTCGACAGCAACGTGGGCGGCAGCGGCCACACACAGCCTGCGCGGCCGCCTGGCATCGCAGGCGTCGTCGGTAAAGCTGAGCGTCTGCACCAGCGTCTGGTCGGGCCGACGCGTATCGTGCACTTCGACGCGGCCGCTGGCAAAGACCGCAATGACAAACGGGTCGTCGTATGCAATGGACTTTGGGTACGCTGAAAACTGCAGCGTGCCGCGCCGCGCCTCGCCAAGCGCGGTGACAATGACGCCGAGCGTTGCACTGCTGGCGTCAGCACCAGACGCAGCCAGAATCATGAATTCGTTTGGCCCGGCCACGAGCGTGCGCGGGCGCGGCGGCCTGGCCACGCGGCCGGTGGCGGCGTCAGTCTGCGGCTGCTGCGTCGGCAGCAGTATTAGCTCAGCGTCCGCAGGCGCGCCGCGGCGCAGCTTGCGTAAGTCGATGATTTTGTACGTTTCGGTGTCGGCCAGGCACACAAAGTTGCCGTAGTGGCTGAGGCTGCCGACGCTGCTGGCCACGGCAAACTCCTGCTCCAGCCGCATGGCGTCAGTGCCCAGCCTGTACACCTGCACCGACCGCGCGCGTGCAACACACAGCCCAACGGCGTCGGCCTGCGCCAACAGCCGCGGCACGCGCTCGTCCAGCGCAATGCAGGAGACACCGCGCAGCTGCTGCATGCCGGCGCCCGCTGCTGGCCGCAGCTGAGGCAGGTCGAGAATGACCAGCGTCGACGCACACAGAACGGCCAGCTTGGCCTGGGTTGGCAGCACAAGCAGCTGCTCGACGCGCTTGGCACCCAGCTGCAGGCTGACGCTGCGCACAAGCTGCCGCTCCGGAGCCCCGTCTGCGTTTTCCATTGTCACTGCGCCCACGGCGTAGTGCAGCACGTGCCCGTTGCTGGTGCCCATGTACACGTTGTCACCGGCGACATCGACGCACTCAATTTTGGCTGGCTTTTGTTGCTGCTGCTTGTTTGGCCGGGCCAAGCTGGGTTCTTCGCTGTCGCCGCTGTCTGTGACGTCGTCTGTCGCCACCTCCTTGCCCTTGTTCTTCTGCTTCTGCTGCGTGTTAAGACCCAGGCGTTGTGTTAGGCTGGGCCGCCGCGCAGCCTTTGGAGAGTCTGTCTGATGACTTGGCTCGTTGGCTGCAGGCAACCCAACAGCCAGTGTGCGAACAATGTACTCGCCGAGCTGCTGCTGCTGCTGCTGATTGGAGTCCATTAATTTAAGTTGTGTAGAGGTGAGGCTAAATAAAAGGCAAGAGAAGAAAAATTAAAAATGAATTGTGTGATAGACATTGAAAGGCAAATACGCATTTGCCGGTATTCGGCATTCCAAGCCTGTTCGGCGCTCAACTGCTCGCTAGCTTTTTGATTGCTGTTTTGGCGGTGATGACGAAAGTTCATAATTTTGCAGTGGACAGCTGGCGATCTGATCAGACCCTGGTAATTAGGAAATAATCAAAGTTTTTTGATTTTTCCTAGTTTTTCCTAGTTTTTTTTTACTTGATTGAGCTGCTCAACATATATCTGCTGCTGCGCCTCCCCATCTCCCACCCGCGACTTTGGCCTCAGTTCAATTCAATTCATTATCTTTTTTTCCAAGTTCTTGTTTCAATTTCACCATATATTCAAATGACAACTGCATTGAACAAATTCGAGCCGCCGCTGGACTACGTTCTCCAGTCAGGCCCGTCGGCCGCCCAGTTCAGCCGCGAGGCGATCGAAACCAAGGAGCTGTGGCTGCTGCGCATCCCAGACAACGTCTCGGCAGAAGACCTCGACGGTCTGACCATCAAAAACCCCTCGGCAGCGCCCAAGGGCATAGTCCTTGATGAGGCCAAGATCTCTGGCACGTCGTACCAAATCGTCACACAAAAGGCCACCAATGTATGCGCCGAATTCAAGGGCATGACTGAGCTCAACCTTCTGGTACCTGACACCGACGAGGATAATGGCGATGAGGAAGCGGGGCTTTTAACACTTCTTCCTGGCAGGTGCGTGCAGATGATGGCGTTGGTTGAGAAAATCGATATTCCGGATTCGGTCCAGCACGCTAAGAGTATTGCGACAAAGGTGAAGGCTGCGCGTGAGCAGCCTGAGAATATGCAGCTGAGATTTATCCCTACGGTTTCTATTCTGCTGATGAGTACCGGGGCAAGTTTGGCACGGCGCAGAACCAGATCCAGGTTGATTCTGAGAAGGAGGAGGAGGAGCTGACGTTGCCGCCCAAGAAGAAGCACAAGCACAAGCAGGACGCGTTGGATGTTGAGATGAACGAGACCAAGCTGGAGATGACAGCGGCGGCCCCCAAGAAGTCAAAGACAAAGACAAAGTCCAAGGACGCGACCAAGGAAAAGACAAAGGACGAGACTGAAAAGACCAAGGACAAGATTAAGGATAAGAAGACCAAAAAGTCAAAGGAAGTCAAAGAATAGAAAAATCTTTAATATTTAACAAGGATATTTTTTTCAGTTGTGCGTATTTCTCCCTGCCGATTTGATCTGGCGCCTTGCCTGGAACTCGCTGGCCACCATCCTGGCCGTCGCAATGACATCGGCCGGCATGCCCATGCGCTCAGCAAGATCGATCCCGTAAAGCGACTCTGTCTGGACACCAAGCGTTGCCTTGAACTGCCAGTGCTGCCCATCGGCCGACTGATCCTCGCCCTATACCAAAGCAGTTAAAGAAAATATCAGTAACAATATTTTTTGTTTCATATGAAAAATACATGTTTCGTTTTGCTTTGTTTTGTTTTTGTTCCTTCTTACTGTTGAGGACAGGACCACGCGCGTGCAGCCCTTATGCTCGCCGAGCAACGGCGGGAGATCGAGAAAATGCGTGGTGAGAAAACCGTCGCTTTGCTTCGGCCGTTATCCGCCTCGATAAACTCCTCGCATACTGCGCGGCATATCGCCTTGCCCTCTTCGGTGGCAGTGCTGCGCCCGAGCTCGTCGATCATTACCAGGCTGTGCTGGTCGTAGTTGTGCAAAATGTATGCAACATCGTGCATTTCGCGCAGAAACGTTGACTCGTTGGCCGCCAGGTTGTCGCTGTTGTTCATGCGCACAAAAAGCTTGTCAAAAATCTTGAGCGTGGCCGATTTTGCTGGCACGCTGTGGATGCCACAAAAATAGTACTGTTAGTACACAAGCTAATGTAATTTGACATGCCTTTATATGCGTACTCGATGCTTTTTTTGTTTTGGCCAACAAGTGTACAAAAATAGGCCTTGTATTTCTGGCAACACATGGGCTGCCATCTCAACACTTACTAGCTACCGATTTGCGCCATGATCACAATGTATACTATTTGCCGCAAATACGTCGACTTGCCGCCCATATTGGGGCCGACACCACAGTGAACGTGGCATTTACGGTACTCACGCTGTTGGCAACAACAGTCTCACTGCTCATGACGTCGAGGATCGGGTGCCGCCCATCATCAATATGGATGCAGTCCGAGAACTTGGGCATGACACACTCAGAAATCGTGCAGTGGTGTGCAAACGACACAATAACGTCGAGCAGGGCAATGGCCTCGGAGATGCGATACAGTACGACAATGTTTTCTCTGATAACGCTGATGACTCCTTGGATGGCCTTTTCGCTGAGCAAATTGATTTCGGTGACGACCGACGCTAGCCGGTTGTTGAGCTTGATCAGGTCGAACGTGGTGAATGTGACCTGGCTCTTCTTAACAACGACGTTGAGAAATTCCTCAGGCACTGTATCGTCGAACGACTCTCTTTTTGCCGCCATGATGTAGCCTGCCGTCGGCTTGTACACGGCCCTGATTGGGATTGCGCCTCGTTTGAGTACTGCTCGACCAAGTCGACAACTTCCTGTGTGACCCTGTCAAAGATGGCGCGTGAGACGTCCAAAAATCCGTCGACGCCGTCCTTGACTGCGTGGCAGCGCTGGCTGCGCGTCATCTGAGCTGATCTTCCGAGTGTGATGTTCTCCCGAATGACAGCGTGGATATGGTCCAGCAGCTCGGCAATCCTTGGATCGCTCAGGATGGCGACAATTTCTGGCAGCAGTGCGCTCCTTAGCGACAAGCCACTGAACGCAGCAGCTAGGTGGCCGGCGGCCTGCAAAATGTGCTTGACCAAAAGCACGTTATTGATGGCCGTGCTTATCTGCTTTGCCGTCGCGGCAACAGGCTGCCGGACCATAGAAGTGATGGCTGCATCAATGTCGGGCAGCGCGGGCAGATTGGCAGACAAAAAGAAAAATAATTCCTCATTGTCCAGGATATCGGCCACAGCGAACTGGCGGGCGCATATAGTGCTGAGATCTGTCAACGGCTGTAAAATGTTTGCGCGCAGCATCCGGCGCCCATTTTGTGCGCGTATGGTCGATTGCCTGGCACAAAGACCACTCGGACGCATTTTTGTCGCTGTCGAGGCTCAGGTCGCGCCACGCACCTGGGTCTATCAGCATGGTGCCGGCCATCTGAGTACACCTCACGCTGATCGACGACTTTGAAAATGACATGCAAAGCTCGGCCTCAAAGTGATGGAACATGGCGTTGAGCGCGGCATACGCGTACTGCTTTGACCGTAGAATACGCTCGAGGTGAGGAAGCTGGCTGGACAGCGAGATTTCCCTTAACACAAGCATGCCGTCCTTGTCGTTAAACCATCTTCGCTCGATGGAGCGAAACTTGAGCCACGGCAGGTAACGCTGGATGTTCAGCATTGCCTTTGACTTGTTGCCAGCAATCATGGTCGCCGGCACAAAAACGGTCTGTGGACGAGCGGTTGTTATTGCATAGATTGTGCGCGAGTAGCTGGCGCCGTCAGCATACTGAGACAATGTGCACTGCAGGGTTGACAGATCGAAGAAGCAGTATGCAATCTCACTGGCTATCCCGCGCCCCTCGGTCAGCACCATCAGCGTGTTGGGAGTCGACGACATTTCGGAGAAGGCCGATGTTGGCGCATACATTGATGTGGATGTGGGCGTGTGCTCGAGCTTTGTCGCTTTGCTGGTGAGATGGCGGTGACCTCAATGTCGTCGTTGAATTCAGCCCCATCTGAGTCGCTGCTGAGCTGGGTGAGGTCGATGATATCTGAGCAAAACTGCAATGACATTGTGCATGGATTTTGAGCGAGGACACTTTTGATGATGGAAAACAACTATACTATACTATACTAAATGGGAGGTATAAATGATAATTGTTACAAAGGTTGGTATTAACAGAGCTGAACTAAGCATAAAAGTATTGTATCAATATGCGGGATTGACGAGCATGCAATAGGCAACTAGATATATGCTTGACAGTATATATTGTATGTGCGGAGCGCACTGGCTTGATAAATGGCCCGAATGCATGCTATATCATTTCTTGCATAAATGCTATTGTGCAAACATATTTGGTTCAATGCGTGGTGAGCCAATAATACCAATATGACTGTTTATTGCACATTGCATAATTCGGTTGTTTTGCATTATATTGCTGCTATTATTAATCGATAGATATATTAAAAGGTAAACATAACATTCAACCAATTTTTTTCGCTAGGCTGCACTCGTCTTATTCTGGTAGAGGCCGTGGCCTCGGTACGTGCGCATGGCGTTGAGGCTGGAGCCGACCAGTGAACTATAGAGCGGCCGCCCGTGGCAATATCATGTATACCGGGCCCAAGTTAGCATACAGCGGCAGATAAATGTCCGAATCACTCGCAGACTCTAAGCACTGGAAAATGCGGGCGGCAACTGCGTCGGGCGACATGTTAGGCGCGAGCCACTGTGGTATGCGCACGCCGCTGAACATTCCAGAGTCGACCTGCGACGGAAAAACCGCAGTCGTGCGCACATGGTGGGCGCCCTGCCTCGCGACGAGCTCCAGCTTAAGCGACTCGCTGAATATGGCCAAGGCCGCCTTGGTCGCCGTATACGTGGTCAGCTCGGGGATGCCGATGAAGCCCAGCACAGAGGACACAAAGACTATGTGCGCGTCGGGGCTCGCGAGCATACCAGGCAACAGCAGGCGCGTCAGCTCCATCGGCGCCAGCATATTGACCCCAACGACCCGATGCACATCCTGGAAGCTCTGCTCGCTGAGCACCTTGCTGCACACCGTGCCTGCGTTGTTGATTAGCATTGTGACCGGACCCATGTCAGCCGTGATCTGATCAACGATGGGCTTGAGCTGTTCGATGTCGGCCAGATTGCACTTGTACAAGCCGACGCCCGAAGGCGCGCCCTTGGGGAGATCGAGAATGTCGACGACAGCAATGCGCTTGGCGTTGCCGGGCGCTGCTGCAGCCAGCTTGTGCAGCAGGCCGAGGCCAATGCCATGGCAGCCGCCCGTGAGCAGAATCGTGTGCTGCGACCAGTCAATTCTCCTGGCAATGGCAGGCGCACGGTAGCGCGCTGCGATAGCCATGCCGGTGATCAGCATGTACAGCATGAACGCGTGTGTCTTGAGCGCACCGGTGGCATAGGCAATGGCCACAGCGAGCGCCGCAAAGACGGGCGATGCGAGCAACGCGCAAGCAATGCCAAATGCAGTGTCGATGTTGGGGCCCGGAGTGACACCCCCAAGATCAAGCATGGCAGGAGGGCGCCGAAATTGATATATGGATGATTATCGATGGTGTGCGGAGAAGGAAAAGACGACGGGACGGCGAGAGAAAATGAAGAGAACTAGACAAAGGCTGGCTTTGCGCGTATTTATAAGACTTTGATACGTATTGCTGGCTGACCGGCTGGCCGGCCTGCACAACCTCAACACGTGGCCTGGCCTTTTGGTTACGGGGCACAGGGTCAGTGCTGCTAGCAGCGCAAAAAGAATGATTATTTTATACGACTCAAGAAAGGATTTGTATTATTGGCGAGAATCATAACATTTACACTCAGAACGGCAGCAGCGTCCGCGCGCTGCCAGCCAGGGTCATCGTGGTGGACTGCAGCCCGGCGGAGCCGCCAGGGAAGTACGACACGACGTACCACACCAGGGCGACGACCTGAATGACAACAAAGAACAGCGTGCCCAGGTACGAGTGCGCAATGGCCGAAAAGAACAGCGTAAAGAACACCGAGCCAAAGTACGTGGCCGAGAACAGCAGCCGCTCGCGCGACAGCAGGTGCCGGGTGTGGGCGCGCGGGCCCCTCAGCAGCGCAATGCCCGCATGGTCGCCAGGCCGCCGAGCGAAAAAGCCGTGGCAAACTTTTGCGGCGACACAATCATCAGCGGCAGCGCCATGAAAGCCATCAGGAAGCAGAACAGCGCCAAACTGCGCACCCGGCGAACCCCATCCACCGCTGCATCAGCGTCAGCCCGAACCACTCGCCCTGCGTCGTCACTGGCGCATCGGAGCTGGACTGTGTCAGGCCTGAGATGGCTGAGCCGGTGGATGATGCGAGGTTGCTGGCGCCGAGCGCAGGCTGCCGAAGAACGTCTGCGAGCCGCTGCCACTGCCGCCTCCTGGAAGCGTGGGCGTGTTGGGAGCAGGTGTGTGCCGGGCGACGACGAAGACGTCTTGAGCCCGGCGAGGGCATCTCTGAATGAGGACATTGCGAAGGGATTACTGTGGAATTAAAAATGAAATGAAAGCGAAGGCGAAGGCGAAGGCGAAGGGAAAGGTGAGGGAAGGTGGAGGTGAAAGACGAGGCGCCCCCTTGCGTTGCTTTGCCGAATGTTCTCGTTTGGGCTTTGGGCTTGGCAGACCGGCCTCTTTGGGGGTTGTCTCTGGCTGCATCCATCCACTCGCCCCACTCCACGTGCCGCACGCTGACTTTTCTCGCTCAAAGGGTGGGCCACAGGGCAAGGCGAAAGCGGGCGTGCATTTTTTACCATCCATTTTGCCTCCTTTTTCTTTTCTTTATTTTTGCCTGCATTTCGCATTGTACTTAATTCCTCAATTTATCGAATTCGACGACTCTTAATTATTACCAGCAGCAACGACAGAGACAGCAACAAAGCCAACGCTAACGCCAACGCCAACGCCAAACTCAAGACAAAGACAAAGGCTTGCACCAACATCGCTCCCAACTTCACATTCACGGCAAATGCCAGACAACAGCTCGAGTACGGGGGCGTTCCTCATTCGCGAGGTGTGGGAGAGCAACCTCGAGGAGGAGTTCGCGGCAATCCGACGGCTCATCGACCGGTTCCCGTACGTGGCGATGGACACAGAGTTCCCGGGCGTCGTTGCGCGGCCCATCGGCTCGTTCAGCTCGACGTCGGACTACCACTATCAGCTGCTGCGGTCCAACGTCGACATCCTCAACATCATCCAGCTGGGCATCACGCTGATGGATGAGGCCGGCAACCCGCCGCCAGGCGTGTGCTCGTGGCAGTTCAACTTCAAGTTCAGCCTCAGCAGCGACATGTACGCGCAGGAATCGATCGATTTGCTGACAAAGTCAGGCATCGACTTTATGAAGAACGACGAGTTCGGCATCGACGCCTTCCACTTTGGCGAGCTGCTGACTGACTCGGGCCTGGTGCTGTTCAAGAACGTCCGGTGGGTGTCGTTCCACAGCGGCTACGACTTTGGATATCTTTTGAAGCTGCTCACGTGTGCAGCGCTTCCCGAGGACGAGGACGGCTTCTTCCGCGTACTGCATACGTTTTTCCGGGCATCTTCGACATCAAGTACTGATGCGCAGCTGCCGCATGCTGAAGGGCGGGCTGCAGGACGTGGCCGACGATCTGGACGTGCCGCGCATCGGCCCGCAGCACCAGGCCGGGTCCGACAGCCTGCTGACTGCCATGACGTTCTTCCGCCTGCGCGAAAAGTACTTTGAGAACAGCGTTGATGAGCCCAAGTACATGGGCCACCTGTTTGGGCTTGGCTCGCAGCTGTTCCAGACAAGCTAAGTGGATGTGGCTTAATTCAAATAAATTCGATACAATTCTAGTTACTCCTGGTGCCTGCCGCCACCGATCTTGGCGAGCGGTATGGTGTCAATGCTGTCGACATCGTTAATATTGTTATTGTCCAGGCTGTTCCGTGATGGCTCCATGGTTGGCAGCAGAGCGTCCTGCTGCTGCTGCGGCCTGCTGGCTACTGACAACTCAGCGGCCCCATACAGGTACGTGGCGCCAATGACCAGTGCGGTGCCGAGCACGAACGGCAAAGTGATGTGGAAGCCAAAGATCCACACGGACGCCAAGCATGACAGAACAATCGATATGCTAGTGGCGAATCCCTTTAGAATATTGTCAGCGTACTTGACAACAACAGCGACAATCAGGCCGCCGACAGCCTGGCACATGATGGCTCCCCAAGTCCACGACGAGTACGCGTGGAAGAATCCGTCGCGCGAGACGCCGGCGCCATCGACAACAAAGACGCCAAACAGCGCCGGCAGCGTTGAGAACAGCGATAGCTGCACGTTGCGCGTCCATAGCGACTTGCGCGACCCCTTGAGCACCTTCTCGAAGTACACGCCGGCCAGGCCCGACAACACACAGGCTGCTAGCACGGCCAGCAGGCCAACGATCGACGACGTGGTTTCCTCTTTTTGATCGCCAGTGGCCGTCGGCATCTGCACCAGCGCGACGCCTGCCGTCAGGCCGACCAGCGCCAGCCACCGCGCTCTGCCCAGTACCGTGCGCAGCAGCACAACAGAGCATAGTGCTGTGGTCAGGATCTTGAGCTGATACGTCACCTGGAACGTCGCCGCGTCCAGTCGGACACCGCCACATACTGCAGATTATTCTGGATCGTGTAGAGCCCTGCTGGAATCAGCATCTTCCAGCTATCACCGCCGAAAACCTCGTATACCAGATGTTTCGCCTTGAACTCGCTGCCGCTTCAACCGCTTGGTTTCGGCTCTCGCTTATTGATATGCCCAGACAGACTGTGAACTTTGTCAGCTCGCTCAGCAGCACTGCTGTTGATGTGTAATAGCGTTCGGTGGTGGATATGACCCGCGAATATCGCATCACTAGGACTAGGATGCTGTTTTGCAGCGTGAGCACCATTAGGGAGACATATTTGAGGGGTATCCCGAAAACCTGCGGTGCCATGTTTGATTATATGTTTTGGTATTAGAGATAGAAAAAGTGGTTTTTGGGAAATAGAGTTTAAGCTGGCTTAGGAAAAAAGATTGATAGATGTGAGAACATGGTGAAGAAATAAACGATTCTTCAAATAAACATAATGAGGTTTTAGGGCACAGCTTATTCTGTAATTAGTTTTCTTTTAATCGTGTGAAAGATCTACCGTCTTGCACTGCATCCATTGCTTTGGGTATTTTTGCTCTATTCGAAAGTGAAAAATACAACGGAGAAATTAAGAGGTTGTGAGAACAGACATGAAGCCAAACGCAAAAAGAAATAAGGCCAGTGATTCAGTTTTATTTTTATTTTTGTTGTTCTGTCCACCATCCCTCTAAAAATAAACAAATAAAACTGTATCATTATTGCGATTAGTAACTGATAAAGCAAACAAAACACACAATATGACAGCATTTATCACCACCGTAGATGGCCTGCAGCCGAGTTTCTCGCCGAGCTTCAGAGCCACTCATACGGAATAAAGTCATTTACGCCCCCCACAACGACAGCCATTGACAAATCATCAGCATCAATTATTAGTTTCGTATCAACCATCCATCTTCTGGACAGCAGCAATAACAACATTAGCGGCAATGCAGTCACTGTGACCTAGACACTGCAGGATACACGGTTGAATCCTTCGGTGTTTGGCCCTGCATGTTGGCCGGCGGTTTGAATCCCTGACTGCGCTTTTATCAGAGCTTAGCCCCGAATTCAATTCTGCTATGCATCGCAGCTTGAGCGCCCGGCTGCTGGCTTTTTCTAATCTGCAGAGCAACAGTGACAGCGACGAGGGTGATGAGAGTGAATGCTTGTGATGTATTTTTGTTTTGTTTGCTTTGAAATACAGTCTGATCCCGTTTTGGCTTGCACCAATCAAAATCAACCATAAAATCAATCAAGCAGCACAGTGCTTTCTTTTTTATTATGTGGAATGGGATGGCTTCCATATGCTGGTCAAAAGAAAAAATAGAGAAAAAATAATAACTGCAAATTTGTAGCTGTGAATGAAACAGGCGGGGGCGAAGGCACTTTGAAATTCTTTTTTTAATTTCTTCCTCTCTTTTAATTTTTTCCCCTTGCTTTCCTCATATAATATTTTTTTGCTCACTTTCTCAATCTAGTTTAAAAGAAGCAAATTTTTTTCGTGACTTTTTTTCTTTAATCTAGCAGATTCATGAGTACTCCAGTTTCCAACGAAAAACCCACTTTGACCGGTTCAAGGATTCATGCTCGCAAGGTAAAGAACGCAAACGAGAAAGCAAGAAAACATGATAGCAATGCACGATATGTGGAAGTCGGGATTTCGATGCGTGGCGAGTTAATTAACGCTCATTTTGGTTCGATTCGCATTGCACTCTCCTGCTAATCTGCCCCCTTATTCCCCTTTTGTTCTACTTTTACATTTGTGTGTAGCGTGACGCAAAGGCCACGGCCAAGTATGAACCAGAAGGTAAGAATCCAGATAAATACTAATGCAAACGCAAACACATTGACACCACAGTCTGCAACTTAAGCTAATCATCAACTCTATGCCCCTGCTGTCTGTTCAACCTCTTTTTTCACAGCTTAGAATTCAGAACTAATATTTTCCAAGTAATTGACCCGATCGCCAAGGACGACTTTGCCAAAATCTCGGCCGCACTCGACACCGCCGGAAACACGCTCGACTACCGCCGCTACGGAGACACGTTTTTCGAAGTTCTCGTCACTGGAGGAATCATCGCGCCAGGAGGCATCATCAAGGATGACGAAACCAAGGGCAAGCTGCCCTTCAGCCTATTCGTGCTTGCCAACAGCACTGACGCAGTGGCGCAGCTCGAGGGCGCCAAGGTCTGGGCCAACCTTATCGTGCGGCTGACGCGGCGCTACAAGTACCTCGAGCGGATCTTTGCCGAGACGGCAGTGCACGTCATCGAGAACATCCACCGGTACTCTGACGCAGACAACCGCATTCTGGCTGTCGGCATGGGCGTGCTCGTGTCGGAGGGCTTCCTGACAATGGACCCGTTCCGCACGTTGCAGAAGGACCATCTGACCAAGGACGGCAGCGCAATGCAGTTCATGACCGAGCTGATGCGCGTGTACCTCAAGGGCAACACGCCAGCGCAGCTCAACAAGCTGCTGGGCAAGGCCAAGATCCGCCTGCTGACCGAGTTCTTCCCGCTTGGCAAGCGTGACACCGAGTGCCTCGTGCGCCACTTTGAGGCCGAGGACATGCCCGAGATCATCGAGCTGCATACTGCCACACAGGCTGTGCTGCAGCGCGACTTTTTGGTTATCGACCTTGTCCGCGCTATCCGCGAGGCCGAGCGCGACGAGGACGACAGCAACAAGGTCGACGTCAAGCTGGTGACCATAGCTAAGAAGGCCATGCGCAAGAACAACTGGGAGGAGCACAACGTCGTTGTGCTGTGCTGGGACGCGCTCATGGCGGCTGTCGAGTGGCCGATCAAGAACGACCAGGTCGAGTCGCTTACCGTCGCGCAGATCAAGAAATACGCCACCCTGCTGGAGGCGTTCACGACTTCGCCAAAGTCCGAGCTGGCACTGCTCAAGCACGTGCAGATGTACTGCTACAGCGAGGCCAGACTGACCAAGGTGTTTGGCAGGATCGTCTTCGAGCTGTACAACGCTGACGTGCTCACCGACTCGGCCATCATCTTCTGGGCCACCAAGGGCATCAGGGCGGAGGGCAAGGAGGACTTTTTGAAGCAGACCGAGGCCCTTGTCAGCAAGCTCGAAGCCCTGGAGGGCTCGGACGACGACGAGTCTGAGGACGAGTCTGACGAGGAGTAGGCGGCTGGCTGATTCGACTATTATTTGGTTAATGTTTTAATAATACATGTCACATTTATGAATGCCTTTTTCTTCTGCGCGTTCGTTTCGTGTCGTTTCATTTTGTTATCTCGCTGTGCTTTGCGGAGACGATGAGAAGAGGCATAAAGAATATTTTTTCACTTTTTGCTCGCCTCACCCAATACCCACACTTTCTCACTCACTCACTCGCTCACTCACTCACTTTCCCTCTTTTCTCTTTTTTTCCACGCATTTCCTTATCGTTTGCATTTACCTTCTCTCTCCCACCTCCAAATCACAAATTCAAATTAGAATGAGCGCCTCTCTCGGCCCCCGGTTCCAGGCGGTCCTGGCGTCCGCATGGATCTCCAAGCGCGAGGCGGCCAAATACGTGCAGGAGTATGTCAAGCGGGTGCAAAAGGCTGACCCTAAGGCCACCGCCGACCCGCTGCCGTTCGCGCCGCCAATCCAGGTCCAAGTACTCGACATCGCGCCGCACGCAGCCTACGAGCCGCTGGACGCAATCAACGGTGGCGAGGACTCGCTCTTCCATGTGCGAAACAAGCAGAACCTGAGCTTCGGCGTCAGCGACGGCGTCGGCGGCTGGAACGAATCTGGCATTGACCCGTCGATCTTTAGCCGCACGCTGACAGCGTACTCGACGAGCATTGCCCAGGAAGCCTTCCTCCTGCACGATTCAGATGAGATCGATCCGCGCGACATCATCCGCCGCGCATTCGCTGGGATGCGCATGGACAGCGTGCCGGCGTACGGCAGCGCCACGGCACTAGCCATGAACCTGTCGCTGGCGTCCGGCCGCCTGCGCACAGCGCAACTGGGCGACTCGACGTACGCCATTCTGGACAGCAAGCAGCAGGCGCGGTTTGTGTCGGCTGAGCAGCAGCACCGCTTCAACATGCCGTTCCAGTTGACCATCCCGCCGCTCAACGACGAAAAGACCGAGGCCGGCGGGTCGCCGTTCTACCGCCCGCGCACGCGCGACGACGAGATGCGCCGGCTAATCGATGAGGATGAGTTTGCTGATCTCGCCGCAGTTGGATTTGACACCCCACTGGACGCGCGCTCGGACGCACACACGATGCACCACGGCGATGTCGTTGTCGCGGCCACCGACGGGCTCTTCGACAACGTGCGTGTCGATGAGGTCGAGAAGCTGGCTGAGAGGTTTATGCAAGCCATCCACAAGACCACTGCCACCGCATTGCCCCCGGGCTCGGAGGATGCTAGGCCCGTGGCTGTGGCCGATTTGTTTGGCGGATTGGCATACAGCGTGGCGGCTCAGGCCGTGGCCAACTACATTCAGGACGACTTGCGGTCGCCGTTTGCCGAGAGAGCAAAGCTCGCCGGTTACTCGTTCACCGGCGGAAAGCCGGATGATGTCACGGTGATGCTGGCGTGGGTCAGAGAGACAGCCAAGGTTGAGGCCGAAGAGAAGATCGCCACCATGTCTGCCAAACTCTAAAATCGAAAGATCAAAGAGCATGGATTGCATTACATGACATGCTTTGTGCTTTTGTTGCTGTTCTATATTAAAATAAACAAAATGAATACACAATCACCTTCACACACCATTAATTGTAAACAACAGAACACAGCTATTGTGAATAGTGCAAATTAACGAGTCGAAAAGAATTGTATTACAAGCGGGAACTACAGAAACCTCCTATTGGGCATACCCGTTTGTCTTTTATACTTTTATACTTTTATAGGTAATCCAAGCTGACTAAATGCCGATTGGCATTGATTCCATCTAGCTCTCGCTTAATAGCTCGACCGAGCTTATGTTATCTGAGTTGCCACAGATATTTCAATTTGGCAAATAAAAAAGAACAGAACATGCGTTTAATATTCCTTCGTCAAAAAAAGTTTATTCATTTAAAACAATATACGCTAGGCAACAACGATCCCATCAATTTAAAATTGTTTATATATGAAATTGTCTCCCAAACCCAAAATACTTTATTAATCTTAAATATGTAGCAACACACAAAAGAAGATAAAAAGCATATATTTAGAGGTTGAGCTTGCTGCGACGCCAGTGACGGCGCTTGGAGTTGTATCTGATCTTGGTATCAGTCTTCAAGCGGAACCACTGAGGCAGAGGACGGTTCTGCTTCTGCTTCTTGCCGATGATGCGCTTGACGCGGAAAGACTTGTTGGACGGCTATGGATATAGAAACCAAACAAAACAGAATATAAATAGGTTAGTTGGTGTTGCCTGTGCGTGTAAAAAATAGTCAGCCACACATATGTGCGCGCTGAAGTGAAGGTTTCTGGCAGAAAGGACCACCGCCATAACTAATAGGCAAAAAGCGATTAGAGACGCTGGGAAAAAAGAGATATACAAGGTCGCTTTGACAAAACCGTATATAAGTGAAACGCACGTTGGTACAAAACGGGATTAACCTCGTACAAAGTCAAGATTTATTCTAAATCCACCGGCACCAACGCTTTAACACACAACGGCACGCCCTTGCGCTTTCTACACAACCACAAAACGCGCATAGGTCCCAGACACAAGTCCAGTAGTAACACCAGAACAAGTGTGACAACACCCAAAAACGCGCAATTTGTAGCTGTATAAAGAAAAAAGTGCCCCATTCCAAATGTCAAATTGAGAGATTTCTGATTTCAAAATTCCAAATTCTCTCCTCTCCCTGCCCGCCTTTAAAATTGCGGGGATTTCCCATCATCCATTCTGCGCATCCATTAGGCGTATCCACGCGCTCTCAAAAAATTAATCGTATCCAACGCACCATCTTTAACGAATCCAAAAAAATTTAGTTAACGAACAACAAAAAATGTCTTGGAAGAGAGGAGGTTTCCCAAACACCCCAAGCGCGGCAAGTGCCTGACAAAACTTCCCCTCCACACACAAACCGCCAAGCTTGAACAAGCCCAAATTTCAACACGTTAAATATACGCGCAAAAAACGCGCCCAATAGAAAAGCCCACACAGAAACGAAAATTGATCGGTCACCGATCATTTTTGCTTTTAAGGTCTCACACAGCCTGTAGACAAGTAGGAAATATTGAAATCCACATATTTTGGCTGTGGCTGTGGCTGTGGGCGAGTAAAAAACATTGAAATTCACAAGCTATTTTTTTGTGGTACTAATGGAATAATATCGTTACCAGCCAAAAAAACGAGTTGAGTTGCATTTCATGGGCAGCAGGCAGTGAGAGGGAAATTTTACATGCGCACACGCACTACGCGCCAGAATCGATGCCAGTTCTTCCTCTTTTGAAACGCATCCATCTAAATAATTAATATTCATTTTTTGGTTGTTATATAATGGCTGCTCCCGTCGCAAAGTCTGGTATCATCTACGGTCCCAACGCTGGCCACATCACCGCCCGCCGCGAGCTGAAGCCCCGCCCCGCTACGGCCAAGTCGGTGAGTATTTTTTTGAATCCATGGATGGATACAGAATCCATGTTTGGGCAAAACGAATCCATTGAGGAAGGGACAACTGCGAAAACAGACGGGTTTTGGAATTACTTGGGGATCGGCAATTTGAAATCTCGAATTTTGATTTTTACGAATTGGTTTATTGAGCGAGTGGAATTTGGGAGGCGGAAGATGGTTGCTCTGTACGCACAAGAGGAGCTGCCACCACTGGACTGGCGGAGTTGATTTGAGCGGACAATAGCAGCCTAATCGCCACTAGGCGCGTCTTTTGTTTTTGTGAAAGAGCTTGTGCTAAGCAAGCCAGAAGCGCTGGCTGTACTGGGCATTGGCTTTTTTCTATTGACCAAAGCAGCAGCAGCCGCTGCGTACGGAACTGGATCGGAAGCAATTCGGATTTATTTTGAACCTTCCAAAGCAACAGCTTCGGCGAGTAGCAGCAGCAACTCTGACAGAACGCAGGTCCAGTTTGAAATACAACTTGAAAAGCACAACCGGCAGCGCACAACCTATTAACTCATACTCAATTCACCTGGCTCCACCCATAACAGTGAAACGGCACAAGTAGCAGCAATTCCTTTGTTCTATGGAAGCAGTTGATCCCCACCTTGTCATTGGCTCTGCTGTCCGTTTACTACGCGAGATCCAGTATAACATAACATTGCAAACGATGATTTTTACTTGGCACTAATTCGTTATTATCTTGTTCTTTATGTCACTTCAACCTTTTTAGAGCAACAAGTCCAAGCACAACACCTTCGTCCGTGACCTGATCCGCGAGGTTGCTGGCTACGCTCCCTATGAGCGCCGCATCATGGAGTTGCTGAAGAACTCCCGCGATAAGCGCGCCCGTAAGCTCGGCAAGAAGCGTCTCGGCACCCTCCGCCGTTCCAAGAGAAAGGTCGATGAGCTGTCGTCCGCCATCGCCGCCGCTCGCCGCCACTAAGCTTAGCTTCTGTGTAATGTAGTAGTTTTGCTAGTTTCCTGCATTTTGTGCTTTGTTTATACCCAACAACATATGAGATGCGCAATTAGTGATTTGATTTATTGAAGCGAGCGACGCTGCGTGCTTGCATTGCGTTGTGTTGTGTTGTGTTGTTACATTTGTTTATTCGATTATTTGTGTAAGCTATACAGTGGTGTATCGTGCGCTCACAGAACAGAACAACACTGCAAAGTCAGACAAACTGCGACAGATAGGTCTCTGCGACGATGCGCGCTCTGGCGTTCAGGCTGAGCTTCATCTCGCTGATCTCCTTATCGACCTCCTCCATGAACTCGATGATAAAGTCGACCAGCTTGTGCTTGTACATCTGCTCGGTGTGGAAGTTTGTCACCAAAAAGCTAATGTCGTATCCCTTGATCGGCACCCGCCTGAGAATGATAAAGTTCTCTGCGCGCATCATCAAGAAGCGCGTAAACTTGTGGGCCAAAATGCGCTCAATGTCGTCGGCCTGCTTGATGCGAATGCTGATGCGCACCGAGTTGATGCTGCCCTCGATCAGAACCTGCTCGTTCTCGTTGCGACTCACAACCAGCGGGTTGAGCAGTACCTCCTTTGTGTTGCCGGCCTCGACCTCGGGCACGTTGTGCTTCTCGACGATCTGGGACGCAAAGTTGTCCAGGCATAGCGCTGCTGTCAATGTCGAGCGCACGGCGTTCAGGTACGGGCGAGCGTGTTTGACTATGGAAGGCGGGACGAATATCAAAATATAAAGAGAAAAGTTTATATTTATCAGGTCAATTCAATTCAATCGTCTTTTCTCTCTCTCACCCACTTTCGCAATTTGTTCATAATTCCGGCTCTTCCATCTTGGGAAATGCTTACCATCTTGTATGGTCTGTTATTAGTCTTATTATTTTTAAGAGGAATTCGCTAGAAACAACGGAATGTGTGGTATTTGCGTGGCTGGCCAAAACTCAGATGGGACGAGAAACAATATATATATATAAAAAGAGAAATTTAGAAGAGTTGTTACAATCGAGAGAAAAGGGGAACACGTAACAAGAAAAAAATGAACGAGAGAACCTGGGGAAAACAAGTGTGGAAAAATTCAAAGCATAAAGCCGTTAATTTTCATTTTCATTTACATTCTGTTGTCGTTGTTGTTGTCAATACCAAATTCAAGATCAATTTCCAATGCTTTTTTCGTTTTCCGCTTCTCTCTTTCCCCCCTCACCCTTCTGAGCGAGGAATGAGGAACGTGCGCGTAATTATATTTAATGCGTAATCATAATCAGCCCGCTTCTTAATTTTCAAACACGTAAAAAAATTATTTTTTCCTTACTTTTTTCACTATGTCTGCTGGTAAACAATTTGTGCTGCTGCTTGGGCACAAGTATTTATTTACGCATTCTTCTTCTCCCACCCATCCCCCGTTTCAACATACTGTTTGTGTCTCTTTGCTTTATTTTTCACTTTTTGTTCATTCGTCTCGGTATAAAAAATTTATACTTTGTTCACCCTGTAATTTAGCCTTCAACATACCCAAAACGATTGATTAATAATGGAGGCCTGTGGTATTTGGGGTCTGAGGATCCTTCCCAACAAGACCTACTCGCAAACCGTCGATGCGGCTTTCCGCCTCACCAACGTAAGTACTTGAACCAATACGTTTGAATTCAAATAGACCCGACTTTATGTTTATTTTATTTGTTGGCTAAATTCTACAAACACGAAAAAATGTTGTAACAATTCACTGTGTAGGCCGCGTTCACCACCACCGTTGCGAATGCCTCGAGCCGCACGTCTGTGGTTCTGACCATTGACAAGAAGGCCAGCTTTGTTCTGTGCTCTTTGACTCCGGGCGTCATCGAACAGCAGCCCTTGACATACCTTCCTGGAGGGCGAGGTCATCACCTTGGAGACCCAGGGTGACAACGAGATTGACCTTACGGGCAACTTTGTCTATGACCCGAGAACGACTCGGACGATGAGGGTGAGGACTCGATGAGGACTACTCTGGCGAAGAGGGCACCGACATTGATCTCAGCACGCTCGACGCCGACCAGATCCAGGAGCTCATCAAGCTTGGCTATCTCAACCCCGAGGACGCGTTGGAAAACGGAGATGATTCCGACGAGGAGTATGACTCGGAGGATGCCGAGACCGACGGTCGTATTCGCGAGATCACCGATGAGGAGGAGGCTGAGCTTGTTGAGGAGGTTGTTGAGGAGCCCCCGGTTAAGGAGGTGAAGATCAAGAAGCAGGCTGATAAGAAGCGCAAGGCTGAGGAGGAGGCTGAGAAGAAGGCGAGGAGGCTACGTCGAAGAAGGCCAAGCTGGCTGAGAAGAAGGCCAAGCAGGAGGCTGAGAAGAAGGCCAAGCAGGAGGCTGAGAAGAAGGCCAAGCAGGAGGCTGAGAAGAAGGCCAAGGCTGAGGCTGAGAAGCCCAAGGCTGAGGCCGAGAAGAAGGCCAAGTCCAATGTCCGCGAGGTTGGCGGTGTCATGGTCGAGACCCAGAAGGAGGGTGAGGGCGCGGAGCCAAGAACGGACAGCGCGTCGCCATGTACTACATCGGCAAGCTGACCAGCGGCAAGGTCTTTGACCAGAACACCAAGGGCAAGCCCTTCTGGTTCCGCCTGGGCGCCGGCGAGGTCATCAAGGGCTGGGACAAGGGTATCCTCGGCATGAAGCGCGGCGGCGAGCGTCGTCTGACCATCCCCGCCAGCATGGCCTACGGCAAGCGCGGCGCTCCCCCAGATATTCCCGGCAACGCCACCCTGGTCTTTGACATCCGTTTGATTGACTTTAAGTGATCCCCGTATGTTTTATTTATATTTTCCTCATTACAAATTGATTGTCTTTTTTCCTATGCGACAATACCAAAAAAAAGTATCAATTTATTTATTTGCTCTGTTATCGAGAAAGAAAAAAGGGACTGCTGTTGTGTCTACATTTTGTCAATAATACAAAATAATAACAACAAAATGAATTAGGAGGAAAAGTACAGCGATGCCACAGCGGCAGCCAGTATGCCAGTGACTGCGGCGGTCTCCAAAGCCAGCTGGCCAGCCTCGGCTCTGGTAAACCCACGCTCTTTGTTTTGTTCGGACTCGTTGCTCGGTGCATTGCTTGCGCCGCTATGCTTGCTTGGCCGCGCTGCCTTCCACAGCATGCTCTTCCACTTCCAACTCGAATCAGCGCTGCGTTGTCTCTGTGCCGCTGCAGCATGCGAGTAGTACATGTCGAGCTCCGAATCGCTGTAACCGCCGTCGTCGCCAGCAAGAACCGAAGCAATAAGGCCATTTTCAGCAGCGCCTCGTGGCAGCGTGGATGATGACGACAGCATTGGTAATGGCGAGCCCAAAAGACGATCAGCAGTCGCGCTCATCTCGGCCTCCTGCCTGGTGGCAATCACGCCCAGGGCGGCAGTGACGTTGGCCAAGTGGCCGGCAACGCCCGCAATGCTGCGCTCATGCTCAGCCTGGCGCTGCAACATACCCTGGGCAAAATCGTCAATCCTCGCTTGTTGGTCGCCAATCGCTGCAGTCAGCTTCTCGTCGACGCCGGCGACGATCTTGCGCCTCTTGCGCGGCTCAAAAATGGCCTGAGCCATAAACAGCGCCAGTATATTCATAAACAGCACGGCCCAAGTGCCGTACGTACTTGCACGGCGTATTTTATCGCTCCAAATCTGCTCCTCATGGTACCGCTCCCTGATAGTCTCCACCAACTGATCGTACCGCCGATCAACCAGCGCCTCGGCTCTTTGAGGCTCTCGCTGGCAGACAACTCGGTCATCTCCGCCTGGTGCTCGTCCTTGTAGAGACCGGTGAAGCGAGCAACATCGTCTTCGTTCCACAGGTGCTTACGCTGCAAGAGGCTGTTAATCTCGCGTTGGTTCGCAATGCGCTCCTGCACGGTGCGCGCGTGCAGCTCCTTTATCTTGTCCAAGTCGTGGCGCGCAGCTTTGAATTTGGAGCCGGATTCTTCCACTTTGGTTTTGAGATCGAAGATGCGGTTGTATCCGGTCATCTGGTTGAGCGCTTTGCCTAGCCATGTCATCCAGTCGTCGTCCTTTGGTAGCCCACGGATCTGGCTGAGCGTCTGGCGGCTTGACTCTACTGCTCGGCCAAAGGCGCCGCTCATTATACGGTCTGTTGCTGAGCCCTTTGTGTCCGCAGCGCCGGTGCTGGTTTGCCTCGTGCTGGCGGTGGCAGCAAAGTGGCGCAACCAGCGCAGAATGCTATCGCTCGCCTGCGAACTCTTTAACCAAATATTGGATGTTCTTTCTGGCGCTGGTCCCGCATCGCCTTCGCTAAGAGAATCGGCCGTGTGGCTCTTTGACTTCGCGTCCGGATCATTCAATCGACTGTTATTTTTGGCCTCCCTCAGCCGAACCATCAGAGGTTCATGGGCTGGTGCCATTTTGGCGGCGGCAAGTATATAATGTTTAGCGGCACAAGAGCTGTTACTGTATTGTTGCTCTTTATCTGTGGGTCATTGGCCGATGATAGTCCGATTGATCGGGCATGGTCGGGCTCGAGGATTCTTTGAAGCACTGACTCTACGGGCTCCCTGTCTTTACTGCCACAGTTTTCGGATATTGATTGCGGCTGCGGCTGCGGCTGAGATTGAGATTGGAGGCTCTGGAGGTGATACGGAGGTTGAGTACTTGAAGATCCCTGCTGCTGCTGTTGCTGTGGTGTTCCTGACACTGTAGCGGTATTGTGGTGTAAAGACAACCAGAGCTGATATGGCTCGTCGAGCGGCGACAACTGTCATTTCGAAAGGAGGCGGGGTACTGGTATTTTAAACCAGGGGGTAGTATTGTTGCTGATAGAATAAAGCGACAAAAAAGAAATATGGAAATAAATGTGCAAAGGGAGAAGAACAAAGTCGACGAATTCCAAAAAAGGACAAGGATAAACGCAGGCAGCTGAATATCGAAAACCTTGGGATCAAAAAGGTAGTGCACAGTGGGGGAAGGATGACCGAGTGGAATTGCCCCTTCCCCCTCCTCACACACATACATGCACAAGCGCGCGATCAAATCGGATCAGTGGTTTATTTTTCAATGGTTTTTTGAGCACTTTGTCTTTTTTGCTTCTTTTTATCTTTTCATTTGTCGTGAAATTTCTGTAATTATTATTATTTTCTAAATTTACGCGCAAACACACATAAATACATAAAAATGGTTTTCAACGCGATTCGCAAGGCTACGTTTGACCAGCCGTTTGCCGTTTGGGGCCTGGCACTTGGATTCACAGGTACGACATTCGAAAAAGAAATAAACTGAGGGGAGGAATTAAAGGGTGAAATCGATTCTGACTGGCGGAAGTGAAGAGCAATGAGCAATGGACAATGAACAATGTACAATAGGCAATTTGGCACTAGCAAAGTCGACAAAAGAAGAAATATAAATATTACTGAGACGCTGACAAAATGAATTGTTTTTCTACATTTGTAATGTTTGTAGGACCGCTGCTGATGCTGACTGTGCCTCCTCTTCGGCAGAAGCTGGGATACCAGGCGCCAACGCTGTCCCTGAGAACTATCCTTGTAAGTACAAATAACTTGACTGTAATGCTGTCTTTTTGTTTACATTGCTTTATTCTGGCACGTGTATATTTATGCTGAAAGAAAAGCCTTGAATATTTTTTGCTTATCTGTTTTTCTGTTTGTAGTGCCGAACCGTGCTAGACGCGCCACCTCGGGCTTTGAGGACTAAGTGGATGGTACGCGAAAACAGTGCGGTCTGGTTTTTTTGGTAACCAGAGGCTGTGCGTGAGAACGAATCGTACTATTTTATTACAATCGAATTTTTCTTCTGCTTTCCTTTAGTCAGTACATTTTCATCTTTAGCAACAATAATTACCAAATGATAAAGTGACAAAGTGGCAGAACGGCACTTGAGAAGAGAAAGTGGGGCTTGGGTGCATGCTGCATATAACAGATGAAATGACATTCTTGTTTGTTGGGATATCAGATATGCAATACACTATTGAAAATGAATGTTGGAATTTCCAGACATTTATAGTGAAAGTTCAGATTTTTAAGCGGGGAATTTTTAAACACTGTTTCTTGCGCAAGAAGACACCGTTTGAGTCGGCTGAAGTTGAGTGAGTCTACAGCGACACCCGAGACTTTGCTCAAGCCCGAGCCTAAGCCCAAGCGGGTGTGCAAGAATCAATCTGACCCTGCTTCTCTTCAAAAGAAGCAGCGAACTGATTAGTATCGTCAACCATAGTGGTCTATTGCCACTAGTTTCTAAACACTTTGTCTGGGGGGAAGGATGTCGGTTTGAAGCATATTTGCAGCCTCATTATTTTATTTTAATGTAATGTTGCGCAGACTGAAGATATGGAAGCAGATGTTGAGGTCGAGAACCGCGAAACAAGTTCCCACCTGCGCGCTGATCGATAGGACGCTAATTGGATAATGCAGGTGTAAATCAGGGAGGCATCACACTGATGCCCAAACATGCCCCCCATCCTGTAATGCACACGCATAAGCGTACACGCACGAAAACCACAACATCGACTTGCCAAGATACCGGTCTACTCGCAGAAGATCCAGTTCTCACCAACGGAGCGCACAATGGACAATGTGCACGACAAAGGCGACTGGGAACATATATAAGATGAGGCTGGCCCCTAGTAGTACTTTAGAAACATCAGTAATAAAACCTTTTATAAAATCACCCCTAACTTTTAACACTAGACAACTAGTGCTCCTCACACCCCCCTCTTACTATAACAAAATTTATTACTCGCTTACATACATAAAACAAAACAAAAACACAACAATGTCCGTCAGGTCAGACGTGACAATGCAGACTGCAATTCACCCCATACCTCCTGCCACTGCCCCTACTGCCCCTACTGCCCAGCTGACTACCACCTCCTCTGCCCAGACCCCAGCCAAGGCTGCCAAAGAGGAGCTGGACCTGCTCCGAGACTATGCCAAGCGGTTCAATGGCGAAGATATCGGAAATCCAACCAAGCAGTGGATTGCAGGGATCCAAGAGACAATCAACTTCATCTTTACCCGCACTCCTGCAGTAATGATTGTCACAGCACTCCAAAAGCTGCTTGACGGACAAGCTGCCAGACGCATGGGCACCCTAGACGTGAACACACCAGAAGAGTTCTTTGAGAAGCTCCTTGAATGCATCCCGCAAGCAGACTTTGTGGCCAAGGCACACAGCATCGCTGCTGGAGGCCCAGCCAAGGCCTTCAAGAACATCCCTGCAGTGGACAGGGTCAACTATGCGCGCAGGCTCTACAAGGCCATGGGTGGTGGCGACTATGCTGCAGTCACTATCTCACGCCTAGTACATGGCCTTGACACCCGCTCCTGGGCATGTACAGGAAGTGCGCCCAATGATGTCACTGCTGAGACCCTCCTGGACCGACTCAAGGCATTCGAGACAGTCCACAAGATAACCCTACTTTCATATGGCAACAATGACCCAAAAGCCTGAGCGGCTTGGGTATCAGTTACACTATTGGGACAATAAATATGTTTAACTCTACTCAGGCCGCCCTGTGCCATTTTACGAAAATACCCGGTTTCCGCGCACATAATAAGCCAGCAATGGCTGTAGCCGACAATGGCGCTGCTGTCAGCCTGGTCACCATGGCTGCTGCCAAGCGGTTGAAGCTGCGTATCCGCACCAACTCGAGGCCAGACCTGTTCCCCATCTGGTCAGACAAGGCATACCAGAGCATTGGGCGGGCCACCGTCTGCCTGCAGGTCGAGGGTGGCCCAAAGTTCTGGGACGATGCAGTCGTTGTCGACATGAAGGTGCCATGGGAGCTGCTGGTGTCAAACCATGCCCAAGAGGGCCTGGGCATCCGCCTCATGACCCCAGCAATGCGCCGACGCCTTAAGGGCACAGAACGCACCCCTGACCACCCAGACAAACTTCCCGATGGTCCCCGTGCTGTACGCGACTCGGATTATGACACTATGCCAGACCCCACAGTGGCACAAGACCCGCAGATGTTCCCACTAATGGACGGCCCGCCTGATGCGCCCCCGATCAAGGAACCAGTTGTCTCACGCCCAATGCGGGCACGACTAGGCCTACCAACTGGCTATTTTGTTGAAGCGCGCGATGCCGACTTCCACAAGTGGGATGCACTGTATCCAGCAGTGACGACGGAAAATGTTGCTAGCCGCACAACGGATCAGTGCACCACGGACGAGCTCCACAAATCCCTGCTAAAGACCCTTATGACTGCTGCTGGCGCCCTACGTGAGTACCCGAGTGGCTGCCCGCCGCCAGCAGCCTATGCGCCCATCCGACCCCCAATGCGCACAAACGCGTGCCCCCTGTACACCGTCCAACACACACTCAGCGAGCCTGCTCACAAGGCCCGAAACTCTTTCGTTGCCAACCGGCTCAAGTATGGAATAGACGGTCCATCGGTTGCATTCGCCCAGGTCCCTGTGTTCTCCAAAGTTAAGCCGAACTCGACGGACAGGCGTGTGCTGTTCGACGACTCAGCAAACAACTCGTTACATATGCTGAGCGTTGGAATGCAGCTGCCGACGCCAGTCGAGCGCATTATGTTCCTGCGTGATGCCAAGCTGATCTCGTCAGTTGACATGGCATCGTTCTTTACGCAGCTGCGCCTGGCAGAGGACGTCGCAGACTTCTGGACCTATGACGGGGGCAGCGCAGGCAAGGTACGCAACCTACGCATGGTGCAGGGAAACTCCGAATCCCCTGCCATTGCCCAGGCCTTCCTGACCCATGTTCTGTCCGGCGTGCCAGAGCTGCGGCCACGTCTGATGGTCTACATTGATAATGTTTACCTAAAGTCGACCACCGGCAATGAGACTGATCACATCCACGATATAGGGCTGTTTGCTCGGTGTCTGGCCCGTGCGAATGTCACGATTAACATGTCCAAATCACTGTGGTGCGCGACTACAGGCGTAGAGATCTTGGGGCGTCGGTGGTCCGCCGACCGGACATGGCAGGCCTTTGACCACCGAGTGGAAACAATGCGAGCACTGGAGATGCCGACGACGGTCGCAGGCATCCGGCGTCTGTGCGGCGGCATTAACGCAATTGCAGAGCATATGGAATGGATCCAGATCATCCTAGCTCCCTTCTACCAGATGGTGGGCAAGACGCGGTTGACGAAAGACGACATCAGATCACTACAGGAGCCCTGGCATGCGCTTAAGCAGGCACTGCTCGACGTTCGACACCTCTACATACCCCCGCCTGGAGCACCGCTGGTACTGCGCACTGATGCTGCGGGCGCCGGTGTGGGTGCCGTGCTACTGGCCCAGCGCTCTGACGACCCTGAGGACCTGGCGCCGGTATGCTACTTCTCACGGGCATTTGGAGGCATGCAAGGGAGGAAACACTCAACCTGGCGCGAGGCGTGCGCTGTGTACGAAGCTGTGAAGCACTTCTATGCGTACCTTGATGGGTGTGCAAACTTGAGGATCGAAACGGACTGCGGCACGGTGGTCTCGCTGTTCGCGCACAAGACCACCAACGACGCCGACCCCCTGGCGCAATTCAAGCTTGGCCTCAGCGAGCTTGGCATAAAGAAGCACATGATCGTCCACCGCCCTGGAGAACTGCAGCAGACCGCCGACTGGCTATCACGCGCAAAAGAGTTCCTGCGCCCGCAAAAGAAAAAGACACTGGGCAATGTAGATGATGATGAGGTAAACACCCTTGTCAACCCAGCGACCGAGACAGTTGGGGGCGAGTATGTCTACACAATTGGCGCCATGGATTTCGAGGGCGACCAATTCACACGCGAATCAAATGGCGAGAGGGTGGCCTATTGCATCGGGGCCTTTGCAGCAGTAACCCCAATCGTCTATGCCAATGGCGACGAGCCCGACGCACTTCCCAACGGCGGCACCATGAGGAACAACCCCATGACCGCCGCTGCCCCCATGCAAACTATAGCGGCCCGTACACGCTCAGCCAACCGAGCGCAGACCATCCAGCAGACCAAGCCCCAGCGCAAGGCAAGCAACCCCGTCCTCGGCCAGGCCACAATGCCGCAGACGGCCCATACAACGCCCCCTGTGAGCGGGGCTCGTAAGCGCGGCAGGCCACGGCGTGAGGGACAGACCATCACTGCATCAACTTCACCCACACCCCCAGCAGACCTGCCTCGCAAGCGTGGCCGTCCCAGGCGTAAGCCAGTGGAGGCGCCAGCAGCAGCTACGGTGACTCCAGACGTACCACAGGCCAAATCCCCGGCAGCAGAGCCCCCAGTGGCGACGCGGCGTGGGCGCGGTAGACCCAGACGCAGTGCACAGACAACAGACATGGCACCCGAGCAGGAGCCGGCATTGCCGGTGGCGCTCAACACACCCGTCCGGCACAAGCGCGGCAGACTGAGGCATGCCGTACAGGGGGCAACAGTTACCCCCACCCCTGCGCCCGAGCCGACCCCTATGCCTGCACCTGACCCAGCTACTACCCTGCCCGTGGCGCCGACACCGGCATCCATGAGCCAGCAGTTCGCAAGAATCGCGTCTGCGCTAGAGGACTTACCGAATGTCGCGGACTTTCTGCACTGCCAGGATGACGATGCTGAGATCCAGTCCTGGATCAAGCTGTGCAAACAACGCGAGGCACTCAACGGTCCGACAACTCCCGAATACAATGTCGTCAGCAAGAAGGCCTTGCGTGACGGGCGATTGTACGCTCTGGCCCCCAGTGACACGCCCGGGCCAGTAGGCATGTGGGTGCCCATACTGACGCGTGAGGCGGCGCGAGACTTTGTACGCAAGGCACACCAGGCCCTGGCACACGCTGGGTACAAGCGGACCCTCGACTTCGTGCGCGAGCTGATTACATGTCCGGGCCTGGGCACAGTGGTAGAAAGTCTGACAAAGTGCTGTCACACCTGCCAGATGACAGCGATCCAGAAAAAGTCACACACACCCAAGATCATGTCGTACATTGCAAAGCCGCTCGAACATGTCTACATCGACTTGCTACACATTGGGGACAGAGGAGAAGCACCTCAGGATGCGTTAGTAGCAGTTGACAGTGCGAGCGGGTTCATGCAGATCTATGCAGTGGACGACACAACAACAGCAACACTCACCGATGTCCTTGAGAGCGAGTGGTTTGGCACCTACGGAAAGCCAAAATATCTCACGTCGGACAACGGCCCGCAGCTCGTGTCCCATGACTTTGAGGACTTCCTGAGCAGGGAGGGCGTGACGCACATCACAACCGCCCAGTACCATGCTCAGTCTGACTTGGCTGAGGCCGCAGTCAAGAAATTCAAGCAGTCATTGCGATGCTGTTTCACCGATCAGCCGGACGAGGAGGGCTGGACGCAGCACATCCCGCGCATTGTAGCTGCACACGCCTGTACGCGCTCGGAGGCCATCGCCAACACCCCGGCGGCAGTTTTCTTCGGCGAGCCTGCGGTGCGTGTAGCGACAGCATACGCCCAGTTCCCTGAGGGTGAGAGCCCCCCCAGTGAGGAGGAGATCACCGAGATGATACGTGAGCAAGCAGCTGAGCACCGCAAAATGGTCCGCCAGCGTGCCAACGCCAGGGACAACAGAGGCATCGACCCCATCTGGTTTGAGCCGGGTGAGTGGGTGACCTGCCGTGCACTCCCCAAGGCCAGCTCAGTGGCAGATCAGTTTGCACGCCGCCTGGGTCCGTTCCGAGTCGTGTCGCGGCACAAGACCTCCTACCACCTGGCCTATGCTGACGGCAAGCCCTTCCATCGCATTGTACCAGGCGACGCGATCACGCGGTACCACCATGGAGCCTCAGAACGGATCGCGGAGATCGCCCGCAGATCAGAGCCATCAGGCTCAGAGTGGACGGACTCAGAGTGGGCGACCAGCGAGTACGGGGACGGCGGCACGGGCCTCGGCGGGGGCAGCCCAGGGCCGTCGGCACCGCGCCCAAGAGCATACGCTCAAATGCCCGAAGCTAGGGCCCAAATGCTGATATCCCTCCCGTCGGACCCGGGCTACTCATGGCCGGAGACGCCGGCGGTTGGTTCCCCGCCCGAGTCACATGTACAGTTCATGGGCCAGGCCCACCCCAGGATATTCGCGCCCTGGCACCCAACCACACTCGAAGAGGAAGAGGAGGATGCCCCTCAAGTTGCTTTGGAGCCCGCACACATTAGGGTGGGACCATTCACACCACCCCCACAGTCGCCGGGCTCGCCGGACAGCATGGACAACAGCGAAGCAAGATCCTTCCTGACAGAGATCCGCCACCAGCCAGCAGGCAGACTAGAGGTCCCAACAGCCCAAGTGGTCGCTGAGGACGTATCCGAAATGGAGGATGATGGCGACGGCGACAGTACCGGGCCCTACGAGGGACTGCTTGCAAGAGCCGCTGAAGAGCCATATGTGGATGAGCATGACACTGAGAGTGAAGAAGAGGAAGAAGAAGAATACGTGAACGACAGCCGAGACGATAGTGAAGATGTGGCTGGCGGGGCTCTCGTTTCCGACGAGGACGGCAGCACAGCCCCAGAAGGCGAGGACGCTCAAGTCATGGGACACACGCGGGCCTACGATCAGGTGATTGTGACACGGCCCGCGGGTGCACTGCTGACCAGGAAACCGGCTCTGCCGACAGCTGAGATCGTGCCCGGCCGGCCGGTCAAGAGAAGTCGAGCGCTCACGGAGGCAGGCTCGGAGGGCGTGCAGCACCACCCGGATGGCCGGGAGGCACTGCCCATATATGACCAGTCACCCTCCCCCCCGAGCCGAGCCAGGCGGCTAAGGTCCGACGTATTCCACGAGCAGAATGAGACCGCCGCTGGCGACACTGGTCTTGACGTTTTTGTTGCGCAGACTGAAGATATGGAAGCAGATGTTGAGGTCGAGAACCGCGAAACAAGTTCCCACCTGCGCGCTGATCGATAGGACGCTAATTGGATAATGCAGGTGTAAATCAGGGAGGCATCACACTGATGCCCAAACATGCCCCCCATCCTGTAATGCACACGCATAAGCGTACACGCACGAAAACCACAACATCGACTTGCCAAGATACCGGTCTACTCGCAGAAGATCCAGTTCTCACCAACGGAGCGCACAATGGACAATGTGCACGACAAAGGCGACTGGGAACATATATAAGATGAGGCTGGCCCCTAGTAGTACTTTAGAAACATCAGTAATAAAACCTTTTATAAAATCACCCCTAACTTTTAACACTAGACAACTAGTGCTCCTCACACCCCCCTCTTACTATAACAGTAAGACATACGAAAAAATAAATTATAATAAAATTATATAGGCACTAAAAGAAACAAACATGAGAAAACAGTTACCCTTAACTCTGTTCTTTCTCAGGCCCACTTGCCGATCAGCGCCATGATACCAGCACCGATGAAGCAAGTGATAAAGCAGGCCGCCTTCATGGCCGGGCGGAAGTTGCGGAACTCAATCGTGCTAAACTCCTCAGCTAGCAAATTGACAAGACCAGCGTAAAGCAGAATACCTGCGGACAGCGAGTCCAGCACGCCCATGGTGATCAACGCACTGGGCGAATTAGGCTGATATGAGTACCGCACGCCCACACCAATGACCATCCCAAGCGGCGTAATCAGCATGAACGCAGCGGCATTCAACGCAGCGCGCAAAAATCCATGGCTCTTGTACTCCATCTGCGCAATGCGGCTGCCGAGCGCTAAGCCCTCGCAGAACTGGTGGAAGCAAATGGCCACTAACAGCGTCTTAAAGCTGGTGCCCGTGGTCACCGACAATGTCAGCCCAATAATGACTGAGTGTAGGCAGATACCGAGCTCGAGGATGTACGTTGAGATGCGGTGGCGCTGTGCTGTGAGCGCGGCGCTCTCGCCGGCTGTTGGGATGAAGGACAGTCCGTGGACGTGTGTGTGGTGGGTGTGCACGGCGACTGCGTCGCAGTTCTCATCGTCGCCGTCGCGGGAAAGCTCAGGCAGGCTGGTGCTGATGGATACCTTGCGCGCGTGCGAGTGATGGTCTGACGCTGAGACTGACTCTGTGCGGCTACTGCTGGTCCTGAGCGCATCAGTGGTCTGGGCCTCCAGGTCATGGCCGTGGCTATGGCCGTGGCTGTGGCCGTGGCTGTGGCCGAGGCGGAGGGTCTCGGTGGTAGGCAGACTGTGCGAATGCGAGTGCGATCCCATTGTGTGGTTCGACAGGAGGAACTCCATAAGGTGCATGGCGAAAATCGCCATCATCGCGAGCACACCCGGCCAAGAGCTATAGTCGCCCATACGGTTGCCAACGCACTTGCTGTTGAGGCTGCCAATAGCCGACGGCAGCATATGAATGAGCGCCGTTGAGATGATGACACCGGTGCCCAGGTACTTGCCCAGCGTCAGTGCGGTCTTGGGGATGCGCAGTACGGGCAAGTAGTGGCCGACGACCGGCAGAAAGGATCCGAGGCCGCTGACGGCCATGACGATGAAGATGGCCGCAATATGTAGGCCCTTTTCCCAGTTGTCGATGCCTGTGGCGCTGCAGTCAACGTCCTCGTCGTCGTCACCGCCGTGGCTATGCCCGGCGTGATCGTCTGCCCGCCGGAACTTGTGCTGTGAGAATGTTGCGGCTGTCGTGGCTTGGGCGCCGGCAAGCACCAGAAGAAGCAGCGGCATAAGCACCCTTGATGTAGCTTGTGCCTTGAACATATTTTTTATGGCTTGGAAAACTATTGTTGGTTGCTGTGCTTAAAATGCAGACGTATGGATATGTGTGATTACTTGGGCTCTATATACAAACTGATTAAACTAAAAAATATATAAAGTGATATCAATTGACCCCCCCGAACCTCTTTTGCTAATAGAGCGGATATAAAAAACAGAGCAGCAGAAAAATAGAGGATCTAGTGGTGCATAATGTGTAGGGTACTCGTTGAGAGAAAAAATTTATCGGTGTGGCAAAATCGATTTATTTTATAGCTGCTTCACAAGAAAGAAGCGAGAGGACAGCCAAGACAACCGAAAGGGTCGCTGTTATTCCTTCCAACAATCTCTCTTTTTTTCTTCCCACTCTTGCTTTCTTTTTTCTTTGGGGTGTTTGTAAGAAAAAAATTCATTGCGAAAAGGGCGAAAAAGGAAATACAAGAAAATATTCCACCCATTTCAGATACTTTCTTTTTTTTGCTCTTATAATGGCAGATACAACACCAACAACACCAATACAGTGTTTTTTTACTTTGCAGACTCATCAACTGCAGCAAACCTGCTCTTTTTTTTATCGCATGGAAGAAAATTTTATTCGTTGATCTGCAACGTCTTGCAAATCCCTAAACACTGAAAAAGAAAAACAATGTAGATACAACCGACAGGGTACACACGCTTATCCTTTTTATTTTTTATTTCTTGAGTTGCTCTCAGGGTATTTTTCTCTAAAACGCGCCATTCGCTTAGCATACCATTCCGTGTCATGCCATTCCATCCCATGCTAAGAAATTGAATGGAACAGACAAAAAGAACAAATGGATTAATGACCTTTGACCGCAAACACAATACTTTAAAACTTCACAAACTCCACCTAGCAGTCGAATTATAATGCGAAATAAAGAGGAGGTGAATAATAAAATATGCGTTTATGTGCGCTACGACATGGCTGCAATATCGACACAGATAATGGCTGTGAATGTTTCTTTCCTTCGTTGTGGTTCTGCAAACAACCAAGCAAAAAAAGTAGTTCATTCACTTTCGTTTTTTTGTATCTCGCCCGCTACCCTTATCCACTATTCCTTACTTTCTACATTTATTCATTTATTTGTTTGTTTGTTTGTCCGAATGTTTAAAATAGGAAGGGATTGCACAAATTTAAACTGGTAAATCGCCATTATTGAAAATTTTAAATGGTAATGAGGGGCGTGTGCATCACCGTTGGGGTACCCTCTCCTGTGCCCAAAATAACCAAAAAGGAATACAAACAGAAAATTATCCAAGACGCTATCTCCGATGCTTCTCATTGGCAGAATACATACTCCCGCGAGATTGCACATTGCATATTCAGAAATTACAAAAAAGGCCAGTATCGTGTGGGTTGTTTTTCATTTTTATTCTTGTTTATTGTGACGAGATAAACGTGTTGTGCAACCGGTGGGGTACATTCTATATTGTGTTTTGTGCCCTTGTGTCCTGTGCATCGTGCATTGTGTTTTGCTTGATTATTGTCGTTGTATTTTTCATTTATGTAATTCCATTTTTTCGCTGTTTCTAAAAGTTGCTCAAGTGAAAATGAAATATTTACTTTTTTTCCCCAAAAGGGTGCGCATAAATTTGCATATCTGTCGACATTTCATCTCGACAACTACCTTCTCACATATATTTAGCTGAGTTAATGCCTAGTTGCCAATATCCGCTTGGCGCATTGTTTTCAGCTTACGGAACGCCATCTATATTCTTTTCTGACACGGGAGATGCTTAAGTGAAAAACAATACGTTTTACTTACTTAAATTCATTCATTGTTTAATAAACTTGAACAGTTTTCTGTTTCTCACGCTTTCAAAATTTTGCATATCTGTACGCGCAGTAGCTAAATAATAACAGTTCAATATATTTCTATTTGTTAAATTTTCTCTGACAATACATGTCCCGCGTGCTTGGGGGCTTTGGCTCCTTTTCCTGTAGCACAATGCTCGTACCAGATTTACACGGCAAAAATCACGTGCAGCATTGGCGTTTTTTACACGTGACCGGAAGAAAGGGGATATCTTTGTTTAAATCACATAATAATCAATTATAGTTTGATCAGATCCCGCACAGATCAAATCAAACTCGATATTTGAAAACCATGTGGCCTTGCAAATCCTCAACATTTCCTGTCGCGTGCACGCAGCCCACCTTTCCCTGAATGTATGCGGGTGATATTGTGCCCAGCCTTTTCACCCATCCTTTCCTCCCAACTTTTATTATTGTTTTTGCAAAGAAACGACAGCCACACAAAAGCAAAATATGAAAAAAAAACTGGCCATATTCACTTGTTTTTTGGGCGCTTTCCCTGCAAAGAAAACGGTGACATCACATCGTGTGTTGTCATCAGTCCTTTACAATTTTAGGTTAGTTTTACTAAGGCAAGGTGTTTGAGTTGACCACAACATCGTGGTTGTAAGTGAACACAATATATCCGCCACCGCTGCAGTTGTTATTCTTGTTTTCCTTTTCGGGTTTTATTATTAATATTCCATAGCTTTAGGTTCACCCCTTTGTCCCTTTGTGCAATGTGTACTTGGCAAGGCAAGGGGTTGAAATTTATTATTCCTTTGGGGGTGTTAATTCCTGATTGTTTTGCATTTCACCACACTTTGTATCGAGCAACCTGTTTTTAAAAAGTGCATCGAAATCGAAGAGATAAATATAGGCAGATATATCAGCTTTGTGGGTGAATAGGTTGTTTTAAAATCTGTCAACTCAAAATAATGAATACTTGTACTTGTTTTTACATTATCCGTTGTTTTTTATTTCATATTTTATATTTGTACTCTTTTATATACTTACCAAATTTCAATTCAATTCACTTGTCTATTTATTCTTATTTTACACACTTTCTACACAAATACACAAACACACAAATGAGCGAGTTTCTTGTCGGAGTTTGCATGACATACAACCAGCCAGAAGACGACCGGTTTAACGCAGCAGAGTTCCCCTTTGACCTTATAGGGTCTTACCGGTCAGAGCACGACATCCCACAGTACACCTTCGAGCTTGAGCTGAGAGTCCAACGTGAAGTGTATGAGTTCAAGCGCGAAATGAACCTACACGCTATGCATTTGGAGCAACAGCGGTTGGCTGCCAAACAGGCATCAATGACAGTAACTTTGCCACAACAGAACCAGCAGCAGCAACAACGGTTGCAGTTGCAGCAGCAGCAGCAGCAGCAGACAGTGACTCCGGCAACTAAAATAACAATTGCAGAGGCCATAGGCGCCAAGAATTTATCGGCGAAATTAACAGCGACACCGGCCAAATCGACAAAGGCCGCGGCGCCAGGCAGAATCACATCTATAGCGGCAGCGGTGGCTGCAGCCTCGAGCATTCCTCCAATGCTTTACTCACATACTGCGCCGATACCTGCAGCAGAAGTTGGAGCCGGTATAAAGTCTTCCGAAAGCGAATATGACCTGGATGATGACCACTTGCACGACAAGCAGTGGAATGGGCAGTCTGCTTATACACAGTCTATGCAGCAGCAGCAACAGCATAATCATGTGCATGTTGTACCCTTGCATATGATTAAAAACAGATTGCCGCCAGCAAAGACACAAGAGCAGAGGCCGCTGACGAGCAGGTTTAAGAGCCTGTTCAGGTCAAAGTTGAGGGCTGTGCCCAAGGCGTAGCCTTGTTGAAGCAACAACATTCACAGAAATCCAAAATGAAGACCTCTTCTTAAATTTTTGCAACAACAACGCACCACGCATCTCCTCTTCCTCTTCCTCCCTCACCATCTATCCATTACGATATTTCCTCATCATTCATTCATCACGACATCCTCACCAAACACACCCTTTCCTATTTCTTTTTTCATTTTCATTTCCATTTTTTTCTCCATTTTGACGAACATGTATTTAATGACACGACATATTTTTACTTTATACTATTACTATTGTTATTAAGCTACAGCATAAACACACGGAATCCCAGTCGGAAGATCGGGTACTTTTTAAACAACGTTGTGATAAACGGCGTAGAGGCAAAGCCCTTTGGCAACACAATCGGCGTATTCAGCTCGTTATCCTTGATGATTCCCAGAACCTTATCGGCATCAATATTCCAATACTCGCCAGCCTCCAACCTATCCACGGCTTCATCCAAAACATACCCAATAATGCGATGAATCTGTGCCGAGAAATGCGACGCATCCCAGTAGAAATACTCATCAGGATTCTCGCAAACCGGAATGGTATTGGCATGGGTGACGAGCTCCAAAAAGTTGTAAAAATCGCTTCCCAAATCAACATCATACTTGAGTGTCTTCAAGCAGGGCAGCCTGGTGCTTTTAATATTGAGGGCCTCCAAAATGGGTTTTTGTTCAAGCACATTGATGATATCACGGAAGGATACATACTGGATCCACTTGAGTCTGCGTTTTGGGTCAGTCTCGTACAGCTTGTCCTCCTCGCGTATCTCTACGACGACCTTTTCCAGGGCAATGTTAATGCGGTTGACCGTGTCCCTGATGGCATCCGGGTAGTTCCCCAGTTTGCTTCTCGGCGAGTCATCGATGGGCGGCAACGAAAAAAGGATAAAGCGCGACACACCTTGCTCCTTCAACGACAGCATCTGGCCCTTCAAGTTGCTAGAAATCATAAATGGCAGGTAGTCAGGATCTATAGTACCAGCGAGAATGCCCTCAACAGAGCGGAAGATTTCATTCGCGCCCGCCGTAAACACAGCCACATCATCCTTATAGGCGCTTCCAGACACAGTCAGCATATGGTAGAGGTTGAATAATTTGACCTGCTGGTCCGTGCTCGGCATCTGCACCAAGCTCTTCACTGGCAGTGCCGTGATATTTCCATTATTAGTTGTTGCGCCGCCAAAAGCATAGTTTTCCATTGAGCGGCATTGCAGGTCCGAAAGGTACTCGACAAACGTTGGCCCGTTACTCCACCGGCCTTGGTAGTAAGGCGCGGATGGGAACAAATGCGAGATGAACGTGTACAGGTTGCCTGGGTCCACCAGACTCTCACCAAATACTAAAAGTCGCCCTCGTGCTCCTGGTACTCGCGGCTTGCGCCCATATGCTGGTGCAGCAAAGAGTGCACAAAAGAGTAAAAACAGAGAGGTCAGAAATACAAGACTCTGCCGGTACCTTTGTGTTGCAACAGCTACCATTGTATTTTTATTAGGCAAGTTGTAATAAAATAAAGTAACTAGTAAAAAAAATAGAAAAGCGTGAGGGGTCCGAAATGTAGACAAGAAACAAACTGACAGCGTAATTATTATTTTTTTGGATGACGAAAAAAAAGAATTGTGTAATTCATAAGAATTTCTTATGTCTACTTTTTATTTTTTGTATTTGTTTGCAATGATTATACATGCATGTAATAACCACATAAAAGTAATGGTAACCTTAAAAGTAGTAAATTCATTGCACTGAATATTTCAACTCAAATGTATGTGTAAAAAAGAATGGAATTATGTATTATTAGACGTAGCGTATTGACAGTAGCTTTTGGTAATGTAAAAGTAAGATCAATAAATCTATTTTCTCGTTTTTGGTGGTGTAAAATTTTAGATATGAGAATCAAGTCATAATCAAGACAAAGCCAGCATTAAAAAGTATTGTTGGTTGTATGACCCAGTGAATTGAATAAAGCCTCAAAAAATGATTCCGAAAAAAGGGTGTGCATACATGCATGCATGCGTGAAATATGTGCACATATCTTGCACATATTGCGGAATCAATAGAACTTGTTATTTTTTGTCTTTTTGTCACAAACGACAATTGTAATGTAATAGACAAAAATCATACGCACTCACATAGCGCACAGGTGCAGCTCATTCAACATTACATATGCAACAATTTGAGCTATATTCCTTAATAACAATAATTTACAGGATTGGCATTAATGCTGTCGAAATGGTGTCACTACACAAAAACATGCAGCAGCAGGAGCATCAAAAGGGGTCTTTAGATACCTTTTGTTATTGTTTTTTTTTGATTTTGCCCTGAAAACAACAATGCACAATGTCCGCTTCAAAAAATACATTCGATTATGAGGATTGGGGAGGTGCGTTCATGTTTCCTTTCGAGGATGTTAAAGCCCCCAAAAGCGCAGCCATCCAGCAGAGCCCAAGAAATAAGCAAACAATGCATATGCATCCAAAAAAGAATGAAACATGGGTGTAGGAATTAAGTAAATAATAAAATAAATTGTTGGCGTGGAGTTTTAGACATAAGCCGTGGTTCTCCATCTGCTGCCATTGAAAACCGATGAGGGTTGAGCTGTCGAGCGCCAGTAACAGCTGCCTTGATGTCAGGAGAGGGGCGATGATTATCCAGGCTTGTTGCGCTTGGGCACTGAATTTAAATCCTTTGGCGGTCTACCACAGCGCTTGAAGGCTGAGTGGTGCTCACCGAATTTGCAACGGTATTCGAAGATCATAATAAAATTGCAGTCTGATGCAATGTCGCGCTTCCAACACTTGAACTTGATGTTGAAGGTTCGGGGGGGGGAGGGAGTCGCATGCACGCAGTGTTTGTGCAGCGCAGAATGGCATGGCTCTTCGCATTTGGTCTCAGCTGGACAACACCAGGCTGAGGAGACCAGATCCTGCTGCTGCTGCTGCCAGGATTGAATTGGAGAATGGGGGTTTGTCTGTTGCAAAAACTCCCAATGACGTTATCCGGCATCGCTCAATGAATTCTATCTTTCTTGTTATTGCTACCGGATTAGGGACCGAGTGGGATTTCTCTGTCCTATTTTCTATTTTGTTCCCATGATGGCTCGGCCGGTTATTTTGTTCATCTGGCTCCGTCTCCTCTGATTCTAAACAGACAAAGAGAATGGAGGGGCCCTGTTAAAAAGGTGGCTAATTGCCCACTGCTGTGGGGTGTTTTTTTATTTTATCAAACCAGACAAATATCACACCGGTATCCCCCACTTTATCTTCAGCTGGCTCGCCTGCCTTTCCTTGCGCTTAGTTTCTTGGTTCTCCTTCCATCAATAAATTTTCTTTTACACTTTTTTCTCATACCCACTCTATTCATTCCATCTCAAATAGCCAATGCGCGACATCAACCAACCCCTACTATTCGAGACAGCCTGGGAGGTGGCCAACAAGGTCGGCGGCATCTACACAGTAATCAAGACCAAAGTGCCTGTGACCGTGCAAGAGTACGGCGACCGCTACCATCTAACCGGCCCATGGAACCGATTCTCAGCGCCCGTCGAGGTCGAGGAGATTGAGCCCGAGAACCCAGCCATCCGGGCAGCCATCGAATCAATCACGTCGCAGAACATCAAGGTGCTCTACGGGCGCTGGCTGATCGACGGTGCCCCGCGCGTGATTCTGTTTGACATCGGGTCTGCCGCCCACAAACTTGATGAGTGGAAGGGCGATCTTTGGAACTTGGCAGGCATTCCGTCACCGCCGAACGATATTGAAACCAACGATGCCATTATCTTGGGTTATCTGAACGCATGGCTGCTTGATGAGGTATGTTTAGTGTTTTTGCTTGTGACGTTTCGTTACTTCTCTTCCCTTTTGTCGCATGTGCTGTTGGTGAACGCCTCCCTTTTTGGTGTCTTTCCTTCAGCTTTGTTTTCTCGCCCCAAAAACAATCATTTTTTTATTCCCACACGTTTGAGTTTCTTTGTGCCGCATGTCTTATTTGGGAAACAAACAAGGCCAAAACGCCAGCCCAAACGTGGGGAGAGAGAGAGGGGGCAAAATGTTGCTTTATTTGCGCTTGCATATTGGCCATCGATCCTGCATCTGCCTATTTTGTGCTGGGGGGGTGTGCGCTATTTTTGTCTCATTCTTATCGGTTGCGCTACACTGCGCTGCGCTGCACTGGGCTATGCTGGGCCTGGCCTGGCCTGCCTTGCCCTAGCCTGGTTAAATATCGGAGAGACAGCGAGCAAGCCAAGCCAAGCAGCAATCAAGCCATATCAACAACTCGAGTCAACCCAATCCAAAAAAACCTCAATCAAAAGCCAATCGGGCTTTATCGATTTTTCGCGTTAATGTCTCGGTGAATATCTTCCCAATCAAACCTTGCAGGTATTGCTGTTAATCATCAGGCATCCTGCCAGCCAACACAAAGCAATCATCATCAATGCAGAAGGGAAGGGGGATGGTGGCTGGCTTGCTTGTTTATTTTTTCTACACGGGGTTCTCTCTATTTCCCCCTCTTTTTGTGCCCAACTGCCTCGCCTTGCCGTGCCATGTCATGGCATGCCTCACTTTGCCTTCAATTGCTTTTTCAATTTTCTCCCACAGAAGCAGCTGCATCTGGGTTGGCTTTGCATTGCCTATGTTTATGTTTTGTTCAAATTCTCACTCTTCTCACCCAAAAAGGGGGAGGTCCGAATGCACCTGCATATGCACTGTACTGCACATTGGCGAGCAAGCGCTAATCTACCCAATGTTCTAATTGTCTGTCCGTGTCTCGTTATCGTGCCCAAATCGGCCGCTATCGATCAAAATCCACCAATTGTTTTGTAGGTCTCCAAAAATGACACCAAACACGCAATCATCGCCCAGTTTCACGAGTGGCAGGCCGGAGTCGGTGCGGTGCTGTGCAACAAGCGCAAAATCGACGTGGCCACCATCTTCACCACGCATGCAACGCTGCTCGGCCGGTATCTGTGCGCGGGCAACGTCGACTTCTACAACAATCTCAAGAACTTCAACGTCGACGAGGAGGCTGGAAAGCGCGGCATATACCACCGCTACTGCATCGAGCGCGCCGCCACTCACTGTGTCGATGTATTTACTACAGTGTCCAACATCACGGCCTACGAGGCCGAATACCTGCTGCGCCGAAAGCCCGACGGCGTGCTGCCCAACGGCCTCAACGTTGTTAAGTTCTCAGCCATGCACGAGTTCCAGAACCTGCACCAGGTGGCCAAGGACCGGATCAACCACTTTGTGCGCGGCCACTTCTACGGCCACTATGACTTTGATCTTGAGAACACCCTGTACTTCTTTACGGCTGGTAGGTACGAGTTCCGCAACAAGGGCATAGACATGTACATTGAGTCGCTGGCGCGCCTTAATGCGCGCCTCAAGGCTTGCAACTCGCCGATCACGGTTGTCGCCTTCATTATTACGCCGGCCAAGGTCAACTCGTTTACTGTCGAGACGCTCAAGGGTCAGGCGCTGATCAAGCAGCTGGAGGATACTGTCGAGGAGGTGTCGGCGCGCATCGGCAAGCGCATCTTTGAGATGGCAGCGCGCGGCAAGGAGCCCAAGGTCGAGGACCTGCTGACCGAGCAGGACCGCGTACTGCTCAAGCGCCGCGTCTTCTCGCTGAAGAGAGACACACTGCCACCCATCGTCACGCATAACATGGTTAACGACAGCGAGGACCCTGTCCTCCAGCAGCTGCGCTCCGTGCGCCTGTTCAACAGCTCCGAGGACCGCATCAAAGTTGTCTTCCATCCCGAGTTCCTCAACGCCAACAACCCGGTCATCGGACTCGACTACGAGGAATTCATCCGCGGCACGCACCTGGGCGTCTTCCCGTCGTACTACGAACCGTGGGGGTACACGCCGGCCGAGTGCACGGTGATGGGCGTGCCGTCGATTACGACCAACCTGTCGGGCTTCGGCTGCTTCATGGAGGACAACATTGTCAGCCCACAGGACTATGGCATCTACATTGTTGACCGTCGCCTCAAGTCGGCCGATGAGTCAATAGACCAGCTAACCGGGTACATGTTTGATTTCTGCCAAAAGACGCGCCGCCAGCGCATCAACCAGCGCAACCGCACCGAGCGCCTGGCTGACATTCTCGATTGGAAGCGCATGGGCATTGAGTATATGAAAGCGCGCCAGTGTGCCCTGCGCCGCTGCTACCCCGACTCGTTTGACGACTCGGCCGCCTACTCGCCATACGACCGCGACAATGAAGAGGACGACTATGACGGCCGCCACCCGCACAAGCTGTCGCGCCCGCAGTCCATCCCTGGCACGCCGTTGATGGGCGCCGACCTGTCAACATACGATCTGGCAGCGCTCAGCATCAGCGCCGAGTTGCCCGGACTCAAGGACCACGACGAGGACCATGATCTGAGGCCGCCAATCCAGCTCAAGATGAAGACGCCGCTGATGACACCGACCATCCAAACGCCATGAACAACCCATGTGGGGAGGTCTTTTTTCATATACCTTTTTTTCGTATCTCATACATTATAAGAAAATAATGAGGCTGCAAATATGCTTCAAACTGACATCCTTCCCCCAGATAAAGTGTTTAGAAACTAGTGGCAATAGCCCACTATGGTTGACGATACTAATCAGTTCGCTGCTTCTTTTGAAGAGAAGCAGGGTCAGATTGATTCTTGCACACCCGCTTGGGCTTAGGCTTGGGCTTGAGCAAGGTCTCGGGTGTCGCTGTAGACTCACTCAACTTCAGCCGACTCAAACGGTGTCTTCTTGCGCAAGAAACAGTGTTTAAAAATTCCCCGCTTAAAAATCTGGACTTTCGCTATAAATGTCTGGAAATTCCAACATCCATTTTCAATAGTGTATTGCAGTTTTATCAACCAATTTAAACAAAAGCAAATAATGAATTACAGATAAAATGAAGTGACATTGTAAACATATTTCCAAAGGTGCATGCTTGTCGAGTTGTCACACCATTCCCCTCTTGGATCAGCGCTCTAGGGCCTCATCGAGTTCACGGTCAAACTCGTCGAGCTGTGCTAGCAGATCATCGACATTATCGTCATCGTTATCGCCAACATCGCCGATTGCAGAGGAATGATCGATCACGATAAAGGGCTCATCGGCAGTATCAATATTGTCACTGTTGCCATCATAGTCAGACACAACATTCAGCACAGGCATTTCCGGCGACACAGACCTTGTCGAAAAAGCCGCAAACCTCGCGGCAAACATGCTATCGTCCTCTTCCTCGTTCTCATCATTATCTCCTATAGCCCCGACTTCCATATCCTCAGGTCCAATTCCCAGGGCAACAACGCGGCCCAGCGCAGCGCGCGCAGCACTCAGAAGTACAGCCGAATCAGACTCATACCACGCAATCCTGCCTTCGTCTTCAAAGCGCTGCGACAAGCTACCGTAAATAGAAGATCCAACAGAAGCGTCAATACCACCACAATGTCCATTGGTGCTTCCTCCACTACTGGCACCAGCACCACCATCGTCAAACCGTTGCAATAGAATATGCAGTACCCTCGATGCGGTGTCGGAAATAGGCCGGGCCACAATGAGAAGGTCAAATAGGTGCCGAAGATTAGGTATCATTGATGAGTCCAGTCTCAAGCCCCCAGCCCTTAAAGCTCCGCCGCCAATATCCCCAGCAGTCAACACGCTGAGAAGCAGTTGCAGACTGGTGTGGATCCTGCGCAGCTCACTGGCATACCCTAATCCAGCAGATACCAGGCCAACGGCGCCTTCTAGAGACTGCTGATGCTGATACTGCTGCTGCTGGTTGTCGCTGCCGCCACCATTGATAATGCGCAGGACTTGCTCGTCGCGCAAGTACTTTAGCGCTGTGCGCGCGCGGCTGGATGGATTGAGGAACTGCAGGAGAGTAGCTATAATCTCTGCCGCCACCCTCTGCCCGCACTCAATAGCCGCGTAACCAAACTGCTGGATAGTCTCGCGACACATGCCCAGGGCATACCGGGTAATAGACTCGCCCGTGGAAGAAGAAAGCGATAAAAGACAGCCTAGGCGCTGAAATAACTGGCCGGCTTCCTTGAACTCCACCCTCGAGCTCATCATATTGCTACCATCCGTCGTATTATTTGCGTTTACGTTTGAGGTGGCGGTGGGTAGCAGGGGTAGAACAAGCTGGGAGCAGTAGGTGATAAAGTCCAGATACTTTTCGTGCAGAGGTGGTCGGATCTCGGCAAATGCCACACTGGGAGTACTGAGATTAGGGGTAAGGTTGATTGTGCAGGATTGTCGGTTTCGCTGTCGGATTCACATTGGTGTCGTTCAAGTCTACTGTCTGGTCATTGCTGTTGTCTTGGCTGTCATCAATTGATGACCTGTCGTCATCGACCACTTGCTGCGCTTGTGCCTGGTTGGCGCTGTTGTTGTTCTGGCCTCGCCGGCGGAACAACTGTAAGCGAGCGGGTGACCCCAGAACAGATGGTTGCAGAATGCTGTGACTAGTGACGCTGGATATGCGTTTTGCTGCTGCTGCTGGGACTGACTCTGAGCTTGCTGTGTTCCTATTCCAGAACCAGTGCCACCATTGGTTCCGCCGCCTCCGCCAAACATCAGACCCAAACTGGATCCAAACCCACCGGCCGAAAAACTCGGTGCCCTGGGCCGGCGGTAATTATGACGATGAACGGCTCTCCCGGCTCCAACACCCGCACCCGAAATCGCAGCAGGCACATTGTCGCCGTCCCTCTGCTCCTCTGTAATCGCCCGCTGGTCCTCTGCGGTATCCTCCTTGGAGCTCTTTGAACACGCACGCTGCAGTATCACGGCGCTCTGCACTGAATCCTCTATCAAAGCGGGCAAATGCGCAGTCAAAGCCAACATTGCACCAACCCTCCCATCACTCGTCGACCCACCACCGCCGTCGCCAGCTCTACTACCATTGATGTCGTATGGTAGTGTTTCGCGTATCATTTTAAGGCACCTATCACGGCAGGAGGCAAACTCCAGCCCGCGCAGCATAGCCAAACAGTATCCGCCCAGACACAGGCCACCAGTGCGCTCAACCACCAGCCGTTTAAACACCTGTTCGTTAAATTCGACCAGCGGAAAAATGCGCTCAAATATGCTTAACGCCATAGAGTAAACGTTGGAACTCTGCGCCGTGCACATCAACGATAAACTGGCAGCCAGTAAATCCGCCTTGACATCCTCATCTTCCGCACACATTCTTGCTGCCAACCCTGCGGCCTGCCTTAATCCTGCCAATACAGTTTCTGCAAACGCACTAATCTCCAAGGACGGATCTCCGACAACGTTGGAGAGTCGATCGATGAGACGCAGGATCATCTGACGCGAGGGCGTGATAACCAAGGAACCGCCGTATTGCGCTTCAGCAGCTAGCACACTGAACACTTGGAGTGCTAGGCCGGCTAGTGGTCTTACTGGGCAGCTCATTGCCCATTGCACAGAGACATCAGCCCATTCTTGTGCGCACCCAGTGTAGTTCCGCCCGAAAAGCTTGCTTAGTTGTACCACGAACCTATGCAGTGTCGCTCGCTCCTGTTGCTGCCGCTGATGCCGCCGCCGCCGCTGCCACCTGTATCTCCCCAGCCGCCATTGCCGCTGCGCTGCCGATGTGCTCTGTACTGGGACTGTTCCTTGACAATGCTGATGAACGACGTCTGAGTCCATCTAAAGGTGTCAATAAATCCCCGGTTTGGACATGCTCAAACCAGGCCCAGCAGAGTGTATTTGAAGCGTGGCGACAGACGAAATGGGTCGGGTGGCAGAGCCCAGGGACGGAGCAATAGACTCGGTTGATCCCGACACGTGGCCATTGGGGGATAGCGACCGGGAAAGCGTTACCGGTAGGTCAGCCACATCGGCTACGAATGAGGGATCTGCTATACCCTACTCGATGCACTCGATAGGCTGATGGCTGTGTCCATTGTCTTGGTATATTGGTGGCTCGTCGGTAGATCATCAACTGAGATATCAGCTCTATCGGCTCCCGAAACTACCATCGACGGTTGCGGCTGCTGCTCTTGCCGCGCTGCTGTGACAGCATTACATTGTCCTCCGCATGCCCTACTGAAAACGAAACAGGGGACCAATCATGGAGCAGAAGCTCCTCGGAGTCCTCAGGATACTGCGATCCTGGCGCAGATGCCGCTTCTGACACTCCGATAATTCAACGCATCTGAACCACCCAAAGAAACCCCATCAAGATTTCCAAATCCGCCCATACACTCGTCTCCACGTAGCACGTCAAGCGCAATATGTGCTGCATCATTGGCCTGCACGCTGTAGTCCACAGCGGAGGCGAATCCCGAACCAGCACAGGCGCGAATGCATTTAGCGCGCTCAGATGCCACCAGGTTGACAAGTACGGTTCTCGCAGCGTCGCGGATCCAGCGCTCGGGGTTGGCCAAGAGTATGATGGTCGACGGAAGCAGTGCCAGGGAATTGTATTGGCCAAAACGTCCGGTTGCTCGTACGATATGGCGCCGAGATAGAACATGGAGAGACCGCCGGTGGACACCAGGATCTTCCTTTGCTGATCCTGGTGGTGGTGGTGAGGGTGAGGGTTGATGAACGTGGTATCAGCGCTCCAAGCCTCGTTCTTCAGCATGCCGTTGGCCATGTTTTGCGCTGGGATAACCGTTGGCCCAAAGGAACTGCAGCTGTCGGCCGCATGGTCTCTTGAATCAGCAACTGAACCAGCAGCGGCCCTTGTGGTGACCGCGTAAGGAACACCGAAATGCGTCGCATAAATCCTAGCAGCGCCGCACTGCCAGAGTGCATCAACATACCAGTCAGATAGCGCATGATCATCCACATGTTGGATGACCTGCTTGCCATTGAATCGCTGTCGGCAGTGAGGCCCAGGTCGCTGCTGGCCAAGGCCAGCCACAATCCTGCATACTGGACATAGAGTCGTGGCCCGTCTTGATGGTCAAGTACAGCATGCACTGGAGCACAAGCAGCGAGTCTCGGCTAAGCGCAATCGGCTCCAAACCGGCAAATCCATCGGCAACATCCGCCTCGTAAGGGTCAAAACCGCTGACGTCGGCGGGCAATGAATCAGCACAATGTTGCGCAGCCAGGGCTTGATGATAGCCATGAGGGACTAAACCGCGGCCCGTGCAAGCCCTGCGCATGTACCTGGCGCACAACTTCCATGACCACCAGCCCGAGTGCGCCTCAAATGCCCTTGCCACGGCGTTAGTCAGTTTGGCAGCTGCACCCGAGGCAATCGCCGGAATGTCGCACACAATGCTGGGCCCCATTCGTCCAGCTGGAAAAGGCAAGACATATCGGCCGCCATGTGCATGCACAGAATCCGCAAGAGAAGCAATGCCTGCCGACGAACGCGATGCTGCTTAGATTGCAGCTGGAATAAGGTCAGTGGGAGGATCCACGCTGCGTAGATATGGTAAATGACTTGCCGGCCGTCGCGTGTCGGTCGTGGCCCTTGACCGATACCCCCCCGCTTCCTCCTCTATCGGCGATACCTGTGGATAGTAGCTCTGAAGCTGCAATGCTTGAAAGGGCCGGTGATGCCGGAGAGATAATGGCTGTCATGGCGCGGAGGTAACCTAGAACAACGCGGTCGCTAGAAAACGCATCTGGCGTGTTGCCCGACGCCATGGCCGCCGCCGCCGCCGCCGCCGCTGTTGTGCCAGAGCTGTGCCGGACGCTCGTGCCCAGAGCTAGCCCGTCGCCCGCGCCAAAAACTAGGCCCAAACCGGATGTTGTGACGCCGTGGTTGGTTGCACTACTATTACCACCGCCACCACAACCACTGCCGCCGGCAGAAGCAGGTCCACAAGAACCGGATGCCGCTGTTACTCCTGGATCGGTGACCCCTGCGAAAAGGTGTTGCTGACGCTGGCAGAAACCAAAACGCCGTATGCCAGCTGAACAAGTACCCTGGCCATGGACGCGTCCCTGGGGTCAGACCTGATGGTCCACTCGACGGCGCGCTGGCCAACAAGCTGCAGGTGAGAGCTAGAGTGTGCCAGGGCATCCGAGACCCAGGCAAACAAAATGCCCTTTTCGCGAGGGCCTCCAGGCTCGATCAGTTTCTTGTCTGCAACGGACACTGCATCCTTGGCCGACACGGGCGCCAACAGTCCGTCGCGACAGAGCACAGCCATGGCTCGCAGGGACGTGAGTCCAAGCATCCGGCTCTCCTCCTCGAGCAGAGCAGCCAGCCCCACTCTTTCCTTGGGTCCTTCGTTTGCTCCAAAGCCAAGGAGATCAGCCGCACCTGCGCCTCCTTGCTCGTCTCTGCGTACCTCCCCAGGCCGCACCACCGCTCAAAGAGTTGGTACAACCGTTGCGGGTTCGTGTGTAAACTTTTTGGACGCCCTAGTCGATCCAATGCCGCCGCTCGCGCCAATATTGATCATCTTGCTCTGTGGCGCGAGCGCCGACCAGGACTGCTCCAGCCACACGGCCGGAGCCTCGGTGGTAGATATGAAAAAGTACAACGCTTCGACAAGGCCGCAGAAATGAATACGCAGCGGCTGGTGCTCCCATTCCCACTGTACCGAGCTCTCTGACAAGAACGTTTTGGTCTCGCGGATATATGAAATAAGCTGCGCCATAAGCTGCTCGTCGAGATACAGTGCGTGGCCATTCTGGTCAATGGCGTCGAGCTGCCGCGACACATGTTTGTATATCTGCGCGAGCGACAGCCGCAGTCTGCGCCGCCGCATCTGGCTCACTGACCCGCTTCCCGTGCCGCCAGCATTAACTGCCGCGGCGGCCGCTGCAGCAGCAGCCATTGCGGCGACTTGCCTGTGGTCACAGCGCCCATACCTGCAAGGGCGCCGTGACTATCCCCATGGCCATGGTGCGTGGATGCGGCAAAGTACGGTCTTTTGGCGTAGTCCACAGTCGCAGCGTCAAAGCTGTTGGCCCGCCGCCCGGGATTCTGGTCGGCGGCCGGTTGGATCCCGCCGGACTTTGTGCGGCCAGAGGCGTTTGTCACCTCGGTGTCGCTGCCTTCACGCGCCAGCGCACTGCTGCCCCCGCTGCTGCCTTGAGCGTCTTGCGCTTGGATGATCCGTGGGGGGTGAGCTGCGCAGCTGTCAGAATGCTCGACCCAGCACGATATGCCTGCTGGCGGCCACCCGCGGACTACTACTACCGCTGCCGCCCTGTGCGGCATGCTGCGAAGCGTGGCCAGGGCTGGACAGTCCGTGGCCAAGGGACGCCATCAGCCCCGACGTGGACAGCGCAGAGCCCGCGGCGCCGGGGACGTGCAAGTAATTTCTGTGTGACGACAGCGACGACCCGTCGTCAAACAAGGACTCTGCTAGTGGGCGCAGCTCCTGCATGAGCTCCTGGAGATACGCCGGCGGGGTGTTGCAGAACGCATAGGCTGTCTGCTGGCGCAGCGGCGTGTTGTCCGATCTGAGAATCACGCTGGCCATGCGCACCAGCTGCGCAATGGATGCCAGCCCAACGCCGTGCTCCTGCTTATTGCCACGAGAGTTCGACTTGAGCGGGGCCAGCTTGCGAGCAATGGACTTGGCCAATCGACTACGGCCACCGCCGCCGCTGCCGCCGCCACTTGCACTGCCAGCAGCCTGGTTGTTATTGCCGCTACTGCCACTGAGTAAACTGCTGTTCCCTTAGGACTACGGCTGCCATTGGCCATCTCGCCCAACGTGCTGCTCGCACCACCTGATAAATTGCGCATCGCCGAGTCGCCGGTCGGCAAGGAGACCATGGCAAACAAAAACAGGCTGCCAAACGCGCTGACCAATCCGACCTTGGCATCAGAGCCGCTGCCTTGTCGTTGGTGCGCTGACCAGACCCCCGCACATGCACGCTGCCCCTGTACACGCTGGATCCAACGGAAATGTCCGCATACTGGTTCATCAGGGGCTGCATCTGGTACAAGCGCTGGCAAACGAGCGTCCTGGTTACCAGCATCACGTCGGGAATCAGCGTGCAGGCGCGCCTGACAAACAGCGGAAAGTGAGAGAGCCATATGGAGATATCCGCCTCGCGCGCACTGGATGCAAGTCTCGCAAGTGGCTGCTGCTGTTGCTGAGATGCCTGCTTCGGCCCAAAGTTGGAGTTGCTGAGGTTGTCATCAGCCCCAAATGGCACTTCCCAGAAATCGCTTATCAGGGGGGCATTGAGCAAACCGTCAATGCCAGCCAAACCATTGCCACTGCGATTCTGCTGCTGCTGCTGTGTTGTTGCTGCTGTTGCTGAGAAGGACTGGCTTTGCGTGGAACAAGAATGTTGAGTACCTCGTAGGCTGAATCAGCGTTTCGGAACATCCAAGAATGTCCTGTCGGCGGAAACGGCTCGTGGATGGCTATGATGCGCCGCAAGATGCCCGTCTGGTACAGCACATCGACGGACAAGTGTCTGACACGCACGCTGCTCGAGCACAGCAGCGAGATAGAGTTGGCCTCAATGGAGCTCAACAGGTTTGCCCAGTCAACCACACTGTATCCGCCGACCTTCCTCCCGTCGTTGCCTGCCAAACTCGCGCCCTCATCAGCACCGATGACTCGCTGCCGTTGCCACTGCTGCTAAGGTTAGTCGTAGAGTTGGTCTCCGCGCCGTGCAGGCCAGAAGCACCCGCACTTCCACTGCAATTGCCGCTGCCATTATTACTGCTGCTGCTGCTGCTGCTACCGTCCGCCAAACACTCACCAAAGCGACTTCCAAGTAGTGGATAAGATCAAGATATACATGCAAAAAGCCACCGTTGAGCTCACCCACAGTGGCCAGGCAGATGCTCCAAATGTACTCTTCTGCAGTCGGGCCTTTGTGTCGAGCGCCGCAGCGACTGCGGCAGCAGCAGACGACGATTCCTCGAGATCAGAAAAATCCTCGTCGGCTATCTGTCCAGACAGCGAGTGAGCGTGTCGCATCAATACTGAGTCCTCACCAGGGTCGCTCATGGCCCCGTTAAACGATCTACTGAGAAATCACCGCCCAACGGAGGCGGAATCCCGCCGGCAGCAGCAGCAGCAGCAGCAGTAGTAGTAGCAGCAGCAGCTGAGGCCGACGTATTGCTTGTCGTGCTCAGATTTGCCCCATGGATAAACCTGCGTCCACCACTGCTGCTGCTGCCGACACCACCAACCTGCGTCATGCCAAATGGCCAGACGCCAGGTGCATCTGAGAGCGGGTCGCCGGGCTGAGCAAACGACACGCTGGAGCGACTGTCACGGGAAAATACGCCGCCAACGAGAATCTCGCTAAACCTCTCGTCTGTAGCCCGGAGAATCTGTGTCGCCCTAGTGACAGCCTGAGAAATAGCCAAAAGGCGGTCAAAGCTGGTGGCAAACAGCTTGGCGGCCGTGCGCGTGTCAAACAGTCGGCGCACAGACGGCGGACACAGAAGATCCAAGAGCACGCGCGAGATCAGCAGCCAGCGTCTGGTCAGCATGCAAAATGTTTTGGACCATTATATCAATCAACTTGGACAAGTCAGCCTGTTCCCAGAACATCTGCGACCGAGGGACGTTCCTGGTATACACGGACATCAGGTCCAAGTACACCTGGCGCTCAACAGGATAACGCGCAGCTGCCTGTCGAAGGATACTGGCGGCAGCATCGCTGCCAACTCTGCTGCCGTCGGCTCCGCGGAATTGGTGTCGCCCATACCGGCACCTGTTTCTCCAACGCTGCCGCTGGTGCCTGGATCCTCGGCCATGGTCAGAGCGCGGGAGGTCTGCACAGCCGCAGCGCTGGCCCCGGTCATGGCAATCGGCCCGCCAGCAGATGTACTGATGCCGTTCGCGCCCGCAGCTTGGTGCTCCCGGCTGCTGGTGGCTGAAGATACCAAAAGTGCGGTGTTTTCAAAACTAAAAGTCGATCCTGTCAGCACAACCGACGACATGGGTGGAACCGTGCGCGTGAGCCGCCATAGTCGCTCGTCGGCCAACACGTAGTGGCCAAACACTGGGTACAAGACATTGAAGTAGCGCGCCACCACGCCGATCGCCGTGCTTAGCGCCTTGCGGATGTTGTCGGGCAGATTGTCGGGCACAATAAATGGCGGTTGACTAGCGCCCGCCGCTCGATTGAAGAAAGCACCAGGTCCGGAGGCAGGTGCAGGCGCAGTGGCAGATGCAGAGGTGTCAGAGGAGGCGCCAATGGTGGCCGAGAAGGAGTTACCCAGAGCTCTATCGCTGCCACCACTACCACCACCACCACCACCACCACCACCGCCACTGCTACCGCTACCGCTACCGCCGCCGCCACCGCCACCGCCACCATCGCCAACGCTGCCGTCAATTGACATGGCACCACCGCGATGGTGCGCACTATCACCACCGCCTCCCTTGCCGCTCTGCGATGCCAAACCAAACACATCGAGCCACTTAACTGCGCAACGCCAGGAAACGGCGGTTGAAGCTTCAGGGTGACAGGATCTGCAGGGGACTCATTTGAATTGCCCCCAACATTACTGCTGCAACCACCGCCGTGCTTGTTCGAAGCGCCCTTTGAGCCGGCATTCGCAGCGGCAGCAGCAGCCGACGCCGCCGCAGCGGCCGCCTTATTGCTGGCAATCGCAGCCACACTAAGGAGCGCCTGGAACGCTAGCCCGACGCGCGCCGGATTGAGCGTATCGAGAATCGGACCAGCCTCAGCTATATCCCTTGTGGTGCCAGGCCAGGCGCTGTCAATCTGCAGCATGTTCTGGAGCAGCTGGCGCATGGCAAAGTCGAAGCTTAGCAGGCAGCGCAGGTGAGAAAGTAAACAAAGGCGGCCGGCGGCACGGTTTTCGGCCAGGCGTGGAGTTTTGTCGCAGGGAAGAATATGCGCGAGAGAGAGTCAATGCGGCGGAGCACGACGCGTTGGCCTCGGGGTAACGGAAGAGATAGACCCAGAACATGCGCAGAATGGCGTCCATTGATACACGGCGGAACTGCTTGTCCTTGAGCCGCTGAATGCAGTACTCTAGCAGGGAAAGCCAGCGCTGGTGGAAGACATCCCGGCGGCTGATACACAGTGTGGCGCAGCCAGCGGGAAGGCGGCATTGACGTGGCGCACCTTGGCGGCCATCTTCATGGCCTTGGTGTAGATAATGTCGATGGCCTGTACGAGCTCGGGAAGGTTGACCTCAGCATCGACAACGGCCGCTATGGGCATTAGCAGCTCAGTGAGAAGGGTCGCCCAGGCGTGCTTGAGCCTCAGACTGCCTGTTGTGCGTGAGTAGAACTTTGCGCACGACAAAAGAAAGGCCGAGCTCTCCTCCAAGGCATCAATGGGAAAGACACGCAGCCTTAGGAACCGCATATTATGCAGAAGCGCAACGATGCGCTCGTCACTGTTGCTACTATTGCTGCTGCTGCTGCCGCCGCCGCCGCCGCCGCCACCACCGCCACCGCCACCCACCACCACCACCACCAACCATTGGTATGCGTTCCAGCTCAGCAATGAACCGATCACTCATACTGGCGAAGCGAATCTCTGAGATGAGCCCAATGAGTCTTGCGTACATGTCCTGGATCTCACGGCGATTATGTGATCGCCTCAAATTGATCGGATTGGCCTGCTTGACTTGACCAAAAACCAGCTCCTCGAGCCTGTCACCCAGATCGCCCTCCAAATGCGTAGCCTCCAGCTGCCTAACGACATAGCTCAGTGCCCGACACAATATATACACAGATGCCAGCGACCGGCGCTCCTTAACAATGTAGTTTGCGCGCGACAGCGCCGCTGCGGCCGTCGTTGGTTTCCCAATGGATCCAGGCCCGAGGCAGAAAACATGCCACTGCCAACGGCGGCGGAAACAACAGCCGATGGTTCGAGCGGATACTCATCGGCGGCGGCAGCAGCATCCACAGTGGTTTTTCGCCAAACAAGGAGAAGCTCAATAATCACTCGCGGACGACGCCGCGCCAGCTGGCCGAGTTTCTCCAAAGTGCGATCAAACACAAGGTCGGATCCTGGCTCCAGGTACTTTGCCAGCCCGGGTTCGCGGTCTAATCGCAGTTCAACTATAGAGGCAATTTTGTGGGCTGCTCTGTCGCGGAACTCCTCGTAGAGCATGCGGATGGCGTATTGCTCGATGCTGCCGGCCTGGGCGTCCTGATGGAAGGGAATACCGGGGGGCTGCTGATAGTGTTGATAGTAGTGGTTGTGATGGTGATGGTGCTGGCTGCTGCTGCTGTTGTTGGCCGATAGTAGTGCATATTTGTAGTGTCTTGTTGTGATATTGAGTGGTCATCGAATGTCTCGGTGATACTCTTATTGCGCCCACCGCGTTCCTGGTAGCTTCTAGCATCTATGTTGTTCTGCGACAGTTGCTTATGCTGATTTGGTGGGTGTGAGTCGGAAAAGAATGGATAAGCGGCTCCTGCGTTGGTGCTGCCGGTGTTGACTGTGGGTGATGACGGCAGCGGTTCCGGCATGGCCTGCTGTGCGTCTTTGAAACTGTAGTTTCCAAATGGGTTTTGTTTTGGCGGTTCCTTTCCGACAAATGCATTAGTTGAATTGGGTGCATTGACTGCATTGGGTGCATTGGCTGCATTGACTGGTGCAGTTGTTTTCAGCTTTTGTTGGTGGTGGTGGTGCTGCTGTTGTTGCTGTTGCTGATGATGATGATGTGTTGTTGTTGCTGTGCTTCCATAAAGGAGTAATTCCCAAAGGGATTGTTTGGACGCGAGTCGCTATTTTTCTGTGGAGCAGACATTTTTTATTTTTTATTTTAGAGAGGCCTTTTTAGCTAATGCGAAATGAATAGAAAGAGATGAAAATACAAAAAAAAAAAAAAAAAAAAAAAAAAAAAGAATAGTAAGAATAAATAAGGAATAGGAATTGAAATAGATGAATAAAAAGTTGTGGATATACAAATATTTAGAGATTGTCATCGTTTTTGTTTTTAAATAAGCAAAAAAAAGAGCCAATAAACTCAGAAGGGAAGCCAATCGCGTTACAAAGACTTTGCCTTTGTGCTTTTTTTTATTGTTTTTTTTTAGCCATAACAAGAAATAAAGCACTAATTACATTAGCTGGCACTAGAAATAAAGAGCAATAGGCAACAGCGCAACAGCGCAACAGCGCAACACCAAATCAAAAAAGGTACTGCAAAACTGCAAAACTCCAAACTGCAAAATGAGAGTATATCGGAAAATATTGTATTTAACTAAATATTATTATTATATCTTATTCTTCAGGGCTAAGCGCTCAGTCATTCCGTCCATTCCAGTGTCCAAAGCAGCATCGCTAAGCCATCCGCTCTTCCTGGCATTCTCCCACAGTTTCAGCGCATCCTCGCGGCGTTCAAGCCGACAATAGGCCAGCGCAGTCCATCCAACCAAACGACTAAACGGCGCAACCTTTAATTTACCAGCAACAGCGCCGCAGCCCCCCCCCTGGTTCTCCTCGTGGCGGCTTTGCTGCTGGGCCAAGCAATCCAGCCTGCGGTTGAACTGCTCCAAGGCCTGCCACACCACCAGCACGCTCGACCACTGCTGCAGCTTGCCACTAGCGCGCATAGCAATGATAAACGTGGTTGCGTCGGGCGGAGGCACCAGCCCGCAAAGCCGCTTCTGGCCGTCCAGGCCGTCGGGTTTGTTCGGATCAAACAGCGTCGGAGCCGCCGGGAAGGCGGCGCGCGATGTCAGCCAGTTGACCAAGGCCTTGCGGGCCTTCTTCCCAGAGGAGGCCAGGTGGGCGGGGCGCTGCAGGCCATGGCCACCGCCGTCCAGGTAGTCCAGCGATCCGCGCAGATCCACAAAGCTCGCCATGTGCGCATCCACAGCGCGGCCAGCATCCAAAGACGCCAGCGGGCGCACCAGCCGCAAGTCCTCGGCATCCAGCATGCGGCGGAACAGCCGCCACAGCCTGGCCGCGCCCTCGGCGCCCATCGTCTCGTACCTCGACAGCACGTAGTTGTAGCAGCCCGCGGCCAGCGACACGCCCCGCTCGCGCTCGGCATCCCGCATAACAGTGGTCGCCAGCGACAGGTGGTTGCACCGCACGGCGCAGCGCACAAGCGCAGCCACCGCGCGGTGGTCGCACAGCCCCATGTCCAGCATGTCGGTATAGGCCCTGCGCGTCCGCAGCAGGTCGTCCACCAGCGCGTGGCCGCGCACGCGCAGCCTGTGCGCCTGCACGTCCGGCGCGAGCCCGCGCGCGAGCATCTGGCGCCACTTGGCCTCGAGCAGCGCCGGGTCGCGCATGGCCACGGCGTAGCTCAGCAGCGCGCTGAACGCGCGCACGGTCGGGAAGGCCTCGGCCGCGCGCTCGACGCCGGCGAAGGCGCTTTGCGCCAGGGCCATGTCGCCGCAGCGCAGCGCGCGCACCAGCTGGGTGGCCAGCGGGGCGGCGGGCTGCGAAAAGGTCGCCAGGGAAATGGCCTCCATCAGGGAGGGTCTGGGGGGGGTGGCGGCATTGGCGGCATTGGCGGCATTGGCGGCATTGGCGGCATTGGCGGCATTGGTGGCGGTGGCGGTGGCGGTATTGCTGATGCTGGGTCTGGTGCCTTCGGCATTGCTGGCACTGCTGCGCTCATCGGCGTCGGCGTCGGCGTCGGCGTCGGCCCCAGCAACACCGCCACCACCAATACCACCACCGCCCCCGCCCCCGCCCCCGCCCCCGCCGTAGAACAGCCGCGCCGTCAGCGTGTGCGGGTGGTCGACGAAAATGCTGGCCGCCCTGGCGGCGGCCAGCAGCTCGTTGGCCGGCGCCCCGTGGCCCTCCCGCAGCAGCGTGCGCGCCAGCGCGTTGACCGTCAGCGCGAACGACTTGCGCCGGCCGTTGCCAACCACCAGCCCCGCCGAGTCCGCCGCGCGCTCGGGCCCGAGCTCCCCCGCCAGCGCCCTCGCGCCCGCCACAATGCCGCCGCCCAGCAGCGGCCGGCCGCAGCGCAGCGCCTCGACCCGCGGCAGCCGCCGCGCAACCGCGTCGACCGCCGCGCTCTCCTCGACGCGGCCCTCGCGCAGCGCGCGCAGCAGCAGCGCCGCGTCGGCAGGCCGCAGCGCCGCGTGCGCCGTGGCCGCCTGCACAAACGCGTGCGCGCCGACCGGCCCCGCCGCCAGCGCGCGCCGCGCCAGCGGCTTCGGCGCCGCGTGCGCGCGCGCCTCCGCCCACCGCCCGCCGCGCGCCAGCGCCGCCGCCACCGCGGCCCGCGTGCGCTGGTCCATCGCGAACCCCGCGCGCTGCATCCGCCCGCCCCACTCGCGCCACGCCGCCGTGTCGCCGCGCAGCACCGCGCCGCGCAGCATGGTCCCGTACGTCTCGCCGTCCATCGCCACGCCGGCCACCTGCATGCGGTCGAGGATCTGGCACAGCAGGTCGTGGCGGTAGCGCAGGTCGCGCGCGTGCATCTGCAGCAGCGCGTTCCACTCGCGGGCCGAGCGGCCGTAGCCGCGCGTCAGCAGCTCCGAGGCCATGGCCCAGGCGTGCTCGGGGTTGTGGGCGCGCGTCCACGCGAGGAGGATCTCGCGCATGGCCTGGGCGCGCACGGGCGGCGGCCGCACGCCGGGCGCCAGCGGGTGCGGCGTGTCCTGGAGCACCCGCGCGGCCTGCGAGGGCAGGTCGGCGCGCGCGTAGAGGATCGCGCGCGCGCACACGGCGTCCTCCGACGGGGGCATGGGCCGCGCGCGCGACACGCTGTCGAACGCGTGCACGTCGCCGAGCTTTGCCAGGACGCGCAGAAGCGCCAGCCGCATTGCCGGGTCGCTCTGGTCCGGGTGCACCAGGCTTTGCGCGCGCGCCGACCATTCGACGCCGGCGCCGGAGCGCAGGATGGCCTCGAGGAACGCTGTGCGCTCCGGGCCCGTCGGCGTCCAGTGGCCGGATGCTCGGAGGTGCACGTGCGCGGCCCACATTGCCTCCAGGCGCGCGCAGGTGCGCGGCCGCAGGTGGAAGCGCCGGAGCTTGCGCTGGAGGCGCTTGGTCGCTGCCGAGAGCTCGGAGGTGGTGCTTGCGCGCCGTGAGATGGCCATCAGCGGAGGCTCTGCGGTGTATGTGAGCAGAGCATTGGTGGTGTTGGTATTGCTGCTGGCGGGCGTGCGGCTGGGGGTTGCTGTAGGGGCTCTGGTGGTGGTGGTGGTGGTGGTGGTGGTGGTGGTGGTGGTGGTGCTGCTATTGTTGGTGCTGCTATTGGTGGTGCTGCTATTGTTGGTGTGCTGGAGCTGCGGTGCTGGTTCTGGAGCTGCCGGTGCTGCTGGAGCTGCCGGTGCTGGTTCTGGAGCTGCCGGTGCTGGCTGCTGCTGCTATTGCTGCCGGTGCTGCTGCTATTGCTGCGTGCTGCTGCTATTGCTGCTGCTGCTGCTGCTGCCGCCGCCGTTGTGGCTTTTGTTGCCGCCGCTGTGGCTTTGTTGGCCTGGTTTGACGAGCTTTCCGTCAATGTTTTGCCTAATGTTTTGGTCGACTGCGCACGATGAAAGCACGCCTGTGTTAGTGTGCTGACCGCCAATTGCCGCGACCTGCACAGCATATTTTGTTTATATATCCAATATCGCTCTCTCGATCGCTCTCACTCTACAGGCTGTTGAAGTGAGGCGGTGGAGGGGGGAGGAGGAGGAAATAATGTAGGGCGTATGCGTATTGTTAGTTGCTGATAAAAGAAATGCGAATTAGAATTAAAATAAAGAAGAAAAATGCTGAATTTTGGCCGCCTGATAATCGAAAAGATAATAAATCGAAAATCGTAATTATAATTGGGGAGCTTTTGTCCAAAAGCTCTACCTAATTCCTCCTGCACCTGCTGCCAATGATTTTATTCTACCCAATGGTGATTGAGATTGGTCGATCTGTCAAGCATAAATACCAGCTTTGCTTCGTTTGGATGGTGGACCCAGTCTTTGGATCAGACTTTCTCTTGACTGCAGGCTTGGGCTTGGGGCCTGGCACTTGCATTCTTGGGCGGTCTATAAATTACTTGTTAAAGTTGTTCACTTTCGCCACTCCGCCCAGCCGCTGGCCATTCCCCCCCCCCATACCCATAGCCCTGATCCACCTCACTCTCCCTTGCAGTCGCCGGGATCTAAGCACCACATCATATTGCCAGCAGGACGATCGACCCGACGATGCAACACGCGAGCAATGCCGTCGTCGCCCCCGTCACCAGCCGGTGCACGACCGCCGGGCTGTCCCCGAGCGCCAGCCGCAGCGCGTGGTCTCCGTCCAGCCACCACGCCGGCGCTGCATTCAGCAGGCAGAACGCCAGCGAAAACGACACCACGTACTGCAAAAAGCCCTCGATCCATCCGCCCACGCCTAGCGGCACCCACCACCACCGCGGCACAACCGAGCTCACCCGCACGTCCGCCCAAACATCACGCAGCGACCCACATAAATGACAGCCCCCGTGCTGTCGCCTGTGCTGCCGCCGGCTTGCTGCTGCCGCTGATTGTCGTAATAGATACGCGCAACACGGCCCTCTGCAAACGGCGAGCTGGGGACGACGCACTCGCCATGCGCACACTCCGACGACCCCAAGCACCTGCCTGCATCGCCGCTGCCTCCCAAGGGCGACTCCAGAATCGCGCGCAGATCATAGCATCCCAGCGAAAACGACTGCTCGAACGTCTCAAAGCAGTGGATCTCCGGATCAGGGCTCTCGCCCAGCGGATACTGCGCCGACATTTCGCAGCACAGCCCGTCGTCCACATTGGTCGCCGCTGACGCGCAGAACCCGGCCGCCAGCGTATCCCGATTGCTCGACGCCAGCAAAGCCCAAGTCCACCGCACAAGGGCCGTGTCGCCGCCCATACCTGTCACCACCGCAGTGTTATTCAATACCCCGCTGCTGCTGCTGCTGCGGCGGCGGCTCTCATCTAGCCACACGTCATCCACACGGTAGACTGTGCTGCCCAGGGGCAGCCGCCCGAAAAGCGGCGAAGACGCCGAGACATCCACTACAGCCACGCCCTGCGCCTGCTTACACACCGTGGCTCCAAGCATGCGCCCAAGCAACCCCGAGCAAACTACGGCCCAAACCACCGCTGCCAAAATGAAATTATGCCACACACCGGCGCACACCACGCGCAGCTGCTCCCACACACTCAGCCGCTCCAACAGATCCGCTGCCAAATCTACAAATGCCCCGGGATACACCCCCAGGACAAAAACCCCCACGGAGCGCACCCCGGCACCGCAAAAAGCCGATGCTAGCGCATGTCCCCACTCATGTACTGCTGCGCAAACAACCAGTGCCAAAAAATACTCCCCAAAGTGTCCCACTGGCAACGTCACTCCAGGAATTATTGGCTTCAGAATACGCCCTTCTGACGCATCAAAATACCTCCTCGCCAGCAAAGACACCGTTTCACCACCACCAGAAGCAGCCATATCACCCAGGGGCTGCCGAAACTTTCCCACCAACGCGCTTGTGATTTGGTATCCGCCGTAGCCCAAAACTCCCCAGCACAGAAACATGCTGAGAAACGCCGTGTACACTCCCATATCGTAAAACCTGTCCCACGCTTGTTTCCCGCGCCCTGTTTGGAAAAGAGGAACGCGAGCAAGACATGTTATTTTGTCGTTGAACCGACTGCTGCTCAGGCGCAGATGCAGCGGTGAGACCAGCTCAACCAACGTATCTGCATCTGGATCAGCCTCTGCTGCCCCTTGGTCTGATTGTTCTGACTGCTCTGTGTGGTCTGCCTGATCTGCGTTGTCTGATCCGCTTGTGTGTGGTGGCTCGCGCCGTTTAAATATCCAAAAAACGATGTTGACTGCTGTCCAGAACCCAGCAAACCAAACCAAAGGAACAAAGGATGGATGAATATACATATTATAATAAATAAATGCAAATAAAAGATGCTAATAGGGGAAAGAGAAAAAAAGGGAAGATTGTGGTGGTTGAGGTGTAAGTATGCGGGAATTGATGCATGAGTGCTATTCATTTTGCAAAATAAATAATAAAAAATGGAAACCACGTTGTTTTTTCTTGTTTGTGGCTTGTGTGCAGTAATAGTAAAACTTATGGCTCAATCTCACATGTACAAAACGTGCCGCATCAACTACCCCCCCCTTCAAAAATAAACAATATAAAGTACACTTACTAATTCACTTACCACTACTCTATATAATAAGGGTTCATAATATGTATTTTAAAATTAAAAGTAAAATAATTGGAGAAAAAAACTAGTCGATACAGTTTACTCATATGCGCCTATAGCTAGCTATGTGGTGGTCAAAATATAGGCGGTGGCACTTTTCTTTTGTTTAAATTTTACATTGATAATCAAAATTATTAAAACATCATGATTCAAATGTCCCTGATAATTCTCAAAAACCAACCTATTGATAAACAAGTAAGCCACATCTTTGAACTGCTCTCCTTCAAAATTGTCAGCTTCCTTGATAAAATGAAGACTATCCAATTCACCATCATCAAAACATTTATGATACAAATCAAAATCTTTAACATGCAAATGCAAAATTTCCAATAAAAAAGGTCTAATAATTAATTTTACTGTGTTATAGTAAGAGGGGGTGTGAGGAGCACTAGTTGTCTAGTGTTAAAAGTTAGGGAGATTTTATAAAAGTTTTATTACTGATGTTTCTAAGTACTACTAGGGCCAGCCTCATCTTATATATGTTCCCAGTCGCCTTTGTCGTGCACATTGTCCATTGTGCGCTCCGTTGGTGAGAACTGGATCTTCTGCGAGTAGACCGTATCTTGGCAAGTCGATGTTGTGGTTTTCGTGCGTGTACGCTTATGCGTGTGCATTACAGGATGGGGCATGTTGGCATCAGTGTGATGCCTCCCTGATTTACACCTGCATTATCCAATTAGCGTCTATCGATCAGCGCGCAGGTGGAACTTGTTTCGCGGTTCTCGACCTCAACATCTGCTTCCATATCTTCAGTCTGCGCAACAACTGTCTCTCCAGCGTCCAATTTGGGCTGTAAAATGCCTTTTTGAAATTTCTGGCTTTATATACAGCACTTAGTGAAAATTTACTCCCAATTTTATATAACCCTCAATTAATAGAGTTACGTAAATGTGTTATCTCTCGCCCATAATTGCACAAATGATATAATGTATATATGTGTAGTGTAACAAATAAATATAATTTATAAAAAAAAGTGGAAGGAAAAAAATGCATGCTTTATATATGTGACAAAAAAAACAAGAGGTATACTTTTTCTCATCACTCTCCTCTTTGCTTTTTACAATTTTTTTACTGTTAATAATTCTATACACTTATTTTTTGCTAAAAGTCTTATAAGCAATTTTATATGTTGCACAGACTGAAGATATGGAAGTGAATGTTGAGGTTGAGAATCACGAAACAAGTTCCACCTGCATGCCGATTGATAGGGCACTAATTGGACCATGCAGGCGTAAATTAGGGAGGCATTACATTGATGCCCAGACATGCTCTCCATTTTGCAATCCACACGCATGAGCGTACACGCACGAAAACCACAACATTGACTTGCCAAGATACCGGTCTGCTCGCAGAAGATCCAGTTTCACCAACGGAGCGCACAATTGACAATGTGCACAACAAAGGCGACAAGGCACATATATAAGACGAGCCGGCGCTAGTAGTACTTTAGAAACATCAGTAATAAAACCTATTATAAAATCACACCTACCTTTTAACACTAGATAACTAGTGCTCCTCACACCCCCTCTTACTATAACAATATTCAACGCCTTTGTTGTTTTAAAAAAAGTTAGTAAGTTTGGCTCCATTTATTTATTTATGCTGCCTGCTCAACAATTAATCCTACACGTGGGTGCCAATAAAAACTTTATTGTGTAAAGAATATGTGCCAAACAGAAAAATTGAAATATACGTTTTTATTTGTTGCATCAACAAGGTACCAAAAATATGTGTTGGAATATAGGAACGTTCTATGAACGTGTAGATAAACTATAATGATATAAAGTATATTTAATAAATAAGTGCTGTGCACTGTGAAAGGTAAAGAGAAGAGGGCATATTGCTTTGGTCACTGTGTGGCTTATTGTTTGTGTGGCTAAACAGCCAAGACTGGTTAATCAGTTGATCGCCATCAGCCAATATATACCCTGTACTTAATTAATACACAGTAGAGGGATTAAAAGAAAAGATTAAGGAAAATGTAAAAAAGGCTACCCGAATTGAAATAGAGTCGTTTGAATTGTACAGAGAACCGGATGGTTCAATCTTGCTTTGCTCTGATGATCATGTTTTAATAATATACTTATTACAAGATCTTGTAAAATGAAGCCAGAGTGTGCAATATATAAATATCATAATAGAAAAGGGCATTTTTATAAGGATAACATCATTAATTTGAACACACAAAGTAAAGCAAATAATTTAAAACCCGACATATTTAGCGATACCAATATCATTTTAAAATTCCTAAACGCAGCCATCCAGAATGCAAAGAAGCAAAACAAAACCAACACGCAAAAATTAATAAATCAATTAACCACAATATTATTGTTAACATTACTAAAAGGAAACAGTAAAACCGTATTCCAATTAAAATAACCAAAAGAGCACCTATAAAACACTTGATTTACTGGTACATGCCTACAATACTTAATAAGTGTTTTATAATTCAGAAGTACAAGTTGTTAAACATGTTTGCTTTGTTAGTTTTGAGTTTAATAAAAAAAGCTAATTAATAAATTTAGGCTCTTATAATGGTGTTATAGTAAGAGGGGGTGTGAGGAGCACTAGTTATCTAGTGTTAAAAGGTAGGTGTGATTTTATAATAGGTTTTATTACTGATGTTTCTAAAGTACTACTAGCGCCGGCCTCGTCTTATATATGTGCCTTGTCGCCTTTGTTGTGCACATTGTCAATTGTGCGCTCCGTTGGTGAGAACTGGATCTTCTGCGAGCAGACCGGTATCTTGGCAAGTCAATGTTGTGGTTTTCGTGCGTGTACGCTCATGCGTGTGGATTGCAAAATGGAGAGCATGTCTGGGCATCAATGTAATGCCTCCCTAATTTACGCCTGCATGGTCCAATTAGTGCCCTATCAATCGGCATGCAGGTGGAAACTTGTTTCGTGATTCTCAACCTCAACATTCACTTCCATATCTTCAGTCTGTGCAACAGTTGTTCGCAGCAAAAAAATCCTACAAATTTCATTTGTCCATCATGTTGCAAAGCAATTGAGACTTGCATTAGTGGTGGACTAATTTTTATTTTTCAGTCTATTCTTCAGGCAAAAGCGTGGATTTCACAAGGCGGTGATTTTATTTGCAACTAATGTTGATTGATGCGCTGAGCGCTTTTAATTTTAATTTTAACTTACTCGTGGCAATAAACAATGTATTTAATATTTTCACTTTCTATTAAAAGAGTTTATTCATTTTTCAGAGGCAGGTCTTCCAAAACATTTATTTAACAATATATTAAAATACTATTAAAATCCGCATTTTTAATCTGCATTGCTATGCTGTTGTTGGTGCATTGTGCTCCAGACTGCCAGAGAATAGAAAATCAACACATGTATGTCTAGTGGTGGTCATGATTTGATATTGACAATAAATTGTTTGCTATTTGCGTCAATCAAATCTTCTTATCCTTAGAATAAATAACCTTCTTATTATTACCTATTATCGTTGCATACTCTATTTCCAGAGTAGCTTGGTGATTAAATTGTTTGCCACTAAAATCAAGGTTATCGCCAAGAAGCTGGATGCTATCGCCATGACTATACAACTCAAACGAATTGATAAACAGTTTTTTGTAGCTATTTATATCAAAAGATATATACGCCTTTAACTTGGCCACTTTGGTTTTTGCAGAGACAGTGTACACATTATTAAATTTAGCTGCGGTCAGTGCAGTTAATTCGGGATAGGAAGTTGTTTTAATAAAGAGATTGACATTTCTTTCGGCTATTATTGTTGATGGGTACTTGGTTGCTTGTTAAAAAGTAGGCAAAGTGCAGTTGATGTTTCTGTAAAAACAATGTTGATGCTGATGTTGTTAATAGTTTAATTTGAAGGAAGGATAACGCACTGCTTTTATACTTGGACAAATACAAGTACAAGGCTAAATCACTGCATTATCGCGTTTTTGTTTTCCTGAGAAGACATAGCTTGGTTTATTTGTGTTGGGCGTTATTTTTACGCTTTCATTTACACTCATATTTGGAAATAAAGTAGGCTAATTCCAACTGCAAATAAATTGTTTTGGGGTCTAGTCTACTCCAGTAAATATAAAACAAGAGTAGACGCCCTTTTAACCCATCAACTGATCAACTAGTCAACTAAACGTATTTATTTTTCTTTTAAACCTGCTTAGAGAAAATAAAAAGCACGTTTGAATAAATCCAATTATTGTGCTTGCCGATTAGATTGGACTAACGTCTATGCAAAAAAACTCATTTCATGGTAAGCATGCAGTTATTAAATTTGCACAACTCTGAGCAACATACATGTTATGCCAAATTTTACTTACAAGTACCAGCTGCAAATATTTTACAATTGAAAAATTGACAATTAAACCTCATCTAGTCAAAGACGTGGCGAGAGAGGGTCTTGACCTCGGTGTAAAACTCTAGGCTGTACTTGCCGTTCTCGCGGCAGTTTCCAGAGCACCCCATGCCGCCAAATGGCATGTCTTGGTCCATATTGAGCCAGTTGTTGCCCCAAACCAGGCCGGCGTTGATCTGCCTCATCACACGATCAAGCTTGTCATGGTCAAGTGTCCATACAGAGGCACTCAGCCCGTATTCTGTGTCGTTGGCGAGCTCAACGGCCTCTTCCTCAGTGCCGAATGGCAAGATGCAAACGACAGGCCCAAAAATCTCCTCTTGCATAACCCGCGAGCTCTGCTTGATGTTTGTGATCAGCGTCGGCGCGATAAAGTAGCCGCCCTCGTGGCCCTCGATGGTCAGCCTGCCGTCGCTCGACACGCCCTTGACTGCGGTATCATTGGGGTTGACCAAAAACTCGACCATGGCACCCTCCTCCTGCGCAAGTCGGATATAGCCAAGAACCTTGTCCATGTGCTGCTGACTGATAACCGGGCCATAGAACGTCTTGGGATCCAACGGGTTGCCGACAAAAATGTCGCTGCGCACCTTTTGCCTGAACATCTCGACAAACTTCTCATAGATGCCATGTTGCACGTACTGGCGAGAGGCACAGAGGCAAACCTCGCCCTGGTTTGTGTACGCGCCGCGAATGCTGGTGGTCACAGCATGGTCAATGTTGCAGTCGTCGAAGAACACAGCCGGGTTCTTGCCACCGAGCTCGAGCGACACACGCTTGAATTGGCCGCTGGCAAGAGCACCGATGCGAGCACCCGTGGCTGATCCACCAGTAAACGAGATCAGTTTCACGTCTTTGTGTTTGACAAGGGGCTCACCAGCACCGAGGCCGCTGCCAAAGATAATGTTGACGACGCCCTTGGGCACGCCTGCCGCATGAAGGATGTGGGAAAGCAGGAATGACGTGATGCTGCTCAGCTCAGTCGGCTTGACAACGCAGGTGCTTCCGGCAGCAATGCATGGTGCAAGCTTGAAGCAAACCATTGGCAAAGGAAAGTTCCAGGGCGTGATGAGCCCAGCAACACCCGCAGCAATGTGCTGGGTGACTGACTCAGTGATAGAGGCCTTGGGCTGAGTAATAGAGGTCGGCGTAATCATGGAGTCCAAACGAGATTCGCTTTCCTTAATGCCGCCGTCGGTAATGAGCTTTGCAAACTGACGGAAGCTAGCAGCGCACATTGGCATTTCAAAGTGAATTGCGGAGAAAACAGGCTTTCCTTGGTCAAGGGACTCGAATGTGCCCAATATTGAGCTGTTCTCGTCAATCAGATCGGCAATGCGCAGCAGAATTGCCGCACGCTCAAAGACCGGTGTCTTTGACCACAGCGGGAATGCAGCCTTGGCGGCCTTTACAGCGTTATCAACATCGGCACTGGCCGAATCAGGGATCTGCGATATCACTTGGCCCGTGGCTGGATTGTACTTGTCCAGAAACAAGCCATTAGTCGGAGGCGCCCACTCGCCATTGATGTAGTTCTGAATGTGGACATCCTTGATGTCGGTCGGAAGATTGGCGCTGATGGTGGCAGTGGTAGTCATGGTAAAATAAAAAAGTAATGGTTTTTAGCACTAACTAATGTGAGAAGAAATAAAAAATAATAAAGCAGTCGAGTTTTTTTTTAAATTTTTTTCTGGACAGCGCGACATATGGTTGCTTATATATGTATTTTTTATTGTGCTTTGATTTAACCTTGGCAAGGAAATGTTAAAGCTGCGAAAAACTATTTGATGTTTGAGCAAATATATGCACGCACATATTAGCGGCGATCTTTTCATTGGCGCTCGAAACCTAACCCGGCCAGAAGGCATATTTGTGTGAATATCACATCTGATTTTCCGACTGATTGTAAATTGTAGTCTGCACCAATTACACTTTTGAGCAAAAATAAATAAATAAACCATTTGGAAGATATTTTGTACAACGTTTGTAGATAACTCCCACACCAAGATCCATACCCTTTTTTCTTTTTCTCTCATAACATATTGCATAGTTTAGTCAGCAACCTAAAAGCAAATTTCGGGGAATGCTCGTCAATGCAGGAATATGATTGTAGCATTTTAAAAATTGAGTATTAGGTATTGGAGGGTTATGTTTGAATGGGCATATGTGAAATAAGCCACCTCGTCATAATTTTTTTTAAAGAAATTATAGATGGATATTAAAGCAAATATAAATGCAATAAAGGCGCTGCCACTTGCATTAGCAGCCGTTACTAACAATGGTCACATAAATCCGTATCGCCAAATTGTCAAGAATAGCTTTTCAACTACAAAAAATATTATTATACAATCACACTTGCCAATTTATATATCATGTGAATGGTTTCTAGACTAATTTCAAACATTAGCCCCAGAATATTATTTTAATTTAACAACTGTGAATGATAAGAATACTGGTTGAGACGCCACCTTTTGTCATTGATAGCTGTCAACTGCCATGCCAATGACCCCTAACATTGCAGATAAATAATCTATGTTGGAAACAAATATAATCAATTAAGGGTATTTATTTCTTCCAAGAAAGACAATTACTGGCTGTCCCGACAGCCGCTCCATTTATATGTTCACCTTGATATATATATATATTATAATAAAGCCTTCTTATCGTTGCTCTGGTTGCCACGCACACAATTCATTAATATCAGTAAAGCAGAATATTTGTTTACGCAACTATCATGTGCTTCAATTGTGACATGTATTGTAAAACATCCATACCTGGGATGAAAGCTAAAATAGGTTTGATGTATTCGGTTCTACAACTAAAATAATAATAATGTATATACGACAAATATTCTCAGCCCCGTTTCATTCTGTGGGACAGCAGTCCGACACCAGAAAAAATAACACTGACGCCAATCGCAAACATGACATACTTCAGCGTAGTAAACATTTTAAACTCGTTAAAATACACGCCGCCGCCAATAATGTCAAACACCGTCCACACAACGTAAAACACCGGAACTTGTAGTAGGGCGTCGTAGCGCAGCAGCCCCTGGTTAATCCAGTATACCTGCGACGCGGCAGTAAAAGCGGTAACTAAGAGAATGCCCCACGCGATAAAACTAGTAAACTGGTTATCATGCTCAAACAATGATACAGACAACAGGTGGACGAGAGACTTTGCAAACAGCGTGGTCAATGTCGCCATCAATGATCCCAGGCTTGCGTATGCCAGGGGAAGACCGTACTTTACATAGCGTGACGTCGGCCTGATTGGCTGGATATATCTGTCGAGGCACATAAGCGGGTGAGTAAACAGCACTGAGCACACGCGAGCGTATGCAGACTGCAGGCGTGTATTACCAAACCTCTTGCGGGCCTTCTGGTGCAGCAAAGCGTTGCTGGTATTTGTAGTATTGGCCTCATCGTGTCGGTCATAGTCCATATCCATGTTGGCCAGCAAATTGCGCAGTTGTCTTTGGCTATCGACTTTATTCATATCGCCGCTATCGCCAAGTCGCGATTGCCACGCCTTGCCCTGTCCCTGCTGCACCACAGTCGGATCTTCAAATGCGTGGATTCCAACTGGAAGCTCGCCAACCGGCTGCTTTTTCTCGTCGGACTTGTTGTGCAAAACCTTGTCCTCGCTGCCCGCGCGGGCATACACGGTGGTCCACAATTCGTCAGTCCATAGCGCTGTCGGGATGGCCAACGGGCCGACTCTAATGTTATTTTTGTCAGTATTTTCCAGACTCTTGTCCAAACTCCGACGGGTCTTTTTGTTGCTCTGCCCAAGTGCAGGGTGCCCGGGTGCAGAAGCAGAGTCAGCAGCATTGGCAATGCTAGCATTGGCCGCATCGTCTCCATCTCCGATCTCGTGGTTTTCCATGAGATACCGAGCCATACCTCTCTCGATGCTCCACAGGAAAACATAAATGGCCAAGATGGCGGCAAAAATCAAGCATAGGTAAAGCACGGTTGGCTTGGCCTTAAGCAACTGGATAAGCACACACAGCCGATAGTCCTGCTGAACAATTCCACTGAATACCACGACAATGACACAGCCGGCGATAATCAGCGCGATACCGCCAATATCAAACATGCTGATCTTCTCGTTGTTCAACAGGGGCGCAATAATGACATTGGTCACCAGCGATACGGCACCCAGCGGGGCCACCAGGGACTGGGGCGCAAACTGCAAAGCGACAAAGTTGACCACGTTTCCGAGAATAAAAATGACCAGGCCAATAGCCCAGACCGGGCTGCTGAAGGGCGTGTTGCGCAGCTTGCGCTCAAAAATTTTGTTGCGCAGCCTGCTCTGCCAAGGCTGTCTCCCGGCGACCGGGATAATTGGGTGTGCGTCTAAGTCTTCAGGCATATTGCAACTACTGAAGCACAGCTGCTTAGCATTGGTGCTCACTGTCTCGTGTTGCCTGTGTTGCTCGCGACAGGCCGCATCCGAGACCTCGAGGATTCCGTTATCCTCAGTAAACGACGCAGAAGCGCGACTTTCCAGGATGCCCGCGTTGTTTCCTGCTCTCCGCATGTTGGAGGCCGCCGAAACAGGGAACACCACGGATGCGGCATTCAGCGTGGCATGGCAATCCTCCGCCAGCTCTTTCAAATACGCAGCCGACTTTCTCTTTGCCATCCCGCCCTGGTGCGTGTTCAGAGCCTCGGACGAGTAAAAGTAGATTTCGCTGGGCGCAGACGGTGACCGTGAAAACGCTGTGGTCTTGTCCGCAGCAATGGCTGCGGCGTCAGCCGAATCAGCCTCAATATTCTCCTGCCGCTTCCGAAACGCGTACTTTTGCAAATTCAAGCCTATATTGAGCGTCGCACCGCCAATAAGCACCAACAGAACGCCAATCCACACTTGCTGGTGCGGCTCCTGGCTGACACACTTCCCCATTGGCATGCCGTCCTCTAGGGCGGCCTGCCTGAGCTCGACAATAGCGTTGCGCGATATGGCCATTCTGTCGTCCATGGCAGAGGGGTCGACAATGTTAGGTGTGACGCACGAGAATCCGCTGCTGCATGTGTCGACGGCACCGCTGTATACGCCACACTGAGCGTTGTCCAGGAATCCGCGGCAGCAGGATATGGTGCCATTGGTGAGCGCTTTGCTAGCATCAACGCCTGGAGGTAAGTCTCGGGGAGCACCCGGCAGAGTCCATGCGCCGCCGCAGGTCGACTCGAGCGTGCAAAACTGAGGCGCGCACCATGCCTGCGCCTGATCGTCGTCGTCATCGTCGAAAGTCTCAGCATTCTGTCCGATGGCGGATGATGTGTTTTGAGCCGATGCCGCTAGTTTCCATCGGCGGTTGAGCTGGAAAGCCGCGCAGTCGTTGGCTCTCAAACACAGCTCGCCTACGATTGTCCAAAAATAAAAAATAATTACAAAGGGGTTATCGATAACTGTTTAGTTAGTAGATCACGAGCGGCAATATTGCATTTAAGAATTTTCACGTGCCTTCAAGCAAAAAAAAGTAAATGTATGAAAAAGCAATATACAAAATGGCGTGTAGCATGGCCAAGATAAATAAATACTTTGTGGCCACAAGTGTGATAAGCCATGGGATACAGTGTGGCGGTAATGAGATAACCGAGAATAATTCAAAAACTGGAGTGGATAAAATAAACGATCATACCCGCATGGCCATAGAGAAAAATAAAGAGTAGAGAGGGGAGGGAACAGACAACAAACAAAGCACAGCATGGCAAACTAATCAAGATATAAAAAAATATAGCACCCCATGCTTACCAGACTTAACGACATAACGGCAAGTGCCATCAATACACGCGTACTCTCCCAGCCGCGCCTTTCGCCTCGAAGAATCAATAGCATGAGCATTACCCATTCCCTGAGGCTTATCGTGATCACCGTTGCGGTATCCGACACATTGCATATCGGATGTGCACTGGCGGCCAGACACTACCAAGGCAGAGGCAGCAGCAGCATTCAAAGAGTTGCGTTTGAATAGCGCTACTTTGTACAAGCTGCTACTGTCGGTAGGTATATTGGCCCTGCGATTCAGTGAATGACCGTTGGTGATGCATGTGTTGGCAGTAGCGTACACTGCAAATGGAATGGTAGATAATAGGATGTAGAGAGGGAGCATGTGTGATGGCGACCACCACCGTTTGGCTGTCATTTTTTGGTTAGTTGTTTCTGTTTCTGTTGAAATAATAAAGATGAATGGGTTCTGGTTGAAATATAGACCGGGATTGTTTAAGAGAGGTTTGTACGTGAGACTGAAACGATAGAGAGAGAAAACGACGGTCTTAGCGCAGCTAATTGACAAAAAAAAGTGTAGAGTAAAATAGCTTCTATGTTTGTACAAAATAATAAGGAAAAGAAACAAGAAAGAAAATAATATTTTGTTATGAAATGTATTGATTTAGTGAAAACAGTATGTACGAAGGAAAAATAAGTCCTAAAAAGGAAGAAAGAGAGAGGAAAGAAGAAGTGAAATAGAAAAAAGAAAATTGATACAGGAAATAATAGCAGATATAACAGGGAATAACAAATAAGCCACTGCTTTTTCTGTTAAATATTTTCTAAATCTGGTGTATGGCTTTTGTCCACGACGTCAATCGACTGGACATGTGTGAATGCGGGGGGGGGGGAGAAAAGTAAAAAAAAGAACATAAATTAGGCGAGAGAAAGGGGGTGGTGGTGATAATTGCTATTTTAGCAAACACTATATTTTTAGTTGCAAGAAAAAAATATATATTTAAAATATATAAAGTCAAAATAAAATATTTATTTCAATTTTCAAATGTTTGTATTAATATTTCTGTATTGATAATTTTTCTTCCATATTTCCATATTGTAGCAATATTAACATTGTATGGTATCAATATCGTTTTATTTTTTGGATTCTTATTGTGGATCATCTGAGTGGCTTGTGATTTGATTGTTTTTGCGAATGGAGGAATAAGAATAAAAGCTAGTTTGAAAAATAGCATTTATTGTAACAGTTCTTAAAAAACGCAATTATGCGCGCATACAGCTTTGGGCAGCAAAAACAGCTTTTAAGAAACTTTTTTATGTGGAGTGAAATAGACAAAATAAAAAACATTATGCAGTAAATCCACATCCTTCTTTGTAATTTTTTAACTAAAATTTTCAGCAGTCATACAAATACCATGGATCAAGAAACATTACTGCAGTGCATTCCCTACGTTAAATACGCCGAAAGTCCCTCTCACTCGTTCAATCGTGATCCACAGTCAGAAAAATATACATTTTATACAGAGAAAACCAACCGAGGTCGGGGCAGTAAAAACTTTTACTATGCGCGCATGAAGCGGCAAATGTGCCGGTCCACGGATGGTGGAGCTTTGGATCCGTCGGAAGCAGTTGGAGAGACAATAGTGTGGCCGCACCGGGCAGGTGAGCAAGGACTGGGCTATTGCGATGGTATTAACAATACTAATGACGAAGGCGATACTGTGGTGGAGTGGGGTGAAGTGGATTCGGGAAGTTGTCAGGTGAAAACCACATTGCAGTTGTGTTTTGGTGACGAAAGGCGCGAAGAACACGCTGCGTATTCGGTTTATTCTGGAACCACAGATACGATTATTATGAAGGCGAGATGATATGCAAAGTGGAGGGTGCGGGTGCGGGTGGGGATGCGGATCCATGCGGATGCGGATCCGATGCGGATGCGGATCCCGATGCGGATGCGAACTCGGGTCCTGATGACGACGTCGATGCAGAAAGTATTCTCCTCGAAAGAGTGCTTTCAAATGCTTGCATTCAACACCAGCTTTACTAGTACTAGCCGAGCACGGCCCTTTTTCCAACACGTTTAAACAAATCAAAAAACAACAAAAAGCAAACAATAGGCATTCAATTGCGCGAATAAAATAGCATAAATACAATGTTCTGTTTATTTATGAGCTGCAGCTGCACTGAAGGCCCTCGCCCCACTCAGGCACAGGCCCAGCGTACACATCCAAGTCAGCCAAATTCTGCGGCAGCTCGTCGTCAAAAGCATGCTTCGTCATCAAATCCAAGCACCGATCGACTACCTGCTCATCGCCAGCCTCCACACGCTCAATGATATCCTGCGCAACCCAATTGCGCAGCACAAAGCGCGGATTCTCGCCTCGCATCCGCGCACCCACCGCATCGCCCTTACCCTCCTGGCGCAGGCGCGGCAAGTACACGTCAACGTAGTAGCGGCGGAGATCCGCGCGCCACTTGGTTGAATCCACGCACGTGAACGACCGCGACCTTGCAGCCATCTGGCCAATATGCGCGTCAGCAGCTGCGCATCCGCATCAGCGCCCATAGAGGCCACATCGCAGAGTGCGCGCATGGCAAAGGTGTAGTCGTGGACCCACGCTCCAACAGCTCCAAAAACGGCTGCACCACCGCCGCCACGTCATCCGCACGCCCCCCCACTGTAAGCCCGAATTTGCCGCACATTACGCGCGCATACTCGTCTTTGAAGCAGCCAGCGTATGAGTTGAGAATGTCCGTGATCACATTGACGGTTTCCGGCGAAGGCTCGGCAGGTGGCTCAGAAGCGCCGTCGATCAGTGTCGAGAGCGAACCGGCGAGCCGCATGAGATTCCACAGGGCGACCCGCGGCTGCTCGCGGAACGCGTAGCGACCCTGGGTATCCGAGTGATTACAGATAAAATCCGGGTCGTAGGCGTCCAGGAAGGCAAACGGCCCGTAGTCAATGGTCAGCCCGAGCAACGACATGTTGTCAGTGTTCATGACGCCGTGGCAGAACCCGACAGCCTGCCACCGGCGACCATCACTGCCGTCCGCCGCACAACGTCGCGCAATAGCAGCGCATACGGGCTCTCCCCCCAGCACCGCCCCGAGGCACTGCCCGTAAGCAAAATGTGATCGAAGTGATGGCTGATGGCGTAGTCCGCCAGGCGGCGCACCAGCGCATGGTCTTTGCGCGACGCCGGCAGCTCAAATGACCCGAATCGGATCCACGACGGCGCCATCCGCGTAACAACGGCGCCGAGCTCCAGCTCTTCGCGCTGCACCGGCCGCTCAGTAAACACCAGCGCCAGCGACCGTGACGTCGGCACGCCCAGCGCATGCATATGCTCAGCGGCCAGAAACTCGCGAATGCTCGATCTGCGCACAGCAAACCCGTCTCCAAAACGCGAATACGGCGTGCGGCCGGCGCCCTTCAGCTGCAGCTCCCAGCAGGAAACCGCGCCGGTGCCAGCGGGCTTTGCTTGGCCGAGCGAGATCGCCCGGCCGTCGCCCAACTGGTCCGCCCAAATGCCGAACTGGTGGCCACCGTAGGCGTGCGCCCAGGGGTGCGACCCAGGCAGCCTACGGGCGCCGCTCCACACCTCGGCTGCCGCCTGCGCATTGGCCCAGAACCTCTGCTTGGCCAGGCCGAGGAGTGCGGCGCTCGGCTCGCTGACGCTTATGAGCCGCGGTGACGGCTGGTCGGCCGGGATCGCGTGGCTCCAAAGTGCATTGCGAACGGTGCGTGAGCCGCGGAAATGCGCCTCGGGCGTGGCGATGCAGCCGGAGGAGCCGTCTGGGTGCTGCGTGTACGGCGCTTGTGGCACGAGCGGGTCGCCTGGAAGTTCACTTGTGAAAGTGTCATTGAAGGTGAGCGCTGTGGTCCATTCGGCTGCGGTGGTGTCGGGACGAAGCGTTGTTTTGCTGAAACTCATTGCGCTGTCCATATTGATACCGCTGTGTCGCCGCTTGTGCTGGTAGTAGTGTGGGTGCTGGTGATGGTTCCGTGCAGTTGATGCTGCGATGGTTAGTAATTGATGCCTTGAACGCATGCACAGGAAAAAAGAATAATACAAAAATCTGGCTCTACCCGGACTGAGCAGAGAAAAAGATAGAAAAAGAATGAGGAGGAGCAAGAGGAAGAGCCCCGACGAAAAAGGCGCTTTTTGGTGGCGCTCTATGCGTGTTCTTGGCATGCCTGCTCTGATCAAACTCTGTGCGCGCCATTAATCCGGGAATCACGCTCTACATGTGAAATCCAATGGGCTTTTGCTTTGAACTCTTATTTGACAAAAACGCGCTCTTTCTTATTCCCGCTTTCATTTGTATTATTCTTGTTAAACTGCTTTTAGTAATCTAATCATGTCTCCCTCAATTCAACCCGCTTCTCCCAAAGTCGTGCTGATCACAGGCGGCAACAGCGGCGTTGGCCTAGCTTTGGCGCGGCGTCTCCTCGCGCTCAGTATCGCCCAGGGCCATCGGCAAACCATCATCCTCGGGTGCCGCAACCCTCTCAAAGCACAAAAGGCCATATCTGGGCTCCTCCAGCCACACCTCGCACACAAAGACCTCTGCGACGTACAACTAGTGGAGATCGACACCAGCAGCGTAGCCTCTGTGACCAGCGCCGCCATAGCCATCGAGAAAAAATACTCTCGCCTTGACCGCTTGTTCTGCAACGCCGGTGCAATGGCCATTGCCGGATTGAACCCCTGGGGGATCATCCAGGGTATCCTCACACACCCAGTGGCGTTCTTCGAATCATCCGAGGCGCTGTACCAGAAACGCGGGCTGGTGACTGCTGATGGGCTCGGGCTGACTTTCCAGACCAACGTCTTTGGGCACTACCTTTTGGTGCACAAGCTGGCCGGGCTTTTGGAGCGCACCGGCGGCGCGCGCGTTATTTGGACCGGCTCGGCGGCGTCGCAGCTGGAGTTCTTGCGCACGGATTACCAGCATGTGCTGGGCGCCAAGCCCTACGAGTCGTCCAAATACATCGTCGACCAAATCGCCATCCCCATGGACCGCAGATTGGCACAAAGGGGCGTTCGCTGCTTAGTTGCAGAGCCCGGAAACGTGTGCTCGAACTTCTTGGCTGGGCTCGGACAGGCTTGGTTGGAGTGGGTTATTTTGTGCGCCTTTTATCTCTGTCGCTTGTGCTTGAGCATCCCGAGGTTTACCATTTCGTCGGTGAACGCCTGTGAGGCCTGTGTTTTGCTTGGTGTAAGTGAGGGTCAGCTGGATTCGAATATGAAGTACCACAGTCGCGTTGATAGATGGGGAGCCCCGTTTGTTGATGCTGTGCCGCTGGTGTACGATAAGCGAACGGGCGCGTTTTTGGTCGAGAGGATGGATGCGCTGGTGCGCCGGTTTGAGGAGAGGCGGGGTAATGAATGAAAATACAAATTAATAATCATTTTGGGCAGAAAAATTTAATCAGCTAATAAATATTTTAGACAGGAAGAATAGGAAAAAAAAAAAACATAGTTATTATTATTATTGTTGCTACTATTATTGCCATTATTGTTTTTGTTTGAAGAAATTCAGTCTTCTTTTTCTTTCTCTTTCTCTTTTCATTCTGACTAATTGCCACATAAATTATTACATTCACACCCTCATTCCAACAAACAAAAAATGAGCGCCCAATCCAGTACCGCACCTCTCTCAGCAGCCACATCCAAGCGTCTCCAAAGCGAGCTCATGACCCTCATGATGTCCAAGCTCAGTGGAATCTCCGCCTTCCCCCACTCCGACAACATGCTCAACTGGGCCGGCACCATCGAAGGAGCCGAAGGCACAGTATACGCTGGACTCAAATACAAGCTCCGCCTCGTTTTCCCCTCTGACTACCCGTTCACAGCCCCCACAATTACCTTTGACACGCCTTGCTGGCATCCTAATGTGGACGAGAGAGGAAATATTTGCTTAGATATTTTGAAGGAGAAGTGGTCGGCAGTGTATAATGTGCAGACTATTTTGTTGTCATTGCAGACTTTGCTTGGGGATCCGAACCCGGATAGTCCCCTGAATGGACAGGCTGCGCAGCTGTGGGAGGACCAGGTGGAATATAAGAGGGTCTTGTTGAAGCATTACAAGGATAACGCACAGTGAGAAAAAATTAAAAAAAAAACCTTTTTCGCTTTTGCTTTTTTTTAGTGTTGTGAATTATTTCCTTTCTTTTATTATATTATATTTTTTAAATTTCTTTAATTGACAGACGAAAATGGACAGGAATTACCATTCTGAAAAACACTTTGTCGCAAACAGCCAGGCGCTAAACAATCAAGGATCACTTTTAACCAAAAGCCTTATTTCAGCCGAGTCTATGATCCAAACACGCCAAAGAATCTTCCGCCAAATCGCCAACTTACCACCACCCACACACCTACACCCAACTTTAACTCTAACATTAAACCAACACACCGATATCTAGAAAGTTCTCTCCCACAGATGTAATTTGACTTTAGAAAAAAAAGAATAAAAAACTAACATGGGCAATTATAATTTCTAGACTTATTTTTTCTTATTTTTCTTAATAAATTAATATTTTTTGGTGGGTTTTGTCTGACACACTAACCCCCACATTCACACATGTGATTCAAATGCAGGTTCTCAAAGTTGTCAGCCAAAAAAGAAAACAATGCATTTTCTTTTTTGGTTTATCTGTGACAAGCTTGAGAATAAAACCATTAGCATTAATGAATAAATAATTGCTGTAGTTAGTACAGGCCTGTCAACTTTTTAAAGAATGATAAGGAAAAAAGAAAAACCAATTAATTTGAATAATTCCTGCGCCAAATCTTCATATAGTCGACCAATCGGCTGAATTCAACAACTTATGGGATTACAATGTGAATATGGAGCAGTGCTTAAAAACCCTTTGCTTAACTCGGAGTATCTGTAAATTGAGCAGGTGATTCCCGCTTATGTGGATTGCCAATAGAAAAACTAGGGCAAGCTACTGCCATCGCTTTGCAAACTTTGGATACAATTAGCTTGGGCAAAACAAACCTGGCAACCAGAGTATTCACCCCATTCATTGTCGTTTTTTAGTCACCAAGGCGATCATGTCAAATGCATTTGTCAGATCCGCAATCCCACTCTACAGCCGCAGTCACCGAGCCAATCCATGCAGCAGCACAATCAGGTCATTTGTCATATCCAGGATAATTTGGCCATAACCCATGATGCCATGGCTGCTCAAGTCAACCAATCTCATCTGCAACATCATTTTTAAGGAAGGAGATCTGGTCATAAGCAGTGCAGCTCGTTTGAACACTTACTTTGAGCACCGGCGCCTACCTGACAAGTTTTGAGTGACCATCGACCAGCCTGTGACATCAATTATTGCAATGTCACGTGACAATCGCAATTTTTATTTTTACTGTTGATAGTTTGAATAGATAAGCGGAGCTCTTTAAGCCCCCTTATTCGTATAACTATATTTTATTAAATAAAATCCACTATAAGTTTTATTACACAGCCCATGCAAGATTCTTAAGTGGCTCTCCAATGTGACATACCAGCTTGATCCCCACCAAGTATTCAAGCACACAAGGTTTTCCACATCTCTACTCTTAAGTTCTATAGTGTCAGTTATTCTAACATTCTGCACCCTGGCTGTGACATCAAAAATAGGGGCTTAGTCACGTGACAGCACAGACACGTGAAATATGGTTATATTTCATGTGCACAGCGAATTCCGAATAGTGAGCTCTTTGGCTCTTTTCGTAGTCTCATTTATATTAATATATATTATAACCAGTACAATTCGCATTACAGTAATACTCTAGAAAAATCCGGATCTAAATTATTATATTCAAGTATACAAAAATTACTTGGGAACTGAAAAATCGGGCAGCACTGTGTGAGTAGTGCTGTGAATATAATATTGCTGTTTGATGTTGGCCAACTATAACAACAATGTGTATAGTAGCCATGAGGGCAATCTTGAAGCTTAAAAATGAAGATAGTGGCTTGGAATGTGTATTGGGCACTACAACTAGTGCCCCGGTCAAACCACAACACCTTTAACATTGGTCGACTAGTGCTCTCCTCAAAGCTTTGTGGCCTTGACCATGGAACACTTGCAATTACTTCGCTGATTATTCTTAGCAGGATAAAACCCACCAAGCTTTGTTACTGACTGCAAAATAAACTCTTTTGTGTTACTGTTAACATGCTTTTCAATTCGGTCATTTAAATTTAAATAAACTTCTTGCCCTTTATCATTGAGTGAATGCAATCCATATTTGTGTTCCATCTCAGGTGCAAGATTACCAATTGCTTTGATCAGTACATCCCTAACCAGAGTAGTTTTGTCATATAAAATGTGTGTGTGTATCTTCACAAATTCCTCGGTGTTTGGTATCGGTGCGAAATCAGTGACAATTATAGTATTCTTTTCAAACGCATATTTCTCAGTAGTGGCTGGTTTGCTCATGGTTAATTTATTTTCCTTGCTAATTTAGTTATGAAGAATTGTATAATTCAAGTGTATTTATTGTAGATAAGTGTGGTGTGAATGAAGTTGTATAAATTTTGGGATGAGAACCCAACTATTTATATTATTTTTAGTAATGCTGGCTTAGAGTGCACGAACCACTAAGTGTGCTTTTTATAATTTGCAACAGTGAGTAAAAAATAATTAAAAATAAAGTGCATGTAATATGCGAAAACTGATAACAAAACCTGTGCATTTACTTTCTCAGTACACCCTTTTTTTAAAGGTTAAAATGATTTTTTTGCATAACGACTTTTCAATATCATTTTTTTATTTGGGTCCTTATTGCAAAAAAATCTAAAATGCAAAAGAAATATTTTTAAAAAGGCATGCTGTTATCTAATGCAAACAAAACTCCCAACTATTTAATCCAAGTTTATTTACTCATGAATAAACCAACAAATAAAAATACTCTACAAAAAGAATCAATTTATTTTTGTAAATGCAAAGTCACTGTAAGAAAGCAGCATCGGTATACTTATTTAAACCCGTAAAACGTGCGATTCTTCGAAAGATTTAGACTTGGACTCAATCAGTAAATGTTTAGCTCTGGCATTTTTAAACTGCTGCATCTTGTCGGACTTTGATTCATTCGCCTGTCGATTCCAAAAAAATTAAATCCCAGTTTTGCTTGCATGATTAGATCAAACAAATCATCAGGTGTCAATATTAACCAAAGAATGTTGCACTCGTGACCAATCAACTGCAACTGCGTGCGCGGTATGCAGTATGCAAAACGTGTGTGGGAGTGTCGAATCGTCACGTTTCTCTCCACTTTGTCTAATTCGTAATTTTTTATCTCTTCTTTTTTTGTATTGTACGCTAATTTCTCCACACATTTACCAATATGGATTCGCTTATTCGTGACTGCGACAAACTGGCCAAACACCAGTTGTCTTCGACGCAAAAGTCACTCAACTCGATCGACCTCGCGCTGCAAGCACTCCAAACAGCCAAACAAAGCATACAAACACCAAGCACAGTGGTCAATTCAGAGTCTCTAGTAAAGGCCAAATCCCAAATAGACAAGACACAGACGTTGGTGTCGGACCAGCTGCGCGAATTGTACACGAATGTGAGCAAGTACGGCAAGCATGTGGAAAAGACATTCAAGCTGGACCTCAGTGTGGTCAGCACATCACGGGCGTTCGAGGATAAACGCTTAGAGCTGGGGCAAGCCGTGCTACAGCACTTCCTGAGAGAGGGTGATTTTGAGCTAGCCAGGGGGTTCGCCGAGGAGGCGCAGCTGGAAGTGGGCGAGGAGGCGGTTGAGGGCTTCGAGGAGATGTATGGGATTTTGAAGGAGATTCGGGGCGAGGGCCACGTGCTAGAGGGCGCCGTGCGGTGGGCTGTACAGCGCCGGACGGAGATGGAGGGCCTAGGGCTGGCGCTAGAGTTTGCGCTGCACCGGCTGCGGTTCCTGCAGCTCGTCGAGTTGGGCGATGCTGAGGCAGCGCTGCGGTACGCGCGCGAGTGGTTCCCGCTTTTCGCGCACCAGCGCGAGCATATGGATGAGATCGAGCACCTGATGGGAATCTTCATCTACGCGCGGCGTCTGCAATCATCGCCGTACGCGGCGTACTTCGCCAAGGAGCGCTGGGACCAGGGCGCGCGGCTGTTCGCTGCAGCGTTCTGCGCTGTGCGTGGGCTGGCGTCGGTGTCGCCGCTGGGCGTCTCGGTGGACGCCGGCGCCAGCGCACTGCCAGTCGTGTGCAAGGTGCAGGGGCTGATGCGCGACCGCAGGGTCGAGTGGTCGCAGCAGAATGAGCTGGCCGTCGAGGTGCCGCTACCTGATGCCATGCGCTTCCACTCGGTGTTTGCCTGCCCAGTGTCCAAGGAGCAGACGTCGCCAGAGAACCCGCCGATGGCCATGCCCTGTGGCCACGTCGTCTGCCGCGCGTCGCTTGAGAAGCTGTCCAGGGGGCTGCGGCCTGGCACGGTCGCCTCGGGCAGGTTCAAGTGCCCCTACTGCCCAGCAATGTCCACCATGGCCGAGGCCAAGAAGGTCCACTTCTGAGGCGGCCAAAAACGAGCTGGGCTGAGTTGATTTAATTTGATTTGATTTGAAAGATAATATGGAAAGTTTTGTTTTTACTCGAGCTTGGCCAGGATGGCCTCCAACACGCGGGGCTTCTCGGCGGCCTTTGCGGCCTTGCGCACGGCCGCCACGTGCGGGCGCAGCAGCTTGCGTGCACGCTCGCCCGTGACTGGCGACTCTAGCAGCGCGCGCACAGGGAAGGCACCGGCACAGGCGGCAGGCACAAGCTGGGCGGAGTTCTCCAGGATGGACAGCACGTCCGAGCCGAACTTGGGGTTGTCCTCGGGCAGCGCCGGCAGCGTGGCGTCGGCCGACTTGGGCGGGGCGTATTCGGCCATAATGCAGTTGGTGATGACGCGGTTGGAGATGGCGTTAAGCAGCACGTGCTTGCTGCCGTTCTCCTCGATGCTGCGGCCGACGAGGTCCAGGACCGAGTCCCAGGCCATCTGCTTGTCGCCCTGCGCGCGCATCAGCGTCTCGGAGACTGCCTGGCTGGGCATCGGGTCGAAGATCGCCAGCTCGGCGTTGTTTGCAAGCCAGCGCAACAGCGGCGCCGACACGTACGCCGTGAGCTCGCGGCGCCTGGTGGTCGGGTCCTTCTTGCTGGTCTCAGCGCGCACGGCGTCGCCATCCCGCAGCACATGCATGGCGTCCAGCCCGACGTAGTGCGAGTTGCGGCCGGCTAGCACGTACAGCAGCACGCGGCGGCCGTACTGGTCCGCCAGAAGCTCGGGCGCCAGGGCGCAGAGGTCTGGCAGCAGCGACTTGCCCAGGTACACGGTGTCGTCCATGCAGTCCAACATGCCAATGAGAACAGCGTGGCCGTGCTCCTCGCAGGCGATGCGCTGGAGGTAGGGCTTGAGCGACTTAGCAATCAGCTTGCGGTCCTTGGCCGTGCCGTGCAACAGGCACAGCATGGCGGCGTGTGCGCCCTCCCTGGTGTGCAGAACCTCGACAACCAGCTCGCGCATGGTCTCGATCATCTCCTGCCTGCCAGCAGCGTCGGCGAACCGCAGGTAGTCCAGCAGCGCGCGGTGCACAATGGAGTGCTGCACTGTGCCCTTTTGCAGTAGCGGGACGATGGCGGTCTTGAGCGCGTTGACAACAGTGTCCTTTTTCTGCGGCGCCTTGGTCAGAATGTCATCGACCGACCGCACGTCGTCGGTGTCCTTGAACACGGCAAACTCATTTCCGTAGAACTCGGCCACCAGCTGCCATCTCTGGCCGGCGTTGGCGTACACAGCATAACACTCCTCTAAGACAGCGGCCGCGTCCTTGTGCTTCACCAGCTTGCGCACGTTTCCGTAGAACGCCCGGATGACAGCGCTGCGGAACCGGCTGCTATACTTGAGAATGCGCATGAGGATGTGGCGGCCATACAGGCTGCGCGAAAGCTCCGTGTACGCGTCCTCCAGCTCCGCGGCAATCTCGTCGCGCTGCGCGTCCGATCCGTACTTTAGGCAGGTCTGCACAATGCGGCTCATGTCGTGCTTGAACGTGATGTCCTTGATCTGCCCGCGCACAAGATCCATCATCTCGACCATCTTCTTTTTGCGGTCGTCGGCTTCCAAGTCGCCGCGCCGCAGCTGCTCCCAGAGCTTACGCGCGGCGATTTTGAGCTCGCCCGTCGGCTCGGTGAGCTGGCGCTCGGTGCGCTGTTTCTTCTGCTGCTGTCCGCGCGAGCCCAGAGGCCCCTCATCTGCCTCGGCGTCCTCCTGTGTCGGGCGCTTATTCTCGCTGGTCTTCTTGTGTTCGGGCTTCTTGTATTCGGCCTTTTTGTCCGTCGGCTTGGCGCCGTTTGCCTTGTTGTTGTCCTTGACTACCTTGGGCTTGGGCTGGGGCTTGGTTGTGGAGAACTTGGTTCCAATCTTGCCTTTGCCTTTGCCTTTGCCTTTGCTGCCCGCTCCCGACGATCCTCCCTTTGCGCTGCCAGCTGCACTGTGCTTCCCGTTTTGTGGTTTGCCCATTATATGTTTAATTTTTTAGCTACGCGACTGTATTTGTATATGTATAAATGTGAGGGTATAAAGAAAAGTTTGCGACAAATAAGAATATGAATATAGGAAGGCCATGCCAAAAAAGCCTTGTGAGAAAAAACAACCAAGCTTTATTTTTTTTGCCGAGTGGCAAGCAAAATGCGATGAAGGAAAAAAAATAAGCGAGCAGTAATTTGATTTGATCTGCCGTGGGGTTATTGATTTTCTGATTTGATCCTGATTGTTAAATTTTGCATCAAGGTCCTCCTCTCATGTCACATGCAAACCAGCAAGGTTGAGATTTTCGGATCTCTGGGATTCTTTTTTTATTCCTGCGTGTGAGTATCGTCGATTTGCGAGAGAGAGAGAAAAAGGAAGAATATTCAGTTTTTATTTGTCAGTCCGCTCAAAGATCAAAATACAAAGGATATTGGTATTTTTCTGCGCTGCAATGCATCTCTCTTCTTTTATTTGTAATGTAAAATTGGATATCCTTTCCCTTTTTTTCAGTTGCATTTACTTTGTGAGATTCAGTTAAACATTTTATATGTATCTTCTGTTCAGATTTACATTCTGCCTCGGGAATATCTGGGGGAAAAACGAAACGAAACGAAAAATAATAGTAATAGTAAGCGGATGTGGCAAACATTGAAGCGCCAAATCCGCACCCTACAATGATAGTTTACAAAATAATCTCCATCCATCCCTTCCATCCCCCCTTTTCCTTTTTACGAAAAGAAAAATATAAAAGCGCAATAGATTAAAAATAAAAGTGTCAGAAAAATAAAAAATAAAGGACAACCTTTTTTGTTTTGTACAAAATGTATGATCGTATAACCAGATATACTAAAAAAAAGTTCCTTTATGTAAAAGAACAAAAAAATATATAAAAGACTCGTTACAAAGAAATATACAAAAAAAAAATAGCGGTTTTTATTTTATTTTTCTATGTGTATGCGTTCGCCAAGCGTTTCTCCCTCTTTTTATTTTTTTAGCCACGTCCAAAATGTGTTCTTTATAATTAAACACATTGGCAGTAAAAAAAATATGCATTGGCGTTATTGCCATTTTTTCTATGCCTACATAAACTATTATAATTTTATTTTGTTAAAAAAGTTTAAAAGAAAATTATATTCAAGGACATTATATTATTTTTTTGCAAAACAAAAAACCAATACAAAAATTTGTTTAAATAGATTGCGAAAAGTCACCTCTGTCATTTTGAAAAAGCTATAGACTCCCTTACCTTCTATTTCTCCATTTTCTCTTGCCTACCATCATTTTCTAATTTCAATACAAATTAACAGAATATCATTTTTTATTCTCAATTACGCTCAACCTACATTCACCCATTTTACCCATCCGTTTTTTGTTGACCACCCAATATCACTTTACTTTTTTCTTCCCATTTACACTTTCCAAAAAATAACAAGCACAATCATGAACAACTACAACAACTACCCTCAGTACACCTCTGACCAGTACCACAACCATGCACCCATTCCTCAACACATGGTGTACCCGCACAAGGGCGCAATGCCGATTATGAGCAACCCAATGCACAGCAATCCCCACATGTCCCCTCGCCAACCTTACCCGAGCATGTCACCACAGAGCAACAGCGGCAACTACAGCAACAACCAGCAACCAATTACCCAAGCCTCGCATATAATCTCCGAACCCACCTGCCGTATCTACCGCACAACCACCGACAGCACGGAGGAAGCCACAGAATTTACTGCCCGCCAACTCATTGCCTTTGATGGCAAGATCTTCATCGAGCACTTGCCAGGCCACAACATAATCTACGCGCCCTCCAAGCCCCGTATGCCCTCTCGTATAACCAAGCTCAAGCTCAAAGCCAAGACAATAGACCGTCCAAAAAACGTCTTTTTCATGTATCGCAGCCACAAAGTCAAGGAAATGCAGCAAAAGTACCCGAAACTCAACCAAACGGTGTTTTCGCGTATTGTCGCAGAACATTGGAAAAACGAATCAGATGAGGTAAAGGTGTTTTTCAGGCAAAAGTACAATGATGAAATGAAACAGTATGAGTTGGCCAAAAAGGTCAAAACTGTTAAAAAGCATCGCTTTGAGCTTTACTCTCAACAGCAGCAGTTTTTGCATATGGAAGAGGATGGAGGCGCGCAGTCTGATGGGACGGCGGTAGTCTCAGGTGATGCAAGAATAAAGTATTCTCGTGAAAGCTCGGTTGAGAGAATAAGGGGCCCACCAATGCCGTTTGCTAGGCAGAGAAGTTTTACTATGCCTGCTGATCCTAGACAGCAGGCTGATATGTCTAGAATTATATATTAAGTTTTAGCTTTATTTTCTATATTTTGCTGCATAGCTTTATTTTCATTATGTATTTTTATATATCTACTTGTAATTTAACAACCATACCCAAAATTTCTTTTTTTCCATTTGAAACAAATTGTTTTATTTATTTATTTATAAAAATTACTTACAGTAGCAGTTATGTTACAAACCATAGATGTGAATTTAAGTTAATTATACACATAATAACCTATTACATTGCAAAAAACTACAAAAATCCTATATATATTATACAAGCTTGTTTATCATAGGGCTTGCAATGGTCGCATCCTACCTATTATCAGGAGACATCGACTACGCAAATAATTCAAACTGTAAATATGAGGCTGTACAATAATAGCATATTTCATATAAAATACTTTAAAGCAATCCTTTTCTCCATCAATACATATGGTTCTTGTAATGTAGTGGTCTATCTAGGAATCCAGTCAGTGGTATTTGCCTCTCGGTATAATGTTGATAATGATTCTGTTGATTATGGTTTTGTTGTTGTTTTCTTTGTTGTTTTGGCGTGACAATAGTTGTTGTGCCGGGAAGTAGTGGTGGGCTTGACAATTGAGCTAGTAACAAATACTTGGTGGCCAGCAGTGACAGTGTTTGCTTGTTTTCTTGTTCATAACGTTTGATGTTTGTTGTAGGTTTGAGGGTTTTAAACACATCTTTCAACCCACCTATTTTATCTAAACCATTCCCCCCGTCATTGACAGCTGCAGCCAGTGCGGCTCCAACAAGGACAAATAAAAATTCAAATACAGAGAGCTTCTTGAGTAAGAATAAATACCTTGTTTAAAACTAATTAGTGCAATAAAATGTTTTGGTTGTAATGGAGTGGTGATAAATATAAATGTTTGTAGAGAATTGAGGTTCTGCATTCAGGGGTTTTATACAATTGGTAACCACCCTGTAGAAAACTAACATGGCCCTTATTACATAAACAAAAATGTGCAAATAAATGTTTCCTATTTTTTTCTATTTCCATTATTTTTTCTTATTCCAATTTTTTTTAGCCAAGCAAAAAATAATAATAAAATAGTTGTCATATAATATCTATGTGCACACATTGACTGTCCAATAATTTTACATTTAAAAGCTACACCAGCAAGGAAAATTAAGCAAGCTGTCTTTTAAGCCATCTCTAAAAAAAATACCAACGTGATCGCGCCTGGAGTTTGTATAATATAATATAATATTCTTTATTTCTATCGAAACCACGAACTCTTGGCTTTTACCAAAAGCGCCTGTTGTATATCACACGGCAAAGTGCACATGCGGCACTGCGGTGTATTATCCATGTTGCTCTAAAATAGCATATATTATTGATGTTGTTGGAACCGATGGAAAAAATAGGACTAACAATGTATTGCTCAGCAGACCAATTTGCATGTCACTTGGTCTTATTTTTAAAAACCAGCCTAGTTGCACACAACTTACTGGACAGAACAATATAGGGATAGACTGATGGCAAGATAGGCAACCTATGGATTTTGAATTGCGTTATAATGTGCAAGTGAATACATATCTACTCATTCAAGTGCACGGTATGTACAATATGTACTAAACATATAAGCTGTTTCATATATGTGTAGAGTGGTACTATGTAACTAGTTGTCTAGAGGATGATATGTGGGTATGCTTGCTTTTATTCAAATCAAACAGATAGTGCAAAAACCCCGGCTAATGAGTCTACAACTACCAACAAGCACAGGTTACGTTAACATTAAAATTAACATAAACAATTATTTTATAAATTAAACAAAACAACATTAAAACATATTTAGAATTTACTATTGATAACAGTGGTATGCATGTTATTGATAATACCCTTGCCCCAGGCTAAAGTTTGCACAACAAAGCAAAAGCTACTGAGTACCATTTTTGTATTCGGCTCCGGATTTGTGTTGACCAATGTGGGGATGACGAAAGGATCAACCCGACAGACAGAAGTGCTCACCACCGCTTGAATAATTGTTTTTTTACTTCTTTTGCAATATTTACTATCTTTTTGCCCTGTCGTGGATTTAGTTTAAGTGTTGGAATATAGGAACGTTCTATGAGCGTGTATATAAACTATAATAATATAAAGTATATTTAATAAATAAGTGCTATGCACTGTGAAAGGTAAAGAGTAGAAAGCATATTGCTTTGGTCACCGTGTGACTTATTGTTTGTGTGGCTAAACAGCCAAGACTGGTTAATCAGTTGATCGCCATCAACCAATATTAAGACTTTGTTTTTGATTTTTGACATGGCCACTACCAATCATATAGTTTTAATATCAGTCTCTTCTACGCTAATCACGGCAACATAAGCCTTATCGCGGCGGTTAAACGTGGTCTTAGTTGCTACAGGTATCCTAAGAGAAATATAAAGGATATCGTTGCGAGTAGATAGCCTGTGGGTATCCTCAGCGGCCGTAACCAATACAACTCCTGCGAGGGCGAGTGCAAATGTAAAAATAGTAAACTTCATGAATAAGAATAAATACGTTGGCTGGATTAAATAAAACAATAACCCAGATATAATGTAATAAAATAAATAACTGCAAAAGTAAAAAAAGCTCTGAGGGACGAAAACCATGGTCAAATTATTTATACGCTAAATTGTAGACATGGATGGAGATAGAATGGTGTTGGTAAAAAAATGTTTAACAAAAATATGATTCTCTTTATTTTTCAATTGAAGGATAATGCACATTATTTTGGCCAACATTTTGCGCTTGTTGGCTTTATCAAAAATTGGTATTTTTTATTAAAAATAAATAAAAGCTGTGCATGACAATTTAAAAAAATTAAAAGATTGTTCTTTTTAAAATTTTTTAAAGAGTACAGCTTGACCACGTTTTATTTGCATAATAAAACACTTATTTTTTGCACCTGCTGCAAATCACATGGAAGCTACATGTGAAATTTGCCTTACATTTCTTATAGTAGGCATTGAAAAGTAGTTGTTGGTTGATCGAAATCAACTGATTAACCAGACTTGACTGTTTGGCCAAATGTTTATAGGGATCGGTGGCACCACTGCTCAATCCTGCTGCGTAACATACATTACAACTGTGTTTTAGTTTAAATTTATGGTATTGTAATGCCTGAGTGTGGGTATACGGGATGAAATTGAAATACGAAAGTATAAAAAATGTCTGGTACGGAACTAAATAAACAACACCGTGTGGGCGGCACTATAAAGGTATTGTTGGCATTTGATATAAACCAATGTTATAGTAAGAGGGGGCGTGAGGAGCACTAGTTGTATAGTGTTAAAAGTTAGGAGTGATTTTATAAAAGGTTTTATTACTGATGTTTTTAAAGTACTACTAGCGCCGGCCTCATCTTATATATGTGCCCTGTCGCCTTTGTTGTGCACATTGTCAATTGTGCGCTCCGTTGGTGAGAACTGGATCTTCTGCGAGCAGACCGGTATCTTGGCAAGTCAATGTTGTGGTTTTTGTGCGTGTACGCTCATGCGTGTGCATTGCAAAATGGAGAGCATGTTTGGGCATCAATGCAATGCCTCCCTAATTTACGCCTGCATGATCCAATTAGCGTCCTATCAATCGGCACGCAGGTGGAAACCTGTTTCGCGATTCTCGACCTCGACATCCACTTCCATATCTTCAGTCTGCGCAACACCAACAATATCAGAAAGAAATATTACACCAATAATAAAATTATTGGCGATATTGATACTTAAAGATGGGAAGAGAAATCCAGAATATGGCTTGGGCACCACAACTACTAACAACAAATTACCATCTTGTTATTGAGCATTATAATCAATAACAAGATTGTGTTCACCGTCCACTGGATCAAATTACTCATTGAGTCCCTCACCGAGTTCCTCATTATCGTCCATATTTTCAATACTATCGTTGTTTCCATCCCTGGACTTTTTATGGCCGCCATTTGGATGACGAGAAGACCAATCAGATGGGCGGGAGCGTTTACCGCTGTGCGATTTCCGGTGTCCTTCACCACTGTGCGATTTCCGGTGTCCTCCACCACTTTTGTTGCCATCGTGGCTCCAACTATGGAATTCATCACCCAAACCAAGAGGTCCAATTTCGTTTTGGTTCTGTTTGATATTCTGATTGCTTGTTGAGGTAATCTGAGGCTCATCGCGGCGGTTTAACGTGGTCTTGGTTGCTACAGGTGTGCTTATAGGAATGTACAGGATATCGTTGCGAGTGGATGGCTTATGGATATCTTCGGCGGCCGTAACCAATGCAGCTCCTGCGAGGGCAAATGCAAATGTAAAAATGGTAAACTTCATGAGTAAGAATATATACGTTGTCTGGATTGAATAAAACAACAATATAGTTAAAATGTGATAATAAAATTGTGATAATGTTAAAATAAAAGGTTGTTTGACAGCGAGTCTCTGACTGCTGGTTTTTATATTATATATGGTCGATACTAACAGAAAATAAATTGCATTAGTATAAAAAATTGTCAAGCATTTATTTTTTGGTTTCCTCTCTTCCTACTGCCAAAATAGTCTACTTTTTGTTTTGGCCAACACATTGCGCACATTGAAACAGTTGGAGACTACAAACTGTCTTTTAATGTTGCTTTTGGCTAACCATTTTAAAAAATTTTATATGGCGTTATTTATACAAATATTCAAAAGAGAACAGCATGGCAGCATGTTCTTTTTATAATAGATTGTAGATTCCATTGTTTCTATCGGAATTAAAAATCTTGGCACTTGTTTGTCACACCTACAAATTATATGAACACATGCTTGGTGGTCACATTATTTGCATATGTTGTGATAACATTGATGGGCGTCCGCATTAGTTTTGAATAGTTTTGAATAGTAATAATAGGGCTGGTTGTTAGAGTAGCTTTTATCAGACTATGGCCAATACTATTCTGTATTTTTGAAAAATAATAATCTAGTTGTGCCCAGCTGTCAGTCAAAGCGGGCGAACAATTTTTTTACTGTCACTTAATATTATAAAAGAGTACCCGCTCATGGTTTTCAGCATTATTTTTTTAAAACAAAAAAACACTCTCGTTCTTTGCTACATGTACATAAGGAGTAGTCCTGATCAGCGGGATGGACACACTAAATCTATACAAAGACAACTTTTGTTTTTTTGGATTTTATTTTTAAGGTATGGCAAAAGCCAACACATGATCAATTTTTATAGCGCTACAAACCAGTAGCATTTAACATGTGTGAATTGGTTATCCGCCCAACCAAATTAAATTAGCAATCTTTGTTGCCTATCAGTAAAAATTGGTTTTGAATTTACAAAAATAATTAAATAAACTAGTTTAGCAATGGAAACCAACTTTGAATCTGAGGCTGGTTTTTAATGCAAAATAAGTGTGATTGATAGCTTATTTAGTTGGTGTCAATGCTGCAGATACATGCATTTTTAAACGTAATGTCTCCCCCTTTTTGCTTTGCCCTATTATCTTTGCGTGTCAAAACTAAAGTGTGCATTGTGAACAAGCAGATATGGCTGTGTATGTATATTAATGCGACGATTCTCAATACAGATGATTACTGTAGCTGGTAAATAATTTAATTATCTTCTTTGTCTTTGAAATTGTATTGTATGTTCTGCTTTTTATTTGAGGTACAGCTATGCATGTAAGCAGATTCAACAAACACGATAATATTGTTTTTACAATTAACATTGGCAAAATGTTTAACGCAACACTTTATCAGTTTAATACTTGCAATAAAAACAGACTGCACCCATTAATTATAAATAAGGCGGCTGACGGCACTGCGCAATACTTTGTGTATTCCATATTCACACAGCTTGTTTTATTTTTTATTCCAACTCGTCTGCTCAACCATTTTTTATTATATATTATTATATCTTTTTTGCGAATGGACAACTTTCAAAACTACCATCACTCTTCACCCGAAAGAGACACCTTTGCACCCGATCTTCCCTTTATTTTGCCTTCTCGCTCCGTTTCCATTTATTCCTTCTCAGCTGCGTTGGCTTCAGCGTCATCTCCGTCTTCAATGTTTTCACCCGCAACAGTTCAAGCGCAGCACTTAGTTCTGCCGCCAATAAATGGTTTATTGACGCCAATTAGCCCATCCCAGCCGCTTCACTCATTGCCTATTCCGCGCATGCCCACTCACAACAACGACGGCAACGATAACAGCAATGATAGTAGCGATAATGAAATTCCTCAGTTTACAACCAATAGCCGTATTCTCGGCGAGTCTGAAGCATTTGTCTATTACTACAGCTGCAAAACCGATATTTTTGTCAAGCGGCCTGTTGACCAAATATATGGGCCCAACGGCAAGCTGTACATTGAGCACATTCCTGGCCACAGCATCATCACTCTTCCAAAAACCGTACCCATTCAAAAACCCACCAAAAGAATTGCTCAAAAAAAGTCCGCCAAAAATAACTCTAATACCAGTCTCAATGGCAAGCCAGCAAAGCCCAACAATGTTTTTATTAGATACAGGTGCGCCAATTCTAGCAGAATCAAAAAGTTATTTCCCAATGCCACCCAGACCGATCTCTCGCGTATTGCTGCCGAGTATTGGCGCAACGAGACAGTTGAGGGGAAAAAAAGGTTTTGCAGCGAGTACAACGCTGAGTATTCAGAGTACATCAAAAAGTTCAAGCAGTGGGAGATTCAGACAAAGCAGTTAAAAATAATGTGCTACAAAGAATCTCAGCCTCAAATGATGAGCATGGCATCGGTAGTCGTGCCAACTCCTGCGCATTACGAGTCTGCCGATTTTTCTGGAGCTGGCCCAATTAACCACTTGGAGTTTGGTGATTTACCTGGTTTCAATCAAAAACGCCGGCGCAGCTACTCTATGCCTGCGCACAGGTTTATAGCTAAACACATTCCTAAACAGAGCGACAAGAATCCAGCCCGCAAGCGCCAGAGAGTCTATCCCATGGCTGAGCCGCATTTTAATTAGTTTTTGTATAATACTTGCTTTATACACTTTGTATCGAGTTTAGAGTAAATAAATATACATTGTAAAAATATACGAATTTTAGAGTGCAAGATAAGAATAGAACGAATAAGTAATAATATTGAAAATTTGTCATGGTAGAAATATTAACAGATACAAAAAAGCCACACGCCTAAATAATGCGTCTGGGATATTTGATGGGCGGATTGGCTTCAAGATCAAACGATTCTATGGAGCAAAAATGATTGTTTTGGAAGCTGATACCGGCAACTGGTGCTTCAAAGGTGCTGTCGTTGGTCATAGCCGTTGCTGGTCTCAGGATGTTGCCCCCATTTTGAACCAGCATCCTGAGGGCGTGCATCGGGTCCTTGTCATAGTAAAACTTGTTTCCTGTTTTTGTTCTTTCGAACATGGTCTCCTCAATGTTTGAGCAGTTTATATTCTCAAGCGGTGCCGAGTCAAACTCAACAGAGTATTTTTGGAGGTATCCGTCCGTGCGCAGCTTCTGCGCCCATTCCCTGTCGTATGCATCCTTGCGGAACATGCACTGATAGGCCGGGTACGCAAGCATGATCCAGATAATAAGGTTGGTGGCAATGCAGTCGATGAGTGTCTCGGATTGGCGAAAGACTCTGCTGAAGACGTAGTAAGGATGTGTTGCGTGAACAACTGTGGACTTGACCAGAATTAAAAAGCCCAGGCAGCAGGTGAACAGAGTTTCGTACAGCTCGTTGAAGCTGGTCTTGATCTTGCGCAAGCGGTAAACAAGAACAAGGCTGGTTATCCACGGGATCCACAAAAGACCCACACTGGCGTATCTGTAGCCGTCGTTGACCATACATATCTGCGCGTAGTCGACGTAAACAACAACGTTCTCCGGATTCATAAACTGACAAAGCAGGCAGTATCCCAACAGGATGACAGAGAGAGCAGCAACCGGGGCATAAAGTGCGAGGCCCTTGTAGGGCTTTCCTTGAATGAAGATGCGGTCGAGGGCATAAAAGCGGAGTGTAATGAGGCAGACAAATATGTAGTTAAAGAGGATACGGACCCAAACAACCCAGAAGCGACAGTGCTTCCACGGGCCTGTCAACTCGATCAATCCGTTCATCTCAAAGTCCCCGACAGTCCATATAACCGCGGAAATGTGCATCAGTGTGCACAACTTGATTGTTTTAGCACGCAGCGGCCGATAATTCCGATTAAACCAGACAAAAACGACGAATATGAATGTCAATGCGCACACAACGGCACATATGGCAATCGTGGCAGTGTCCCTGCCATCGATCGGATCTATCTTGATATTTGTTATTTTATGTAGGAATTCTAATCTGTCCTCGCCTTGCAGCGGAGGCAGCGTTTCTAGCAAAGCCAAATCGAGAGACATGAAAATATGTGATAATATAATTAATAAAATGAATTACTCAAGTTGCAATAGCAAAGTGATGAAGAATTAAAAGTGATAAGGGATAAGTGCTAAGTTAAAAATGAAAAATAAAAAGTTAAAAATGAAATTGGGTGGAAAAAAATACTAATGATTAATAATAGATGAGGAAGCTAGACCAAAAACTTAGTACGACCGTATCTGCTTCTTTTTGTATGTCAGTGGCTTTGCTCCAAGGCGTCTCAGGATAACTAACCACCCTGATTATTGCTTTCCTCGGAAGTGCCGGCAGAATGCTTGTTGAAGGAGACAAGCCACGTTGCCTTTTTACTTCTGGGGTTTTATCCACAAATATTATTTTGCTCAGCAATCTCTAGACCAGCATGCGTGCGCTGTCGGCAATGTTTTTAAAAAAACCACCCCCCGATGTCCAAAAGCGGTATCATCGGTTGTGCAACCAGCTACACTCATTGGTCATTTATCAGTTTCACGAGCGATTGACCGAAAAGAACGATGTACAATGTTTCCTTTTAGCATTGCAATGTGTCCTGGTCTCAAAGGCCAAATCAGCCGATTATCAAGATTTGACTAAAAATGGTCATGATTTTCAACTGGAGTAACTGCGATGGGAAGCCCTTCTTTGTACCAAAATAAAATCATTTAAATGGACAACAAAAGAGATCGACTTGGCTGGACGAGCGCACTCGTGCCTTGAACGGACAATTACACTACTTTTTTGTCTGAGAACAAATCTTGGAATTTCATGTGTTATCGCATAGATTTCAAACCACCAATTCCGCAACAAAAAGAATAACAGAGTGTCACTCTGTCCCTTTTATCCACACACCTTAGTTCCTGCAAAGAAGATCAACACAAAGGGATTGCATGCACATAAACGTACGCTCTCCAAGAATGGTTTTAAAACTCACGAGATGCCAATCATATTTAAAAAAAGTTTTTTCTTTAAAGCCTGTCAAGTTCAGCTTTTCAAAGCAGAACGCTTTTTAAAAGTTTAAAATACCAATGTATAATATATTTTGCCAACACAGCCCGTTTTAGTCTCAGTACATTAATGCTTTTGTGGCAATTGGCTATTTGGAATTGAAGTGAAATGAAATATATATATATTGATTACTAACAAACTATATTATTTAAACCTTGTCGACAGAAAGCTCGCTATTGGACAATACAGCAGTGTCGTCGTTTGAACCATTAGATACACTAATCGCAGCCGCGCTCTGCTCGCCAGAACCGACATATTTTGGGGGCTTCTCGATAAATCATAGGGCGTGAGACCTAGCATTTCAATCCTAGCAATAACATGGAAATGATGCCACAGACGATCAGAATCTTCTGCGTGCTAGTATAAGGGTCCTGGACAATGACCCACTGGCCCTTGGGCAACTCAAAAAATATGTAATGTTGATTATGCTGTAGATATCCACATCAAAGTCATCCTACCCTGGAGCTTTGGCGGCAACACGTTGACCCAAACTGTTGTCGAGGTACCTTCCCCTAAAACACAGCCGAGGTAAGTGGCCATGCCGTAAGGCGTAATAGTAATCGTTAGGCCCACAGAAGAGACAGATGCTGGATTTAATGCCAACACAGCTGATAACAATGCCGTTTCCAATACCCAAAAACAACTGTACAAAAGCAATCTCAGCATTAGTTATTTTGTCACTACTGCAAAAGACAGCAACAAGCAAATATACATAAAACTCATTGTCCACCCAACCCATGCCCAGCGGCGGTACCGCTTGGAGAACTGTATTGCCCAGCCACCAAAAAACATACCCACAATATCTCCAGCGCTTGCCAGCTGCAGCAGCATGGCCATGCGCGCGGGCACCTCGCGTGTCACCTGGATAAAAGGATTAAAAAAGGATGCAGCGTTCAAAGTAAAGTAGAATAGTGCGCCGATAGCATAGAGAAGAAAAATTGCGCGACTTGAATAGCTTGAACGGTACAACGGGAGACGTGGCCAAGTGGCTCTCATAGTAGACAAAAAAGGCCAAGGCAACTACGCCGATAGCCAAGGGTGCAATGGCATACGGGCTGCCCCAGCCATAGGCGATATTGAGCTGCATGCCCAAGGGCGCAGAATAACAATGATTCTGCCGCAGATGACATGAGTCCGGGAACGTCCATCTCTATTATTGCGTTTGAGAAGTGCTTAAGCATGAACTTCTTTTCATTACAGTGGTGCTTTCCATAGTACGCAAGGTTACATGTGTGCGCTTGTCTAAAAAGTACCGGCTGTAGAATTCCGGCATTGAGCAGGCAATAGTTAAGGTGTCCAAATTTTTATATACTCAATGCCACCTGTCAACCAGACTTTTGTCAACCTCAACATCCAAGTAGTAGTTGGTCATAAATAGAATAGACACATAAGCGGCGATGACAGCACGCAGATGGACGAGAAGAATGTCAGCCAGAATAATAGCTACCAGAGTTTCGTAGCCAGAACTACCTAATACGGCAATTGCAGTACTAGCAAAAATAGCCGGAAAGCGTTTAGCCGATGCACAGAAAATCAAGCCCAGCATGTGCAGAGCAATGGCCAGAATAAGCGCATGCAAGTGGCCAAAGACATCAGAAATCTTGGCAAAAACAGGATGAGTGCCAGCAATGAACATAAAAACAATGTGGCAATAGTACCGGGACGCGTCATGGCATTAAAATCACTGAGGACCTTGGGCTGAATTGTGGTGCTGCGCTAGAGTCTGTGGCTAAAATAACGTTGGTGAAAACACGCTGACAATAATGAGGATCTTGTCGAAGGGCCGCCACTCAGTGACCATTTTTTCTTGATGCCTGTCAGAGCCGCGTTGAGCGTGCCTTCAAACTCGGTACCCGCGCCAATAACTTTTGTGCCCGAGACATCATGCGCTGCTTTCTGGTAGACAATGCTGCTGCTGCTTAGGCTTAAGCTGATTTTGCTGCTACTGGCACCAGTGGCTATCAATTCTGGCGGAGGCTCATGTACTGGTTGTAAATTTAAGTTAATAAAGTTGTGTATGAAAGTAAATATACATTACAAATATTTGGTATAATTAAAATGAGAGCAAAAAAACAAAAATAACTTGCTCTTGGAAATTTTGGGCGTTTCGACTGGCGTTACAAAAAAATGAAGCGATGATGTAAACGTTAAGATGTTACTCGGAAATAGGGGAAGCACCCAGTTGATATGAAATCGCTATACTGCACTTATTCAGGTGGGAGGGGGAGGGGTGTATCCATTGAAAAATATTTTGACGGGCGATACACTTTCTCAACGCATTTATGTTTTGTTTTGTTTGTTTTTTGAAGTTGTCAAAAAATGTATTGTACCATTATGTGCAATAGTCAAGGTGTCACTGGCATTTATGGTGACGCCACCTGCTATTGAAGAACAACACATAATTTGCATACACGAGCCGACAAGGGCTGTCTTTGGCTGGGAAAAATGACAATGTCATTAAATTTGAATAACTAGATTAGTAAACAATAGTGGCAATGTCTCTCCAAAAACTGTCCAGGAGAATATGTTTCATCACCCGGCTTTTCATCGTGATATTGACAACGATATCTGTGCTTGGAGGCGGGCTGGGCAAAAAACCGACAAAGTTGGCAACAAACGAGGGAATCGTGCATACCCATTCGGGCAATCCATCGCCGAAATCGGCCGCATAAAGCTTAAACGTAGTCTCATTTGTGATTACGAGCGACGTCGGGTGAGTGGCCAAATACACCATTGGCCGCGTAAAGCAAGATGGTCGAGCGGCAATCATATCGACAAAGCTGCCGACAAGCTGCGCATCAGCGCCGGCGTAGATCCTGCTAACTGTGGCTGTCGCCTCAGCCAGGGATTCAGGGCTGGTGGCCGATTCGAGCATTGCCAGCGACACTGTGTGTTGTGTGGAATCAGCCCGTTGCCCATGTAGCTTTTATCCGTGAGTTCCAGCGGATGGCGCATGTCGGCGAGCAGATTCAAGGACTGATGGGTCTCCTTGCCCAGAACTAGGCCGAGCAAAGATGACACAAGTGCAGATAGCATCCCTGCGACACCACTTCCGGCAGATTTGCCACTGGCAATGTCTTTTGATCGCGGCTTTTCTTGTGCGCCTGGGCGACAGTCTTGCTCAGCAGTGCGGCAAGCACATGCGTAGCAATAACCTGCTGGCCATCGGGCATATGCGTGGCAACCAGCGCGCGTAGGGCCTCCAGGGAGTCCCGCGGTATGCGGAAAGTGTGCGAAGTAATATCTGAGCCGAACTTGGCCCTGTCCAAAAGCTGGGCGCGGGTATTGGGGGACAGCCACGCGAGCCAGTCAGCAATTGGGTTAAAGCCCGTGTAGATCCGCAATGTGTCATATCCAGCGGCTTGCGACCTTCGGGCAAATTGCGCGCAATAACGTTGCGGTCAAAGCCGAATTGACGGCCGGAAGCGCGCAGCGCAAGCTCGTGATCCTGGGTGCGAAGCGCCCGACACAGGGTGCCCCAGAGCTCGACAAACGAGAAGAACCCGGTCCCGTCGACGACGTAGTGCGGAATGTTGACAAACAGAACGACGCCGCTGTTTCCTTTCAGACGCACAATATGCACGTTGATCATTTTTATGCGGCCGTCGGCGCCGGCCTTTGTGATTGCACCGGTTGTGGAGAGCCTGCGGCCACGACGTGTGGTGGAACTTGCTGTCTCTAAGAGTGTCTAGGTGGATGTTGCTTGTGGACTCTTTGTACTCGGGCATGTTGAGATCTTTGCGGTCAATGACTACGCATGTTTGGCCGCCGCCGTCTGGGCGTAGGTACCCTGCTAGGATGGGAAACTGCTTGAGTGCCATGTAGAATGCCGCGCGGATCACTTCATTCGGCATGAATTCAGGCTTGGCATCGGTGTTGGCAAAAAAAAGTGGTAGGGTACGTTGAGAAACGCTGCCTGAGTGTCCATGGATGCAGCTGGATCGCTTGGTTTTCGACGGTGCTGATAAAATCTTCCATATATGGCTGTTCTTCTCGGGATGAGATAAAAGCTTTTCTTGTGCTGGCGATAGTGATAAATAAAGTGGTTTCAAGTAGAGAAGAGAAAAGGAGAGCAAACAAGGGCGTTGGTGGGTTGGTTATTGAGTTGGCCATGCCCGCTCTCCTTTTTATTTTTGTCGTATTAAAAAATTTAATTGTCAACATTTGTCAATAATCTGTTGTTGGTCTGCCAATTTTAGGGGAGTGCAAAATGTTACTCACGCCAACGCCACAATGTCATTGTTACTGCATATGTATGATTTACAAGAAGCAAATAAAAAATAGTAGAGCAAATAATCGAATGTTTTATAAATAAAAGAAATAAATTGTGGCTTTTACCTTGTACAAAATAAATTAAAAAGACAAGGCTGTATCAGAGTGCTTAAAAAGATCAATGCGACTATAGAGAAACACAGATATGCTGCCGCTGGTACACGTGTGTGCTGCCCATACATGACATGTTGCAAGCCAAAAGGATAAATCATTTGTATACCGCGTTGGTACTTACCAGCGGCAAGCAAAAAAGTTGTTAATTTTATATTTACATTTACATTTACATTTATATATTCAATGGGTAACTTTACATCACAGTCGTCATCATCTGGCGCAGCAAATGGCGATGAATGGGAGGATAGTCATTAAGCGAGCAAGAGATAGCTGCGCTCACCGCTCTCCTAAAACCACGTCAATCAGAACCAACCAATGGGTTGAGTTTCCAAGACTACATGATCCATTACTTGAAACCCAATAACACCAGCAATAATGAAGCTGAGCCAGGCGGCGACTGTCCCGGCTCCTGCACAGCGACAAGCACACCCAACCCGAAGTAATCTACGCATTTGCCCAACTTGATTGCACTGAGAAGCCCGGGTTATCATTGCGCGGGTTCGTCCACGCGACAATTAAGCGAGCAATGTTTGCGGTTTGGAATATTCCGGTGGACTCGGAGAGCTGGGCGGTTGGCTGGTGCTTGACCCAACCGAGGGACGCCATTGTGAAGATTCTCTTCGGTGGACCCCCTGATGGTATTTCGCCGCTCTGTTGGGTGCTCCTGAGGAGTCTGAGGCTGCGTGGGTGCAGTGCGCGGACAGTTGGCTGGAAATGGCGACCACTCCTGGCGGGGTTGATCCTGGGTCATGGCGCGCATGGTGGATGGGCAGCGCCGTATTCCCGCAGCTATTCAATCTAGCAATCTCGCACACAATCTACGGTGACTCGCGGGTGGTCATCCGCGGCAGCGCGACCGGGAATCTCTCAACGCACCGCGGATACCCAAAGCCATTGTAAGCTTATGGACTAGGGAGAGCAGCCCTGCCTCTGTGTTGCTTACGCCGATGCTCACGTGGGCTCTGTGTCGGGAGCTTCCTGTGGAGTCCAGGCGCTCCTGGGACCGCGTGTACTCCAGCAGCCGCGATGGCCGCAGCTGGAGCTCTTTCCAGAGCACAATTGAACGACGCGGTGCCGTTTTGCTTCTCGTGCAGGAAACCACGCCCATTGCGGATGCTGGAGAAACCACCGAAGGGGCCAGCGTAAATCGAAATACCCAAAGCAGCAGCGCATCTTTGGCGCCTACTTTGACAACGACCTTGAGCGGCGCCCAAGTTGGCACGGCTCACCCTCGAATTTTGTATTCTCTCTTTCCAAGGAATCGCCCCTCGGGCTAAATATCTTCCGGACGACGGGGTTCAACAATCACTACCAGTATTTCAACTACGCGACCAAGACGCTTCCCAATGGGCTTGGCGCCGGGGGCCAGCTAGGCCACTTTGGATTATGGATTGACAGCAGTTTTACACGTGGGTGCTCGAACCCTGCAGCGACATTTGGGTCGCAGCAGTTGTCGACAGAAACTGAGTTTGCTGTGGATGTTGTGGAGGCCTGGCTGGTCCGGCCGTCTGAGCGCTTGGACGAAGTTGGCGGCAGGAAAGGTTCGGTGCTGGACACTAACCCTGAAGCTGCGGCTTTTTTGGAATTGGCTAACCGGCCAATGTACTCGAAAATGCTTCCCGACCCGGTTGTTAATGATTCTAATTGAGGAATCCTTTGCCCTGAGTCAGGGATTGTGTCGAGCAAAACAAAAAATTAAGTGTAAAAAAAGTACGTGAAATTATTTAGAGCGCAGGAGTATCTCCTGTAAGAAATATTTATTAGCATATATTATTCGGACTTGGATTGCAAAAAAAAATTCATGTTTGTGGAGCACAAACAATATCGATTGATTTGATGGGTTGAGAGATAGGATAATTGGAAACTCCCAACAATCAGAGACGGAATTCCTTCCGATAACCCACCACCATGCATGTCGAGGGGGACGGAGTTGGGCTTACAAAGAGTAGAAAAGTAAACTACGGAAAAAATTAATAGGGCATTTCGTCTTGAGTTTATCTTTAGCAGATTGAGTGGGCATGCTTTCTTTTTATATTCTGGACCGCTCAGGGTACGTGTTCAATGTTGTTTATTGGTGTTTATTGGTGGGAAATGTGACATTTTCAGCTCTTCTACCTTCCCAGCTCCCCAACCAAAAATAAATAAATAAATAAAGACATTTCTGTTTCTGGAGACAAGATGGAAGATTTTAAGTTTTTTTCCCGAACTTGATCATTTTTCTCTATTTTTACCTCCCAGCCAACCAACTAGCCAACCCGGCTATCAAATTAAACCAATCGCTTGTTTTTCATTGCCTATTTTGGCCTCTTCGGATCCGTGGAAATAAAAAGGGGGATAGGGCTGCTGACAACAACAAAATAAGTCAGGTTACACATTTACAAACAAATAGAAAAGGCCATTTTTTTCTGCTCAGCTGTTTTCCGCTGCCAAACATTTTTTTACTCTTAATAACTTTGTTTATAAAAAGCTATAAAAATAACCCACCCACTTTCATTTCTTTACTCTTTTCCACTACTCTTTTTGTTTTGTTTACTGTATTCTATTATTCCATCGATCTTATTTTTGATATTCTCCTATTAATATTATCCATAACCATGCTTCTGCAGCAACACAAAGAGCGGCAGAAAACGCTGCATTCTCTATTTTCGCCGGAGCTACGTGCGATCCGAATGTCCTTTCTCAAGAGCATTTGGCAAATGGTCCTAGTCTTCACATGCGTCTTCTGGATCTCCATCAGTTTCCTTTACGGCACTGGCTACGACCCCTCCCGGCACATGAAAGCCGGCACAGTGGTATTCCGCAATCTCGACGATTCGGAGATTTCACGCACACTCAGCAGCACGTTCATCAAGCAGTTTGACATACCCACGATGCCAAAACTCTTTGATTACACGCAACGCAGTGAGCTCGCGACTAAGGAGGAAATCCGGAAGGCCGTGTGGGATGGTGACTTTTGGATCGGCGTGGTGATTAACGAGGGGTTCGGCCAGAACCTTACGAGGGCTACGAGGGCGGGAAGGAGTATGTGCCGACGGATGTTGTGACGATGTTTTCGGAGGAGTCAGACATTACTTTAAGGTGGCGGCAGTGACCAAGGCTGTGACCGGCGCGCTGGCGGCGCTGGAAGCACCGTTTGCCCAGCTTGTCTTCCAAAACGCCATAAAGCAGTCGGGCACATCTGCGGCCACCATTCTGGAGCGCGCGAACCCGCAGGCGCTGGTTTTGCCGTTCAGCAATACAGTGGTCAATATAGCCCCGTATCACTTTGACCTCTCTATGTATATTCTGACAGTCAGCATGTCCCTGTGCATGGTCACCGGGGCGTTTGTGCCGTCGAATATGTGGAAGACCATCGAGGAGCCGTTTTTCAAGCAACTTCGGATTCCACAGATCATCGCGCTGCGTTTTGTCATCAACATGATCTCCGCAGTAGTCATCACCATGCAAGTCATTGGGATTATCTTTGTGTTCTCCGGCCCAACCTGGGATCCGAACGCCAAGGATTTTTTTGCCCTGTACGGGCTGATTCTGCTAAATACTCTGTGCTTTACGTTCTTCATCGAGTGCATGCAGAGCCTGGTGCATCCGCGGTTCCTTCTTGGTGGGTACTTTATCACTTTGATGGTCAATATTGGTGCTGGATTGTTCGGTGCCGAGATGAACAACAGGTTTTTCCGGATTATCTTTGCATTTCCATTCTTTAACACTGGTATCTCCATCCGCACGCTGCTCACAGACGGGTCGTACAAGAGGTGGCACTACACCATTACGGTCAACGTCGTGATTGCATTCATGTGGTGGGTGATTTCGTTGTTTTTGATTGCGCGCAAGGCAAGGCTGGTCAGAGCTGGCAAGATGCTTATGTCGAATATTGCGCCTGTCCCTGGAACTGTTGTTCAGCACGATGGTGATGAGCATGGCGATGATGCACAGGGCAAGGAGGGTGTCGCTCGGGAACTCAAGTCGCTGTCGCCGTCGCAGGCTTCGACAGCTACCAGCGCAAGCGCATCGTCAGCCGATCTGTCGGTGGCTGAGAATAACACGACGTATAACCGTCGACGTGGCGAGCCCACGTCGGACATTGAGATCGAGGACATGTAGTTTTGATTTTTTTCTTGTTGAATTCTGTTGATTTTGAATTAAAGTTTCATATGAAATATTAACCTCCCCCATTATAAAAATGTGATTTCGACTGCGGAGTTAAAATTTATTTCATCATTCATTCTTCACTTTTTTTTTTTAAATTTTGAGGAGACGGGATGATGTTTACGCTGATGTCAATTTCATTGCCTTTTTGGGTTTTGCTTTAGTTGAGACTTTTTCCCTGTATTTTTGTACAAACTTATATCCGTATTAGTACTTTATATTAAATAATATAGATGCAGAAAATGACACTTGTGGCTGCCACTGCGCGAAAATCCTATCATGTATTCCAAAAAAGCCCTTTATCACCACAAGCAGGCGACATATTTCATACTCAACACAACCACCAGACATCCTCAATCCATTCACACTCAACAGCGCCTTTGTCTCACAATATGCCACCGTTCCCCGCCATTCGGATTCAACGGGCTCGGCGAAGTCGTCTATCGGCGCACATACTCCCGACCAAAACCCAACAATGTAAGCGAAAAGTGGTTCGAGACAGTCGCACGCGTCGTCACCGGCACGTTCCGACGGCAACAAGAGTGGCGACGCCAAAGCCATCTTCCGTGGGACAATTTGCGGGCGCAGCGGGACGCGCAGCTGATGTACGAGCGAATCTTCCAGATGAAGTTTCTGCCGCCTGGGCGCGGGCTTTGGGCAATGGGCAGTGTAGTGACGGAGGAGCGCAGGCTGTACGCGGCGCTCAATAACTGCGCCTTTGTCAGCACTCGGCAGATGTGGGAGGATCCGCGGCCGTCGCGGCCGTTTGCGTTCCTGATGGATGCTGCGATGCTCGGCGTCGGCGTTGGGTTCGATACCCGGGGCGCACAGGTGGCTGCGCAGACCATCATGTTGCCCAGTCTGTTTTGGGCCGCCGGCGGCGCGAGTTTGTGATTCCGGATTCGCGCGAGGGGTGGGTCGAGTCGGTTGCCCGGCTGATCGACTCGTACCTGGACCCGGCCGCCGACTGCCAGTGGGACTTCAACTACAAGCTCGTGCGGCCGCTGGCCAGCCGATCCGCGGGTTCGGCGGAGTCAGCAGCGGACCGGCGCCACTGCAAGAGCTGCACACCAGCATCCGCGATATCCTCGACTGCACCACCGGCCGTCCGCTGTCGGCCACGGCGATCGTCGATTTAATGAACCTGATCGGCCGCTGCGTGTCTCAGGCAACGTGCGACGCACAGCGGAGATTGCGTTTGGCGACCCTGACGACGCAGAGTTCGTTGCGCTGAAAGATTACACGGCAAACCCGCGGCGCGCGGCGTTTGGGTGGACAAGCAACAACTCGGTGCTTGCGCAATTGGAATGTCCTACGATGCAGTATGCCAGCGCGTCAGAGAGAACGGCGAGCCTGGGTTTCAGTGGATGGAGAATGCGCGGGAGTTTGGGCGCTTGAATGATGGGCGCTCCGGGCGTGACGCGCTGGTGGAGGGCGCCAATCCCTGCGGCGAGCAGAGCCTGGAGAGCTACGAGGTTTGCTGCCTGGTCGAAACCTTTCCACACAGGCACGCGACGCTGGAGGATTTTCTGGTGACGCTGGAGAGCGCCGTGCTGTACGCTAAGACTGTCACATTGCTGCCCACGCACTGGCCTGAGACCAACCGCGTGCTTCTGCGTAATCGCCGCATTGGCACCAGCGTCTCTGGCATTGCGCAGTTCATTTCGGCACGCGGCGTTGGAGAGCTGCACCGGTGGCTGAATATTGCGTACGCGCACGTGCGGAATATTGACCACAGGCTGTCGCGCGCAATGGGGTGCCCGAGTCCGTCAAAATCACCAGCGTCAAGCCTTCTGGCTCTGTGTCCCTGTTGGCTGGCGCCACACCTGGGATGCACTACCCGGAGTCGCGCTTCTGCATCCGCCGTGTCCGGCTTGCGCTTACCTCCGCGCTGCTGCCGGCCTTGAGCGCGCAGGGTATCGTGTGCAGCCGGATTCCGTTGATCTCTCGGCGGCGGTTGTGGAGTTTCCTGTGGATCACGGCGAGGGCATGCGTGGGCTCAGTGAAGTGTCAATGTGGGAGCAATTGGCCCTGGCAGCGCTGCTGCAGAGGTGCTGGTCGGATAACCAGGTGTCGTGTACAGTGACTTTTGATCCGGAGACGGAGGGTCCGCAGATAGCACGGGCGCTGGAGTATTATCAGTATCAGCTTAAGAGTGTTAGCTTTTTGCCAAGAGTGCCTGGGGGAGCCGCGTTTCCGCAGATGCCTTATGAGGCTGTGGATGAGGTGATGTACCGGCGATGGTTAGTCGAATTAAGGGTGTGGAGGAGAGCGGCTGCGGTTAGGCGATATGATTGGGCCTGCTGGGGGTGAGCCCGAGCCCGAGCGGTATTGCAGTACGGATACATGCTTGTATTAAGGTGATTACATTTTTTTAAATGCTCACATGCATTTTTCTTTATATCATGGAGTAAAATATTCCTTTCTATTTTGAAATTGTCCACACGCCTTGACTGCCTTTCCTTATTGTCTTTTCAGCACAGTGGGTCATTCTGTCGCTTTTTTACAGATAAATAATACAAACGAGGTTTTGTTTTTGTTTTTGTAGTTGAAGTTTTGTTTCTTTATTTTGTCATCATTTATATTTACAAATACATTGCCATAAATCGGGCAGGTCCTTTTTTTACACAATTAATTAAATACCAGTAATCATGTACACATACATACGGCATTCCTGTGCCTTGCCCTGGCAACCATGTCCCTCCACCTCACCTCCGGGCTTCCATCCCACACTTGGAAAAGCGCATTATCAACGGCTTCAACATGACCGACCCTCTCTCCCCGGAAACTGTCGCCGTGTACCGTTATATTGGCACAGGAAAAAGCAACTGCGGAGGCACCCTCATCTCCAACAACTACGCGGTTACTGCCGCCCATTGCCTCATATTCAAACGGACGAACTCTACCCTGCAAAAAACATTTCCATCGGATATAACAACAAGGACCGTAGGCTGCAGACTGAGGCTACAGCGCTGGACGTTATAATTCACCCAGAATACTTTGCGTCAAATCGCAATGCCAAGTTTGACATTGGTGTGGTAAAGATAAACCCGATTGGGTTTAATAAGAACACCAAGAGAATGCCTATTTACGACGGTCCCGTGTATGAGGGCCAGAATTTGTTGGCAATGGGCTGGGGCGCAATGGAGGACGGTGCAAAGGACCCGGATATGATGCGTGGTGTCTTGGTTATTGCTGGCAACAGCACAATGTGTCAGAGATTTGTGCCTGAGTTTAAGGACAATAATGGTCCGCAGATATGCACCCTGCACGCAAACACGCCGTATCAGACACATGCCAGGGTGATTCAGGAACCGGCCTGGCAATTGCTGTGGGTGGAAAGATGATGTTTGCGGGTCTGACCAGCCTACATATAATATTGACGAGTTCCGTGTGGAAACCCTACAGGTGCCGAGTTTTTTGTGCGTATATCGTATCAGTTGGACTTTATAATGAAAAATACTGGGTTGTCGAAGGAGTATTTACTTGGCGAGGTTGACGAGTAGCTTTTTGTTTCTGTTTTTTCTATGGATTAATTTTTTTGGTTTGTCTTGATTTATTTATCTTTTTTATTCTTTTTTATTCACTTGGTACCGTAAAAAAAAAATTAGTCGTGACATGTTTTATATAAAAGGAAAAATAAGAGTGGTGTGATATATTTTGCAATGGATCCCTTTTTGCTATGTCTTTTTATAATATACATTTTATTTAGAAAAATCGAGTTGGCAGCTGATGCCAACTACCACACAGAGTACCAGTTTTTGGCCCTTCTATTTTTCTATCAATGTGTTGGCTCAATTTTATTTATTTTATGGTTAACTACTTTTTGTTCATTTCGTCATAATTTTATATATTTCCCAATTAATATATTTTTAGACTATCATCTACAGCATTAGAAATTCATTCATTCCATTTCATTTTAATCCTACACTTTATTACTTAAAATATGTGTGTTTGTTATTGCAGGCCAGTTTCATATTTACGCTTTACATCTAACGCTTTTTTGCTTGCTGTGCGTATCAGTAATATCTTTTGTATTTATAAATGTACATATCAACACCATACATGCTCCCAGCATGTCTACTCTTACTTATCGGGCTCCTCCACCATTGTGTAACTTGCCTCCCCTACTCTTCCTCCTCCTTGGCACCCTCTACTATAACCAAGCGAATAATCAACGGTGTCAGCATGCCAGATGAACTAGCGGTCAGCGCGTTTACGTGAAACAAACGCTCCAGTCCGCTACTAGCATCTGCGGCGGTACAATCCTCTCCCCTAACCACATCTCACCGCCGCTCACTGCGTAGTTGACGAGGACAACAATCCTGCCAAACCAGCAAGTATAAACATAGGCTATAATAACAAGGATACAGCAAGCAGATAAGTGTCACGGCAAAGAAAATCACTATACATCCGGATTATAACCACGATGCAACTGATGGGCTGGCAGATATGGCAGTAATCGAGGTAGACACGATAGTGTTTGGAAAGCAGGCGCAGAAAATGCCTGTGTATAAGGGGCAATTAATTCCGGCCAGGGGTTGTTACCAATGGGATGGGGCAAGAAGGAAAGCACAGCCACGGACCTGACCGCGCTCAAGGGCGTCGTGGTGGTAACTGGGAATCACACTTTGTGTCAGAAATTTGATTTAATTTTATGGACAATAATGGCCCGCTAATCTGCACCCCGAGCATCCTGACGCCAAACCGCAGCACTTGTCAGGGGGATTCTGGGACCACCGTGGCAGTGAGCAAAGACAATGCGCTTATGCTTGTTGGGCTTGTCAGTATTGCTATTAATTTGACCGATGATTTGGAGTGTGGGAATGTGCAGAGCGCGCATATGTATGTGCATATTGCGTACTTTATGGATTTTCTTGTTAGCACTACTGGTCTGACAGTGGACTATCTGACGGTATTGATGGTGGTAACAGTACTGGCAGTGCCATGTAACACGTAATGTTGTATTTCCCGATTTTTTTAATGAGTTATTATTTTATAAACTTTTTACATTTATATTTTGTAAGTAGGACTGTTATTTTATTAATAAATCCCCTTCCAGCTTGTGTTATTCTAAGCCAAAAAAGCATATATGAATGGCTGTAACAGTTTCATTTTGCTTTGCCTTAGAAACAACTTTTTCTTCTTCTCACAGCTCCTGATGCTCAAACATATCTGCCGTCTTCCCATTAATAGCGACCAACTCCGTATCAAAAACCAAATCAGCACTTGCAGGAATAACCGGCGGCGACCCCTTTTCCCATACCCCAACTCAGCCGGAATCTTCAACCGGCGCTTCTCCCCAATACACATATTCAACAACCCTTGATCCCACCCCTTGATAACATGCCCATGCCCGACGGTAAATTCAATAGGCTCTTTCCGATCAAGACTCGAATCAAACACCTCACCGGTGCTCAGAAGCTTTCCTGTGTAGTGCACGGATATCTTGTCACCCAGGGAGGTCCGCTGGGGACAGGAGGCTGGTCGGAATTTCACTCCAATTTGAAGTTGCTTTAGTGCTGCGGGTGCCGAGTCACCGATGACTAGAAGAAACGCGAAGGAAAGCGCAATGAGGGTTAGGCTGAGAAACTTCATCCTAGTAGAATGAATTTAAATTGCAGTGGAAAAGTTTAATAAAAGAAAAGATGAATTTGAAGAACAGAAACGAGATGACAACAAAATAAAAATTCAAACTCATCAATATCGCTAACCGGATTTGTGGACAAAATATAAAAATATAAAACGTAACACATGACTTGCCCATACATTTTGTTTTTAGATTAGGCATAAATATGTAAATAATATTTTTTTGCACAGATTTTTGTCTAAAAAACAAATTGTCTATTCTAAACAACTACAGATTCATATTCCCCTTACAACCAATATATAATTTTTATACAGAACTTAGCAATGGATGCGCTAAACCAGTATGCGTCGGAATCCTCAGGCAGCGAGAGTGATAACGGTTGCCAGACACAATCCCAGACTAAATCTCAGAAAAAGTATGCACAGCCGGTCGTGCGGCAATACACGGTAGACACAGCGCCAGACATTGGCGGATACACCGGACCCGAGCACACCGCATTGTCATTCTATGTGCGCCCAGGCCAGCGCGAGATTCGGCACAACCTGGCCTACGAGGTTCTCGCGCAGCCGCTAGTTGGGCCAGCCGACAACGAGGGCGCTTTTGTCAGCAAAATTAATCCTAACGCAACCAGCGGTCGAGCAGAGCTGCAAGCCGTTGATGAGAAGTTGTTTCGCCAGCAGGAACGCATGTTCAGACAGCAGGGGACAGCGTATGATCCCAGTATTGACGTCCAGGGGTCTGGCAAGCTGGTTGTTGGTGCTGGGCCGACCAGAGGTGCTGTGGGCAATAATCGCGGGCTCAGGCGCAAGTCAAAGGGTGATTCCTCGATTATTAATGGCGAGGGTGCGTACCAGGGCCCATGGGCTGGGTATGAAGGCGAGACCCGCGGTCAGCCCACCGGCCCAACTGCCGAGCAGCTGGCTGAGTACGAGCAGCGGGTGGCCCAGCTCACTGGAGACATTGGTGCGCCAGAGGGATCCGCGGCGGCGGCGAAATCAGAGAAAACCAAGGGCGGCAAGCCCAAGGGCGGGGCGTATCTGAATGGCCAGGAGGAGCGCACCCTGCTCCACGCGCAGTCCGAACGCGACTACCAGGGCCGCACGTACATGCACGTACCAACAGAGTTGCGTCAGGTGGAGCCGGGCGAGCAATCGTGCTTTGTACCCAAACGTATGATCAAAGAGTGGAAGTCCGCTCATGCCGGCGGGGTCAGCGCTATTCGCTTTATCCCGGGCTCCGGGCACTTGCTCTTGTCTAGCGGCATGGACGGGTTGGTCAAAATCTTTGACGCGCACTCATCGCTTGCTCTACAGCGCACCTACGTTGGGCATAGCAAGGCCGTGCGCGACATTAGTTTTGCGCCCGACGGCAATACATTTTTGTCCTCGTCATACGACTCGTACACGAAACTCTGGGATACGGAGACCGGCCAGTGCCGCCAGCGGTTTGCAGTTAAGGGCAAAAAGGTCCCCTATGTCGCGCGGTTCTACCCAGAGGACCCGAATATTTTCCTGTTGGCCAGAGCGACAAGAAGATTGTTCAATGGGATATCCGCGCCAACGAGGTGTGCAGGAGTACGACCAGCATCTGGGCGCGATCAATTCGCTGACTTTTATTGATTCCAACCGGCGGTTTATCTCGACCAGCGACGACAAGAGTATGCGCGTGTGGGAGTTTGGCATTCCTGTGGTTATCAAGCTAGTCGCTGACCCATCTATGCACTCAGTGCCCGCCGTGGCCCTTCACCCGAACCAAAAATGGCTTGTTGGCCAGAGCATGGACAACCGCGTAGTGGTTTACAGCGCCGGTGATCGGATTAAGCCGCATAAGCGTAAGGAGTTCTCCGGCCACTTGACCGCTGGGTTTGCTTGTCAGCCGTCGTTCTCTCCTGATGGTAAGTTTTTGACATCCGGCGATTCCGAGGGCCAGGTCTGGTGCTGGGACTGGCAGTCCTCGCGGGTGGTGAAGAAGTGGAAGGCCCACGATAAGGTCACCATATGCACCGCATGGCATCCGAGGGAGACATCTCGAGTGGCGACATGCTCGTGGGACGGCACTATCAAGTATTGGGACTGAGGAGATTAATAGAAAAAATGTGCGGCCTGATTATAAAATAATAGATTGAGCGAATTAAGCCAAAAAATAGCCTTTTGGTTTATTTATTCTTTCTACTTTATCTGCGTGCATATGCGTATAATCCTGACCGTTAATTTGCCCTACATCTCAAAAGATAGATAATAAATTACTGTTGGGATTTATTCGAGTTACTGCTTGATGCCACTCTATAAACACTATTAATATTACGGATAGTCGTTTTTCATGGTACACATTTGATATTCAACCTATAGGGGAAATGTAACAAATATAACGGCGACAAGGCAGGTTTTCTTTTTTTCTACATTCGTATACCTACTATTACTTTTAACAATACAGGAACTCCTCATCCATTCACATTTCTTTTCTACTCGTTGCGTTTTGTAGAATTCCGACGCCTCTGGCTTAACGCTTTGTTGTTCTTTGCTCTTATAACTTTTTCTTCTTTTTTTGTCATTGCGTGTTTCACCTTTTATATCGACTGCACAATAATTAAGGTCAATATATTTTTATTCTCAAAAAATCATGTGGCTCCGCGACTTGATCAATTTCTCTGAAAAGATAGCGCTCATAGTGCACCACGCACTGCCATTTCCAGGATTTCTGATTGTTATATTCTTATCATGGTACGAAACAGTGTACTGCCTGGCGCACCGGCTCTTTCCAAGTGAGACCCGCGCCGAGGAAACAATCAATCAATACATTCGCGAGCACCGCCTGTATGACGAGCAGCCCAAGAAACCCCCAAAGCAAGGTGCCATTGTGACCGGCGCAACGGAGGCATCGGCTTTGAAACCGCCAGGGCAATTGGTCTCGCTGGCTACACGACTATCCTCGCGTGCCGAAACCTAAAACGCGGTCAGCAGGCGCAGCGGGAACTTCAGGATGCCACAGGTCTTGACTCGTTTGTTGTTATGGAGCTTGATTTGAGCTCGTTCATGTCCATTGAGCGGTTCGCCAAGCAGTTCATGGATGAGTACAGCCAGCTTCACCTGCTTGTCTGTAACGCCGGTATGGCCTTTAGCCACTACGATACAACGTATGACGGGCTGGAGTCTCAGTTTGGCACCAACTACGTTGGTCACTACGTGCTTATAACCACCTACTAGACATGATGAAGAGATCTGGCGGCGCTCGCATCACCATAGCCTCGTCAATCTCCGCCTGCATGATTCGACATATTGATTACTCGCGGGTAACTGACGTCTGGCGCTTCGACCGCCTGATCAATTACTCGACAAGCAAGCTTGCCCTGATGGTCTACTCCAACGCCCTGGCCAGGCAGCTCAAAGATACAGACGTCACAGTGAACGCATTCCACCCGGGATTGTCGGCACCAGCCTCTACCGCAACGTAGCCTTTTCCATGCTGCCGGGAATCCACGAGTTCCGCAACTGGCTTTGGCTTGACCAGAAAAAGGGCTCTGTCACCTCGATATACCTTGCCCTGTCGCCTGAGCTATCTGGAAAGAGCAGCGGCTATTATGCGCGCCAACAGCCGGCGGTTATGCACCCGGATGCTTGCAACATTAAAGTTCAGGACCGGCTTTGTCAGTTTACCGAGGTATTGATTGCCACAAACACACACTCTCAATCGGTGCTGGACAGTATCAACAGTTCGCGCATTGTCCAATAAAAGACCAATAGGGTAATTATACGCATTTATAATTTATTGAAAATCGAACAAAAGTGTGAAAGAACGGATGCCTAATTGTAAAATGCTTTCTTTAATGTATTTTTCTCATAATGCGTCTAATATTATGTCATGTGTGGTGGAGTTTATCCATCTTTCATGTACGGCCTGTGAAGCATATTGGGCACACGCACTCGCGTTTGTGTTGTTGTTGTTGACCATCGATAATACAGTATCGGATTGCAGGGACATGGCTAAGATAAAAAGGTGTATTAATTGGCGATAGATGTTTAGCTTGTGATTGGAATGCAGTGCACAGATAGTAAACGTGAAAGGGTAAAACTATAGAAATGGTAGGGAGTAGAAGCGACACAATAAAAAATGATGTGAAAAGGAAGATTTGGCTGCTTTATATACTGTTTGTTTTCTTCAAAAAAATACTTTGCCAAAATAGTTGTCCATCGAAAAAATAAAAAACCGCGGCTTCCCCGACGTTTTTTAATCTAAAAATACACTAAAGAAAAACAAATTGATCTGCTCTTCAGTGCAATGTAACCAGCAAAGCGATAGACACCAGCAGTTCCACTTACGATGTGCAAAAAGACAAGAACAAATAAAGAAGCCTGGCAATCACACTTCACTGAATGGCTATTTTGTGCATGAAAAATATTGATATGCTAAAATATACAACGCACATTGAAAAATAATTAACAAAATGCAGGTGCGGGAGGATTAGGCAACAAAGGTCCTGCATATTAACGCAAACTTTTTTGCCAAAAGCGCAGCAGCAATTGGCAAACAAAAAAACAAACAGCAGAGCAAACATGCATAAATTAATGTTGCCAATTGTATTTAAATACAAACGCTTTTCATTTGCCAAAGTACTATGGTTTGTATCAACTGCACATAGCATTATGAAAATGAGAGGTCGAAAACCATGGTCCCCGTTTTTTGGTCATTAATGCTCCGCTTCTGTTCACATATTTTTATGTACACTTGCATATCAGGCAGTCTACTTCGGCTTTATCATTTTTGGCCAATGTTATTAAATAAACCACAAGGGCTCGATAAAACAAAAGAATTGCAATTGCTTTAACCATTGTGCTGCACTTGCCTAAAAGAACATGGCGACCCCGCCCATGCACACAACAATTTCTTTGTTTTCAATATTGCTCGTTGCTCCAACCGCGTCGTACTTTGCCAAGGCGTCGGGCGCGTACTTTGTCAGGTGCTGCCGAGCCTGGTTGCCAGTTAACATCTTTGTCGTTGACAGCCTCAGCGTCTTTATTGCCTGCGCTGTCGAATGAACAGCAGTATTGGTCGGCGCCATCGCGCTGCTGCTTTCCATGTTAAGTTCAACGGCATCTCCTGATCCACCATTGCGCTCAACGTTCATAGCGCAAAAAACGACCTTATAATTGCTATCATTGGTGTATTCGGACACGTAGACATCGTAATACATGGGTGTGTCGTGATCAGACACCATGCAGCCGTGGATATGCGGCGGGTTTTGTGCAGGGACACCTAGCAGCGCGTACTGCCTAGTAGGACCGTTGACTGGAAAAATGTGGCCTTGAAACCACGTTTTTGCTTCTGTGTCTGCATGCGAGTGCTGGTGCTTGTGCTCGTGCTCGTGCTGATGGGACTCATTATGCTGATTAGCTGGATGAATAGGAACGTCAGCTAATGTGGTGGGTGCGGGTATCTCGGAACGCTCAAACAACCACAGCTGCATAACTCCTGAAATCATTTTAATAAATTCGTGGCTTAAATAGGGCTGTTGATGCAAGTGATGATAAAAAACACTTTAATTTTGAATTTATTTTCATGTTTTCGTCATTCGTAACGACGCGCAAGCTGCAAACAGTCGCGTTACGGGCTAGTCACATGTGCCTTGCTACAGATCTGCTATATGTTTGCACGTATTAAATTGCATTGCCAAACAAAAGTGACTATTTTGCTATTTGATTCGCAACAGCCTGCGCACACAAGCAACCATCAGCGACCATCCGGCCAAAATCGTGATGTGCACAACTGCCAAATCAAAGTGCCACATGCGCACATGCTCCGATCGACCAATCATTGCAAATGTCTTGCCAGCCGATGTGGTATCCTCGATGCATCGCGTAGTCGCCGCACACACTTGGTCGACATCAAGCATGAGCTGCGGAAATACTGTGTTGTTGTTCTGCAGCTTTGGGTTGTTTAGCACCATTGGTGTTTTGACGTAGTACGGCGCAACCGCTGACACTCGGATCTGCGGTGCCAGCGACTGGCTTGCGCGAGTCAAATGAATCAGCGCTGCTTTGGCTGCACCGTACACCTCGCCACCGCGGTTGGGCACCAGACCGCCAATAGATGCCATGTTGACAACCACACCCTGCCGCTGCTTCTCGGTCAGATATTTTACAAACAGGCGGGTCGCCTCGATGGGTGCGCGCAGGTTAATGTCAAGGATTGCGGATATCTGGTCGAATGTCTCGCCTTCGTACAGCATCGCTGGCGAGGCAACTCCAGCGTTATTAATTAGCACATCTAGATGTCCAAAATGTGTGTACGCCCACTCAAGCATGTGTGCAATGTCATCCTTGCGCCGCAAATCAGCGGTGAGATACGCTGCTACCGTCTGACCAAAGCGTCTGTTGATCTCGGCGCAAAACAACTGACCATCCTTGTCGGGCGCAATGTCCACCAGGGCCACGCACGCACCCAGCTCAGCCAGCCGCAGCGCTAGCGCCTTGCCAATGGCGCCCAGCCCACCTGTTATAACTACAACCTTTCCGTTGACTGAATATGTTTGCAGATTCCAAAAGTCCATATTTTGTAGATATATACGCGCAATGATAAATGAAAAGTTTTATATTTACTGAGGAAAATAAATAATAAAATGCTAGCGTCCCGTTGCAAAGCGGCATTTACTTTGCGTCTCTGGATCCTGGCACTAAAAAACTTTTGTTATTCCTTAATTTTGAAATGCTGTGACAAGGGGGTTTCCAGAAAAATAGACAATGCACTAAATGCAACAACGCTCACACGCCTCATTTTGTATGGACTAGAAAATGGCCAGAAAAAAAATATATCCAACATCAACCGAAAAGAATATCATTTTAAAATAGTGGCGCAAGTTTCATGAGATAGTGTCGTTTGTTGAGCCCTTTAGCAAAATTTACTGCTACTACTATCAAATTGGTAGTAAAAATAGTATAGTTTTTATAATTATACATCGAAACAAGCTAAGCAGAAAGCTATACTGGCATATTCAAATTCCAAACTTCAAAGCCATAAACCTGTTCAATTTCAATTTTATTTATGTTCAAACTCTGTTTAATTTGCACCAAGAATATACTATGGCCATTACCACCATCAGCGCCAATCTTCCGACCAACATCAAGGATGTCCACATTCAGAACTACATCAATGGCGAGTGGGCGCCTCCGACAATGGCTTGTTTCTGGACAAGTACAATCCAGCCACGGGCCAAGTGATATCGCAGATCCCTGATTCGGCCAGTGCCGATGTTGATAACGCTGTAAAGGCCGCCAAGGCTGCATTCCCGCTGTGGTCAAAGACACCGGTCTCTGAGCGGCGGCAATTCTGCTGCGCATTGCCGATCTGATTGACGAGAACAGCTCAATATTGGGCACATTCGAGTCCCTTGACCAAGGAAAGCCTGTTTTCTCCGCAATTCACTTTGAAATGCCAATGTGCGCTGCTAGCTTCCGTCAGTTTGCAAAGCTCATTACCGACGGCGGCATTAAGGAAAGCGAATCTCGTTTGGACTCCATGATTACGCCGACCTCTATTACTCAGCCCAAGGCCTCTATCACTGAGTCAGTCACCCAGCACATTGCTGCGGGTGTTGCTGGGCTCATCACGCCCTGGAGCTTTCCTTTGCCAATGGTTTGCTTCAAGCTTGCACCATGCATTGCTGCCGGAACACCTGCGTTGTCAAGCCGACTGAGCTGAGCAGCATCACGTCATTCCTGCTTTCCCACATCCTTCATGCGGCAGGCGTGCCCAAGGGCGTCGTCAACATTATCTTTGGCAGCGGCCTCGGTGCTGGTGAGCCCCTTGTCAAACACAAAGACGTGAAACTGATCTCGTTTACTGGTGGATCAGCCACGGGTGCTCGCATCGGTGCTCTTGCCAGCGGCCAATTCAAGCGTGTGTCGCTCGAGCTCGGTGGCAAGAACCCGGCTGTGTTCTTCGACGACTGCAACATTGACCATGCTGTGACCACCAGCATTCGCGGCGCGTACACAAACCAGGGCGAGGTTTGCCTCTGTGCCTCTCGCCAGTACGTGCAACATGGCATCTATGAGAAGTTTGTCGAGATGTTCAGGCAAAAGGTGCGCAGCGACATTTTTGTCGGCAACCCGTTGGACCCCAGGACGTTCTATGGCCCAGTTATCAGTCAGCAGCACATGGACAAGGTTCTTGGCTATATTCGACTTGCGCAGGAGGAGAGTGCTACGGTCGAGTTTTTGGTCAACCCCAATGATATCGCAGTCAAGGGCGTGTCGAGCGACGGCAGACTAACCATCGAGGGCCACGAGGGCGGCTACTTTATCGCGCCGACGCTGATCACAAACATCAAGCAGAGCTCGCGGG